TGTCCCACACACACACACCAGAAACGTGCATACTTGTCAAACTGCCTGAGAATAGACGCACGAGCTGCGAGGACATGCGCGCAAGCGTGCGGGTGACTATGTACCCGGTGCGTACTAAAAGGGGAACCGCCCCTCATTAGATGTCTCGAGAGATTTCTAGAATCGTTTCCTGACTGAAACGAGAGCCACCCCTCATTATGAGCTCCACATGGAAGCCAACTTTTCCCTCGCTCGGCTTCAATAGAGCCCTACCGTGGATGATAAAACTGGTAGGTGGTTTTCCGCAGTGTTCATTTATCAAAGTGTGTTTGTGGTTGGCGCAGCGTGCCATCTCAGCATCTTACGTGGCGCCATTTTTGAGCGTACATTCCTGTGGCGTTTGGAACTGGGTATTATCGCCCAGTGATGTCGGTGTCAAAGTAGGGGGCCCAAAAAGAGGTTCCCCTGAACAAGGTGCCCTCAAAGAAGTGCGCGTCGTACCCGGGAGCCGGATTCGGCTCAGTGGCCTCAGTGGCCGCAAAACTCCTTTTTGATTGCGCCTCTGCAACATGTTGCCAACTCCGCCGACGATGCCGCGACAGAACCGGCAATTGCGCGTGCCTCGCGCGGGGGTGCCCCTTCCTGCCATCTTGGAAGACCAAACCACCGAGGAAGAAGAGGCGGGGTTGGTGAATGGCTCACGAGGTGCGTGACGTGTTTAATCGCAAGAGTTATCAGTTCGAATTCCTGACCGTCCCCAAATTGGTGGTCTCGGGTGTATAGCTCGGTTGTTTGTTTTTTCACGTAAAGGTGGTGTTGGAGATGTGGGCTGCTTCAATATATTGAATTCCACACAATTTTCTCGGCGTTTTGGCTTTTGAATTTGAATGCTTGCGAGGCAGCGCCACCCCCAGTCCATGTCTAAACACGAAGCACGCATGCTCCAGCAATTTCTGTCACGTGTCGGGGCAACCCTACATGGAATTTGGGTATTGTGGTAACAGTTGCTTGGCCTTCCTTCCTCCCCAAAAACACGATTTTGGGAAAGAAAGCCTCAGTGCAGCTTCCGCGAGTTTGCCTGGCTCTTTGGTTCTCTCAGGTTCCGGAAAAGCCTAAAAATGGATTCGGTGTCGTTTTTGGGTTTCCCTTCAAACACTGCCCAGACACGGAGCCTCAAGGCCTAAGACAAGGCCGTGATTGGCTACCCCGTTTTTCAGTGTTTCCACCTATCATTGCAGCAGGCAACCAGTGGAAACCGTGGTAAAATTGGGTTTGTTTATGTGCACTCTGACGCCTTCGTTCCCTGCAAGCCCAGACCAATGGTTTGTTGGGGTGTTTTACTATGCAGGGCGACCCACGGTTGTCTGACCCCGTCACTTGCCAGTCGTTTCAGTGGTGTTTTTGTGTTTTGTTGCATTTGGTTTTGAAGCGCTAGCTTTGGTAGAGGGTAAATGGGGATCCCCCCCTCACCAACCAGAGGGAAGCTGAAGGAAGTGCTTTTTTGAGATGGCTGCTTCCCGAGGAGGCGGTGAAGCCATTGCCCTCTCTGCAGTCGCTGGTTGACGAAAGGCGTGCTTCCAGTCGGCGAGAGAAGCGCCTAGCAGAAGCGCTGCAGTAGGCGCAGGCGAGCCGATTTCTTGTGAAATTTGCCCGGCCGAAAAACATGGAGATTCCATGTGGCTGTGGGTCATTTTTAAACCACCAGAGGACCGCAGGTTGTATTCCAAGTTTCCATGTACCAGGGTGCCATTGTGGGTACCTATTCTTGACTCACAGCCACGTGTCAAAAACTTGCTGGTGCTCAGTAGGGAATGACCTTCTGGGAATAATCCTAGGGAATTGAAGGGTCATTCCCTCATTCCTGCCAGGTCCGGAAAATCCTGGGTCCAAAACATCAAATGGAGTCCTGTGATTGGACCATGACTCAATCACCAGGGGGGTAGTTCAGGCGGTTACATTGGGGCACCTTGCTATGGGTTTCCTGGCTTTGGTGGGCCCATGTGGGTCACAGTTTGATTTTGGGGGTTTCTTTCGTGGTGATTCTTTATGGACAGCATCAGTTATCTGGCAGAGCGAACCTTTTCCCCCGACTGTGCAGCAAAGGCGGAACACGAGGAGAAGAGGAGCAGCGAGTGAGAACTGGGTACACCTCTTGCTTAAACAAGTTTAAACTACGATTCCTCAAGCGACACTGTGGTTGCTTTTGAAGCGGGCCACGGTTTGTTGGTTTTTGCAATGGTTGCCCAGCCCGAGTTAGCAAACAGGGGCTTCTCATGCCGGGCAATCCCCTCTGCGATAGGCAGTTGCGATTCCGAAAGGATTTCTACCACTGGCTCAAAGCCATGGTCGGTCAAGTGGCGCCAGCGGGTGTGGGCCTGAAGTTCTGAAGGATGTTTGACCAGATACGTTGGCATCGTTGTTTAACTTGTAACGCTTGGTAAGCATGACGTGCGAAATTGCTCTCTCTCTCTCTCTCTCTCTCACCCTCTCTACCCCTCCCCTCCTTTGCGGGAGCGGAGTAGACGGGCCCTGACGAGAGGAAGGTGCAATCGGATGCATGTGCTACGATCGAAGGTTTTCGCACCGAGTTCTTATCTGTTTCAGCCAGCTCCCCAAAAAGGTTCTCCTTTTGTCTCTCGTTCCTTTGGACAGTTGAGAGTTGACCCCTCCCAAATCACAGTTTCTTTGTGATGCCCTTTCACAATCGTCCCATGTGAAAATGTGGAGCTTAGGCATGCTGCATGTCAGAAGGACGGCATAAAGCAGATTTGGGAGGCGATCCTTCTTTTGACGCATTCCCCATCGCAAGAACGGTGGAAGTGGAAGTGCTGCCATGTGCAGTCCCTGTGCGGCCCCTGTGCGGCCCGTGCGGCTGCATTGAACATTTCAATGCAGCGGTAAATGGCGAGATGTCTTCTGCTGCTTTCAGACACACGGGTGACTTGAAGCGCAAGCTTCCATGAGAAGAACTGCTGCATACGAATGTCATCATGCCGGCCCATACCCAGTGCTTCCCTTTTTCTCGTTAAGAGGTGCTTTGAAGGGAAGTTTTTGTTGAGCATGTCTGTGGCATGATGTGACTTGCAAGATTCCATGAGGACTGCATGGCATGTCGTGCATGCCTCGCAGGCCGCCTTTTCGGAAACAAGATTTGCGGAAACGCGAGGCCCGTCCGCTTGGTGAATACCACGGACGCGAAAAACACAGGGCCCTTTCTTGTATTCCTCGTCAACGAAGAATTAGCCGAAGGCCTACAGATCCTTCGAGATTGCGTGAGGCTTTCACGAGAAAAATAAAAGAACTGCGGACCTCGTTTCCGACGCCGGATCAAGGTCTGAAGTGTCCTTTGCCCCCCAACCCCCCACGCCTTGATTCATTGAATCCGGAGGACCCTCAACATATCTCCGAAACAAGTAATGCCCGTACTCAAGTAAAAGCCCTCAAGTTGATTAGGAATATTTGAAGTTAGCATGGACAGTCCATCGGGTGTGTTTCTGGCTGGCACGGCGTGCATGCCTCGTTTTTGGTGTCCAAGCTTTTTGCTTGTGACATGTGGTTGGTGTTTTTTTTCAAAGCATTGTGAAAGGGGTGTTGCTAGAGTAGAGATATTGCATCAGACAACTTGCACAATGCGCAGAGACACTGTAGTCAAGAAGTTGCGCAGAGAATTTGCACGATCGGTCCCACTGAACCGAACATCATCACCCTTTGCAAAGATCGCGCATGTGGATGTGCAAATTCCCAGGGGACATACTTTTCAGGCTTCGCGGTCAACCCCTTGTGCGGATCGTTTGATATTGCGCGTGATGCTCACAAAGCGCAAGGTTAAACAAATGGGTATGGGTCAAAATTAAACCACCAGGGACCGCAGGTTTTAGTCCTTGGTTTCATCTACCAGGGTTCCATTTTGGGTAGCTGTTTTTGACCCACAGCCAAATCTCGCAAACGTTTGTAGTACAAAGCACTACGAGTGCGTTTCGGCAGCTCCGGCTTGGAGTTCGCAGTGTGCGCGCACGGAGAAGCTTGCGCAGAGAAGGACTTGTGCAGAGAACTTGAGCAGAGAAGCTTGCTGGCTTCAGAACTTGTGCAGAGAAACTTGCACATAGGAATTGCAGAGACAATTGGCGCAAGAAAACCTGCGCAATTATAGAAATTGAACAGAGAAATGGCACACGAGGATTTTACAAGAGAGCTTGCACGGAGAGATTGCACGGGAGAACCAGGCTGGACACTTTTCACGGGTAATTTGTATAGAGAAGTTGCACAACGAAATGCGCAGAGAACTTGAAGAGGCAGGGCCCCCCAACTTTCCCAGATGGGATGGATGCCTTTCCCGTGACCATGTGGATGAGTCCCTATCACTAGTTCACCATCCGTGTTTCAGTGTCTTTATCAAGGAGAGACAATAACATTCGCTCGAGTTCGCACAGAGCGCGTTTTCCTGGCCCCCCACAAACAAGAACAAATAGTGGGGAGAGTCCATTTTTGGGCAGTCTCGCAGGTTTGTGCTTGGAAAGTGCTCCCTTCATTTCATGGACAACACACTGTCCAGCACCACTTTGCAAGGAGTGGCCCTGGCACATGTTTATTTTTTGGACGTCATTTGTACGTTGCAACAAACCGCCTATCGGACCATGTGCCTTTGACATGCTTTGGATGCTTCGGTGGCTCTACTATCATCTGTGGCCCAGTCCACAGATCAGATGTTGTTTCCACGCATGTGTCTTAGCTGTGTTTGTCGTTCAGGCTTGGATTCGCAGGGCTTGCGCGGAGCCTTCAGGGTGGCTTATGCGGCATATTTATTCTTTACGAGAAGCTGACTTCAGGATTGCCTGTCCCACGCGTGATGCTTAAATCACCCCTAGCCCCCCCCCAGTCCTGCCCTTTTACCCTTTTTTGGGGGAGGGCTCCCCTACTAAAATAGACTACAGAAAGAACTCGGGTACCCTTATTCTAACCTCTCTGGAGGACCTAATCGACAGGACCTCTCGGGTTGCCCGGCTTCAGAGCCTCGCGCCGAGGACGCGGAGGCCGGGCCAGAGCTCGCCGGCATGTCCAAGGCAGCGGCCCCGGCACCGCCTGGCGCGGCGCCCGCGGGCGAGGGGCCGTCCATGGGGGCGGCGGGCGCCCCCGTGCTGCCCACGGCGATGATGCCAGGCCCGGGGAGCCTTTGGGAGGGGGTGAATTGGGGTGAAGGGATGGATTTGCGATTAGACTTGACACAGGAAAGATCGAATGGCTTCGGGAGAATGCACGTGGGCTCCGGAAGTTCAGGGAGATAGTTTGATACATTGGTTGGTTTTGCACGGGTTCGAGGACACTTTGCAAGTTGGTAAAGGGCGTTGTCTTGTTACTTGTTTCTTTGTCTGATTGGAATTGCCCGTTCTTGTCGAGCGGGCTTATGAATTTCGCACACCGCTCACTCGAGCCCGCTGGGCCATGCAGAATCTGGGAATGCGTCCCGTCACTCCGAGTTGAAGTACAGGCTGGCCGTGCCATGGCGGTTCATGGCTTGCCAGTCGTATGAAAAAACAAGACAGGGCCTTCTTTTTGGAGAGAAGCCTCGTCCCGGCATCCCATTGGCAGCTTCTTTTTGCGGCTTCAAAGACGGCTGTCCATTGCCACCTTTTTTTCCCTGTTTGGGCCTGGCTTTTGACAAAAAAATGGGTGGGCTTGGTTTGATGGAGCCGGACCGGTTGATGTCAGTTGTGCCTCCCTGGCGCGGCTTTGGGGACCCAAATATGGCGAGATGTATTTGTGGAGGGTACCTGTTTGGGGGTGTTTTACTGGGATTGAGTAATTAGACTATTTTAAGACGTACCCGATGGCAAGATCCCCTTTGGGGTGAAAGGGAAGACCAAAGCTGTAGTACGCTTCACATGGCCTCAAGTGAGAGTATGAGGGAACCCTGGATTCATTCACTTGAGAGATAGAAATGGCTGGCACCCCACCAAAGGAATCCCTAGCTTCTGGGTGGAACACCAACCCCATTTACCCAGCAGATTCATCGTCCAAGCTCCATGACCATTCCAGTCAGTTCTTCAAATCTACTAAACTTGTGCCTATTCTCAGACCATGCTTGTGCCCAACATGGCGATATGCGGGTTGGCGTGTCTTAAGTTTGAGGAGGTTTGTTTTGGCTTGGTGTCAGTCCCAGAAGACACCTTTACCTTTTTCAGGGGTCCACATGATTGGTGTTTGGCCAGGAGGATACCCTTTCCAGGTTGGGGCTTTTGTATGGGAGTTCACCCTCTAACATGGAACCTGACGTTCGGGACCCGGTCCCTTGAAAAGGAAGATGGTCCAAACCAGGACCCCCCTGTGAGGGATGGGAGGGCACCCCTCCTCGAGAGCCGCATAGGCATGATGATGCCAGGGCTCTTGCCGGGGATGATGATGCCAGGCAGGGCACTTCATGGATTTCCCCGCCGTCGAACCAATTCCTCCCGCTCCAAAAGAAAGACCTCTTGATTGCTATTGGGGAACGGATCTTTAGATTGTTTTTTCAATGAAATCAACGGTTTTCCATTAGACCCACAAAACAAATAAACTTGTTGAAGAGTGGATATGCTCGAGAATGCAACTCACAAGCATGCGCACAAAAAGAGAGGTTATGGTTGTGAGCAGCTTGGTAACGTTGCAACCAGAAGTGTGTACCCCATCGTACCGTTTCTACCAGTTTCTTGTTTGTTTGAAGCCGCTGGGCGAACGGGAGGAGAAGAAGGCGAGGAATCCATTTTGATGGTTTTGTTGAAGGGATCAGCGAAACATGGGTAAGTCATCTAATTGTCGGACATGATGAAAGTTAGTCGGAACATCATATTTCAATGGCCACTTTAGAATCTGCTGGATGGGTGCCATAAATGGGAAATGCGTTCAGCCAAACACAAAGGTGCCTTTGTGTGTGCAAAGGAACTCGGTTGACTTCAAAGTCTGCAATCATGGTGTTGCAAAGTCTTGAACAGCCCGGAAGTTGTCCACTTCCATGGCTGGAACAAGGGCAGGGAGAACACATGTGGATGTTTACCAAAGTATGGTGATCCCCTGGAACAGTTCGTTTTCTTTTTGCCCTCCCTTTACTGACCAACCAAAAGGGGGTCGATTCACCATTTTGAAGACACCCATTGCAGGCCCACAAAGCGTACGTCTCCCTGCGTACTTAAACGGGTTGGCTGTGTGTCAAACAATGGACGACCCCAAACACCAAGTCCAAAAAGCCAGGCGTATCTTCATAGAGCCATAGAGCCCACGGCTGTTCCGCCCTACGCATGACTTCAACTCATGTTCGACTTGTCTCTTTCCAAAAGACGTGTGGGCGCTTTGGGAAAAGCGTTTCTTCGTCTTCAAAAAACCCTTGCGTGATCTTCCATGACTACGTTAGAGGGAGGATAACTACATGGGGATTGCTGGGCTCGTACCTCCAACGGCCAAACTGAGGCAGCCATGTTAAGACAAAAAATCCCAAGCGCGTTCTCCGAAGGCTCACACAGGTGTGCATTTTGTTTGTCGCGAGCAAAGGTCACTTTGACCTAAGTTGGTGGATGGTTTGGATGATGTCAGGCTGCACATTTGCTGGATTGGTCCACTTTGAACCGAGCCCAAACTCAGGCAGGCTGGCCCCGATCCCATGTGTTTTTAGACAAGTAGGGATTGGGGCTTGTTCCTTGTGAAACAGCCATCTTGCAGAGCAAGGGGGGTGCATGGTTTGCAGGTGCAAATGCCAGCAACCATCAGAGCGCCGGATGAAGCATTGATTTGGGCCAGCAAGAACAGATCGAATCTTTCCCAGCTGATTTCAAGGATGCCTTTTTGTATAGGTGGAGGTATCCTTTAACCAAGCCTGGTGCTTAAAGGCTTGGGTCCTGTTCTCCATTTTTTGGGGGGTGTTGTTTTCCACCCTTCCGGCATGGACAATGGATGCCGACCCGCAAACCGGACTCCCAGCCATTTAGTTGGGCCCATGGATCATAGAATGCCGAAATGGGCATCTCCTCTTTTTCGGGCTATTTGTTGGGTAGTTTTAAAAGGAAAGGACGCCGGTGCCATTTCAGGGGTGCCGATTCCTTGAGACAAGGAAGGATCCAGCATATGAAGTCGAGGTTTGGATCGACTCGCAGGCATGATGCCCGGGCTGATGCCGGGTAGGGGCCCAAAGATATGGATGTGATTGGTCTCATGGATGATAGTGATCATTTCAGGGGTTTTCTTCGGGATTGTTTCCTTCTGCAGCGAAAGTATTGGATACTAGAATCGAAGATCTTGAGGGTTCCCAAATTACTTTCGGAGGACGATTGTTGATTGGACCCAGGATATGGAACCCTCACAAATGAGTGTCAGTTCTATTGAGTTGGTACGCGATAAAGAGGCGATGTTGTGTCCAGAAGCCGGAGGGAAGACAATTTCTTGTGGGGACTCGATTCTCAATTGTTGCCTCTGGAACCCGCTTTAAAACGTGTCCTTTTGGTTCCTTTTGGGCTGCCGAAGGCACGGCGCTGCCCATTGGCATTGGTAACACTTTAGGCCCAACAGGCCCCAAATCTTGCCGCACTTGCCGGACTTTCGGCACAGGCCCCAGACCTTACATTCATGTACCATGCCTGCCCCATTTGAGCGGGGCTAAGTGAGTCCGTAGTGATGCCCTTTGCCGGTGGCCCTTTCAACGGTGCAACAAAGAGAGGTGGCCTGGTGTTTATCAACCCTTGATGTTCCGGGCACATTGTCGTCATTGAGTTGCATTGGGAGGTGTAGGGCGAATTGGCAAAGTTCCCCGCCTGATTTGTGACATCACCATACGCCTGGCCGGGCTCGAGTACACTTCAAACTCTCAGATGGTCCGTTAAAGGGTTTGTCTTTTTTTGGGGGATTTGTCCCCCTCCAAAATTTGGCGGTCGTTGATTTACCTTTAAAATCAACCAAAACGGGGTGCGCCAAAAACAGACACCCATATATGTCTTGCTGTTTGCTCCGCGGCAGACTTGAAGCGGAGACGTGTTTGATTCATATTCGGCGAACGCATTGTAGTTCAATTGGGAAGGCAGCCTTCGGTCCTATCAAGAAAAGTGGGTTTGTTCTTTCAGCCCGGGGACGTCCTGACGTAGGCTGCGACTTTCTGTGAAACAAAGGGAACCCCTGCAAACAGGGAGAGGAAGCCCGCTTTGGCGTAGCATGGTAGAAGCTTCTTTTGAAGTGCTTGCTGCCGTTTTTGGAAGTTAACCAGCTTGGTGCAGACAGGGGCAGCTATTTTCCACAACCATGTCCTCTGAGGAGTCAGGTTTCAACTTTGTTCTGGGCTCCATCGAGAGTTCGACTCTTGAGGTCACCTTCCTTCCCCAGAGTTAGCTCCCCTTTTCGCATCTTTTTCTCTTTTGCTTTTTTGGGGTTCCCTTTTTGTTTTCCACGAACCAGGCAAGAAAGGTCTCTTTTTTTGCTGGGCTCCGGCTTCCAGCCTAGCTTCATGATTTCTCCGCGACGGTATTTCCCCCCTTGGCTTCGAAGTGACTTGTTGCTTGATCTGATTCGAGGGGCCCGGCATCTGCTCAGCGCCGGTTTCGGAATCTGAGAGAGTCCGTAAACTTCCCCATTTCAGAATTCTGTGTTTCCCAGGAACAACTAATAAGCCTAAGGGAAACAGCTGGTGTTGAAATAGTGATGCTTGAAAACAATCGACATGTTCCAACAAGTGCACACTTGCCCGTTCAAGTATACCACTTTGGTATTGGGTGATAAGAAATAAGGCCCAGGTGGTATCCCCACCAGCCCGGATTTTTCTGGAACCTTTAGAACCCTCCCTGAAAGCTGCCCCCGACCCACGCCAGAGCCAATCCGAGCTGGGAAAAAAGCCCCGAGGTGTAACGAACCCCATGATGATGGCCATGATGTCGAATCCCATGATGGCCATGATGATGGGCGGCCAAGGCCCATGGGGCTGTGAGCGTCCACTTTTCCGGACACAGAAGCGGTGTGAATCCGGTCACCAGGGGGTTGATCCATACATTTTTGCGGCACCCGAAGTTTGAAATTGATGACTTTGCCCATGGAAACATCATCAATCCTGCAATGGGCGTCGATTCCGTTGCTTGATGTGTTCTGCCCAAGACAGGTGCACTTGCCAATGCACGCTGGCCAAGTGTTAAGTGGTGCCAAAGCTTCTGCTTGCCTAGGCCACTTGACCCTTCTTGTTGTTGCTAACCCACTTGCGACCCCAGGGAGTTTGCCCGCCGTTCACGTGCTGCTCTGAACTCGCACTTATGTAGGATAGTGCCCAAGCTCCCGACAGTATGCCGCCAAGGACTATACCTTGCAGCAATTTGTAATCAACAGATCAATCAAGATAGGGTTTTTCAGGGTGTAGCAATCGGTCCAAGATGGGTAAGTCACGCATCTCCATTTGATACTACTTATCGCGCACAAAGATCTATCGGTCTTTTTCCCCGATCAGTCACAACAATATTGTTTCCATGCTATGACCATATACAAGGGACTTGAGCCAAATGCAGTGCGGGCACACTTCACACATCAACATGCTAGGGACCATCAGAACTACAAGCAAGCAAGTGGCCATCAGAACAGTGCCGAAATATGCCTGTGGCGCCCTCAAATCGTACATTCCTCGCGAGTGGCAGTCAAGAAAAGGTGCTACCAGACAACTCAATGAGCAAGTGTTGGAGTAATTATGTTGTTTGTCGTTTGTGGCAAGGATAAATTGCAGCAATCACAAGAAACTTACCATCTTGGAGTAGGCTTGCACGATCAGCAGCTTGAACAGGTAAGACTGTTTCTGGCGGTCCCTCAAAGCCTGGGTTCCTCAAGAACTGCAGTCAAGTCGCTGCCGGACGGCTCAGCGAGCAAGTTTTGGAATACACAATTTGTGGCAAGCAGGCCAGTTTGCACCATCCGCAACTTGAGAGATTGGCCAGCTGCGCGCTTCTGTCTTGCCGACATGCAAGCTATTGGCAAAGTGTCTAGTTCCCTGCGCGCACATCTTCTTGGCATATCCACGAATGGCCCCGAAAAAGCCGATCCGAAAGCCTTTGTGTTGAGCAAGAGACTGAAGTCACCTTGTAGATCTGGCTTGATGTTTTGAGTTTTGATGAACGCTGTATGCTTGAGCCACCCCTAAATCTGGGGAAACGCAAAAGCTCTGTCTGGGTTGTCGAATCTCAAGAGGTTAACTCTTGAACACACTCCGGGTCATGCACGGCGGTGCAACCTTGTTGTTGAAAGCTGATGTTTGCTTTTGCTTTTGTGTTATTCTTACTCCCTGAGTTAATGGACTTTAAACCTCTTGGGCAGACCATTTTAGTGGTAAAACCAAATTTAGATACTTTTATGGCCAGTTTACTCCGGGAGGGAGCGTATTGAGAGACTTGGGCTCAACACGATGTGCCACGGCCAACCACTCCGATTTCTCCGCCAGAAGTTGCTTTCTAAAGTGGGCCCCCACAAGGAGTTCTGGTTGTGGCAGGGGTAACAGCGGCCCCAGAATCGTCCAACAGATTCTTGGGCCATCCAGAAGGCCCCGTTGGCCTGTTTGCCCCAGGTTTGGCAGCGGCCGCTGAGACCAGCCAGCCGCAAGAGGAAGAGAAGAAGAAGGTGGATTCGCCTTTCGGATCCAAGGGGCCAGGTGGCCGATTCGGCCGACCGCAGACCTTGTGAATTCTGATCTCAAGAGAAACCAGTCCATTTACAGGAGCCCAAACAGTTTGAATGGGGTTGTTTGATGTAAAACTAGATGAGCTATCACTGAAAAGGTGCGTTTAAGGGACATGTATTGGACTGGGTAGGCAATCTAAACTACGAAGGCGGTTTGTTCTGTTAATAAAGAAGGATCCTCACAACATGACCAAACACTCAACACGAACGTGTCTCTTCAAAAAAAAAAGGATTCAGAGATATTCAGGTTTGGCACATGGATGGAGCGGCTGAAATTCAGTCATAGCAACAGTCTGCTACTGGTAACTCTTGAGTCACTTTACAGCTCGAGACTCAACAAGTTATTGACCAGGGTTGCCAATGCCTCAATCCTAGGCTATCAAGTTACCAAGTCCGCTGACTCAAGCCCGTTTCATGTACACGATAGGAGCCACGTGGAGCCGACGCCTTTGAGGATGCAATTTGCACACATCGAAACCCAACACATCCAGTGGGTTGCCTTGGTTCCATTCTTGGAGGGATGCTCCCTTTTAGATAGCCTTTTGCAACTCAGGTGCGTGTCTTTTTTCCCCCATGGCCACTGGGGTCTTGGCAAACGTGAAGTAAACAATGGGATGCAGGTTTCAACGCATGAAAACCCCAAAGCCTCCGCCTTTCTGAGCACATCCCGACCCCTTGAAGATGCCGTTTGCGGGATTTAAGGAGCTCCGACCCCTTGAAGATTCCGTTTCCGGAAGCAAGGTAAGCTGCTCAACAGTTGTCCAAGGGTTTTCCTACGCATTACACCGTGGGATTATGCCCTTTGGAATCACCCTAGTTTAGTTTGTGCCGGACAATTTGGGGTAATCTCCCAATGTAATCCCAGGATGCAGTATAGGGGAATCCTTCTTAGCTGTGGAGGGTTCTTGGAAAATGGGTCTATCATTTTGAGGATACCCGTGTTGGGGGGGGTGTTTTCAAAGGAAACCGCAGGGCAACCAAAGATCACAACGCCAGGGCTGGTTGCAACATCAAAGAAGCTGGCCCCGTTAAAAGGGAAATCCGAACCGAATGGCTGTTTGGTGGCGGAGCTTCTTCAACTGTTTTGTTGAAACAGGCGGGATTTTCCGTATTGGACCCACACAAAAAGAACTGTTCGCAGAGGGGTCAACAGCAACCAAGAAAAGGAGGTTCTCAACACGACAGTGCTTTAAAAATAAATCTGTAAATCCCACCCACCCACCCTGCACGCATGTTCTGGCAGTGGTCCGAATTCAGGCAACGAAGACCAGTCCAGTACTTACACCGCGAACATCAAGCCTTTCCTGTGAAATCTTCAAGTAGTCCTTTGTGGACCATCTCAGAATACCAGGAACTCTGGGAGTCAAGCTGGTCTAGTTGGAAGGGAGCCGTTCCGGAGCTGGGAGTATCCAAATTCGCCTTTAAAGGGTGCTAGGGTTGTGAGCACCCCCAGCATCTGATCTTGGTCGGCCAGACTTCACCGGCAAAGCTTATGTTTGGCCAATGGATCCTTGCTTGACTCCGCGGCACAACCAAAGGAAAGCAGCTTTTGGTGGTTTGATGTTTCGCAGTTGTGGAGTTGTCCCCAGTTTTCCCAGGGTTTCATTGAACCAGTTTCCCAAATCTAGTCATTCCAGTTGTCCAAACCACTCGGACTCCTCCCAGCCCCCAGACCCCTCCGCGCTGAGGCCGATCGACCCCCGGGTGCGGGAGCTATGCCGGGACTATGGCATCGAGGAAGCGATGCGCCAATGAGCCAATCCTTCCATTGGCTGAAGGAGATGTGTTATTCTCCCCTGCTGGTTTTAAAGGGAATCTATCACTACTGAATGTATTGTATTTTTGTGCAAGGAGCTTAAGCAAATGGAAGATTCCATGGCCGGTCTTTGTGAAATGTTGTACTTTTTGTGAAGACAATGTTAGTGGCAAACAAGCTCGGGGTGTTGGGGACCCGTTCACCAGAGTTTGAACTGCCGCTAGTCTGGGCAAATACGATAAGTGCTTGTTTTCTTCTGTGTTTCAAGCCCAGCCAACTAAGGTGATGCGTTTTGAGCGTCCCTTTCCCTTGGTTCCGATGGTCGTTGAAGCTGTCAGGGCGACTCCCCCATTGCGTCTCACAAATAGCATGAGGCCGATGATCTTTTCGTGGCAGCGAGTGCAATCGGTCGCCATGCTAGGACAGGCTTATGCGGAAGCTGAACGATGTTATGCAGAGCCCTCAGTGGGGTGAGCCTGGATTTTTGTTTAGCACAACGGGTAGGCGTTTGTCCTAAGGCTTAAGGGTCAGTGCTTTTGTTTTGATGGTTTTCCCGTAGTTTTCCCGCCTGCGCCGCTTTTCGTGAGCAACGCTGAAGGGCCTTAAATGGTGTCCACTCCCCCAAACCACTTTGCACAAGATTTAGATTGGACATACACAGCCACTAGCCGCTATGCAAAAGATTATATATCTCCGGGTGTTGGGGTTTTGGAAATCAGCGAGAAATGCGACGAATCGTAAGGTCTACCATAGGACGCGCTAGTCTGGCAGGCATGCTTCACCATGTGTAGGTCTAGGGACCGGGAGGAGAACTCAGATGGGGTGCAAACTACCGGAGATCACCGACAAATGTCCATAGTTGGTGAAGCAGGAAGCTTTGTCTCGCTTTGTCTCAGGCTCTTGTGTTTGACTTCCGTGTTGCGTCCGGGTCAGCTTTGCTGCTTGTGCAGACCTGGAGCCAGTTGCTATTGGGCCAAATCTTGCAACCGCTCAACTTGGAAGGCCTGGTGATTCAGTGGATTCCACCCTTTTGCCCCTTCTGTTCGGTGGGTTTCCCATTAACATGATAAAACCCGCGCAGAGAAAGGCTGCATGTGCTTGTTTCTAGCCATAATACCCTCCCACCAACTAACATGGAACCTGACAGGGGGTCCCGTTAAAAGGAACATGGTCTTCCAGGACCCTCCTGTCAGGCTCTACTTTAATTGGTGGGAGGGTATCTTTCCTCCTTGCTGCCATAAGCCATGCGTTCTTGGCTGAGGATGCGTCGGCCGGACACCTTCGAGGATGACTTGAGAACAGTTCGCGCCAGACTATCAAAGGACGGGGGAAGGGGGGAAGGGATACGCGCGGATGAACCTGTTTCAACTTCATGATGGCCTTGGTAACCATGTCTTTGTAATCTCAAATACTTGGAATCAACTCCAAAGTATCTTTTCTATCCTTGATTAGCCCTTTGATTTTTGTTGGTGTGATCCGGGTGCGCTTTCCTAAGCCATGAAACTAGAAGTCGATTTGGCACTGATGTCTGTCGGCTTGCCATGTGGTCCTTGCATTGGATCCAATCCTATCCCGTGCGTGTTGTGTCTTTTATTACCTTTAGCCTTTATCCAACAATCCAGGATTGTTCGGAAGTATTCTGAACATTTGCAGGGACAAAACTGGTAGAGAAGAAGCTGTTGATTTAGGCAGTGAACTAATCAAGCCAGAATAAGCAAACAAAGAGCCAGACACAACAACCAACGTGAAAGTAGGCAAGCAAGCACACTGAAAGTCAATCTGGCAATAAGCCAGGCAAGCAACGACTCCATCCATCCATCCATCCATCCATCCATCCATCCATTCATCCATCCATCCATCCATCCATCCATCTATTCATTTATTTATCCATCCATCCAACCAACCAACCAGCCAGCCAGCCAGCCAGCCAGCCAGCCAATCAGGCGCCTCAATGCGTAGCCTGGGGACCGTGAAGCTGGAACGTCCGGATTTGACAAGCTTCGGGGATGGCGTCTATAATAGAGAAACAACCAACACAAATCAAAACAAACAATGCTTGGATGGATCCAAAGGGGAAAGCCAACGTTAAACGGCAAATGGCAAACCAGGCAGCCTGCCCCATCCATGTTCATTCTTCTCCAAAGACCAACAACTCAGGGGAAAACGATTGGTTCCTGAGCAGAGAAGAGGGTGAAGAGAAGAGGGATTCAACCCCTAGGATTGACTGCACAAATTCTAACAAGCTTTCCTTGCCGCCTGACGTCACTGCGCCCCCAAAATTGGGTCCTGCTACAACCAATTCAACGGATCAGCTCCAAGCCAGCCGCAGCCAAACCTCGAAGGGTCGATCGACTAGGAGCGGCCTGACATCGGGGTGCTCATCACACAGCTGGACCGCGGCATCTTCGTGACCAAGGCCAACATCCATCCGGCGCCTTGGTTGAACCTTCGGGGGGGGGGGTTCGGCGATGAATTTTTCAGTGCACCTGAAAAAGTGAGCCACCCGATTCTGATGTCCAAAGAGTCACTAAAAAGTCATGTCACTTGGGAAGTATTCAGAGTGGTACCCTTTTCGGTTCGCGTGTCCTTAGAGTTGCTACCCTTGTTGACGGTTAGGTTGGAGGTGAGGAACCTATGCCGCGTTTTTCCCCCGAAAGTCCTTCTTTTTCGGGCTTGCTCCCACCAACAAACATGTTCACCCTTCTTGTGGGTAAACGCGGTATGGGTGTATATTTCTTTAGGGGACCCCCCAAAATGGTAGGTGTTCCCTTTGGTTGTCCCTCAAACCCCCAACAAAAAAAAGGTACCCTCAACAAAAAGCAGACCCATATGCCACAGTTCTAAGCGTCTAAGGGTCTACTTTTGCCGCCGCAAGGACATGGTTTTTTCCAAGCGTTGGAGCCACGCTGGTTTCCGAGGAAGCAACCAAGGAGAGCCCAGTCTGCACGGGCTCAAAGCCCAGTTTACGCCATTATGTGAGGTGCCAAAATGTCCAGCAGATGGTCAATTTGGTGGCAGCACAGGGGGACTCACTGAATTTCCCACCAGACGAGCGCAACAAAAAGGCGACAGCGCAACCAACATAGGATGTGTCTTGGCTTGGAACTTCGTTCTTGTTTGATTCAAAGGCAAAGAAAACCAACCGGTTCTTGGAAACAATCCCATATCTTTCACCGTGTCTCATGGGCTTCCTGGGGATGAGACTTGGGAGTGAGCGGGGGTTCTTGGTTCACGTCTTCTTTCCTTGCTGGTTTCGATATCTCTTTGTAGCCAATGTTCATTGAGATTATATGAGTCAAGTGTTTCTTCAAGGGGACACTAGGGAACCCCGTTCTTGGCACGCCCAAATAATGTCGGTGGCCATCCATTTCCCTCACCTGTACGGAGCCACGGCTATGCGCCAATCACCAGCACTGATCGGTTTGCTCCGGTTTTCGGTTCAGTGTCAAAGTTCAAGGTTGCACCACCTTTCGTCCCCGAAAGTCCGTGCCCTGCAGGGTAATCCCCCGCAAGAAGTAAACTGGCATTAGCTAAAGCTGGAAAGTCATAATAATATATATATATATATACCAAGGCTTGGACAAATCAGTGTAAGATTGTCCGGCTGTGGCGCTACATTCCTTCCTTGCTTGCTTGCGTGCTTGCTCGCTCGCTTGCTTGCTTGTTTGGTTGCTTGCTTGCTTGCGTGCTTGCTGGCTCGCTCGCTCGCTCGCTTGCTTGCTTGTTTGGTTGATTGCTTCCTTGCTTGCTTGCTTGCTTGCTTGCTTGCTTGCTTGCTCGCTTGCTTGTTTGGTTGGCGTGTTTGTTTTCTTGTTTGCTTGTCTGTGTGTGTGTGTTTGCTTATTGTTTGTTTTCGCCCTTTGAGCGCACATGTTCATTGCCGTGTATGCTGCGCTCAGGACATGAAGCTCATCGTGGACAAGTACAACTTGGATGCCGGGCCCGTCAGAATCCACGAGCCTCTTGTAGGCTTTCCCGGTGGATGTCTTGGTTTCCGGTCCCTCCACTCCCTTCCGACCTCAAGTGAAGATCTCAGGCAGAACAGGGCTCCTTAAAAGATACATTTTGACCGTTTGAAACATGATGCTTTTTCCACCAAAATAAAGGGAACCCACCATGTACAAGGCAATGTTCAGGTGTATAATGTAAGGATCCCCTGCTCAGAAGTTGCCATCGGAACCAGTCTGCGGGTGTTGTGAACCCGTCGGTGATTTGGATCCCTGGCTTTGGATTCAAATGAGAAAGCAACCTCTAAATCACCGTTCCAACCAAAGGGCAGGCTGAACAAAGCCGATATTTACCAATCCCAAGGACCAAACAAGGGGAATGTGCTCGCCAGACCAACTGACGCCCGACCCTCGCGCGTCCAGTCCGTCCAGTCCGTTCCGTCAGGATCGCGCGACTCAGCGCCTGGTGGAAAGCATGCGGAAGCGCAGAAAGACCATGAACGAGGAACATCCTGCGGGGAGCATCCGCCCAGCACTACTGATGCACAAAATCCGCGGTCGGCACGAGTTAGTTGGCAGGCGGTTTATCCCACTCAGGGAGGGTCTTCTCCATGCAGGAATTCGTCCAAAGGGGCCTCGCAAATCAGAATAGGGTTGGGGTCTGCGACTAAACCAAATTGCTCCAGGATCATAGGGCACATTCTACCCTCGTTCCAATGATCATAGTGTCAAGTTTTGACAAGACTGTCTTCCAAGACCCGTCTTTCAGCTTTGCGTTGGAAAGAGGGTTGGCTGTACCTCAAGGTTGGGCTATAGGTCAATTCCTGTTGGGCTCCCGCTGGATGTTTTGTCAACAGGGACAGGGGGAGGGGGGGTTCAAATTTCGAGACACGGCCAGCTGGCCAGATTCGGAGGTTGGGACTCCGGACGGTTTTGACAGCTTTCCACCTCAAGGGTCTCATTCTTTGGAGAAACACTGAAATGGCAGTGGATCGAAAAATGGTACCCAAAATGGAACCTTGACATGGAAACAAAGACGAACACCTGCGGTTTGCCCCAGCTGTTTAATTGTGAGCCACGCCCAAATGGAAGCCCGAATTTCGTTTTTGTTTCGCGGAGCCAAGAAAGTGGCCAGGATATGGACACGCATTGGTGGTTTGGCCTGGTGGTTTGGGGTCCCCAGCTTCTTGTAGAGGGTAAATAAGAACCCCAATCAACCACCAAAGCACCGGCCTCCCTTCCCCCCAAAACACAACCAACAACACCCCCCAAAACACAACCAACAACACCCCCCAGCCCACCCCACCCCACCCCAGCCCACTCCGAACTCGGAGGGAAGCTGGCAGGACCTCAAGGCGCTGGATATTCGGCTCGCCAGCGCGGAGCGGCCCTCGGGCCTCCTGATGACTCTGCTGCAGGCTCGGCTCGGCTCGGCTCGGCTCGGCTCGGCTCGGCTCGGCTCGGCTCGGCTCGGCTCGGCTCGGCTCGGCTCGGCTCGGCTCGGCTCGGCTCGGCCGGACGTGGATCGAAGGCGAAAGATGGAGACAAGGCGGCCCCTACCATATGTGCCATGGTCAAAAGGCCAGTCGCTGTAGCAGGGGTTAACAGGGATGCTCAAATCCTCGACCGTTATCATGATTCCGATTAAGGGATCATGACCATAGGCCATATATGAGCTTTGACCATGGCACATGGGGGGGGAGTCTCCAAGTAGCTAGACCCCCCTTGGGTAAAATGGTTAACCCACGCCAGATATGTGCGTGTCTATGTTTGGTTGAGGGTGTTATGTTCCGTGTTGTGTCAAAAGGAAACATTAGGGAAACAGCCAACTTTGGGGGGGTCCTTCATTTTATGTCACGCTTAAATTTGGGAATGGCGGAACAGCCCACGGTTTTGGTTGGTATTTAGCCAAGAGGGAATCCTTGCCACTTTAGGGGACCACGATTTTGAGAACCCCCAAAGTTTGTTGAGAGTACCCTCTTTTGGGGTTGGCTCAAAGGGAATCCAAAACCCAACATCCTTGTTTCCCACTCCAAGTAATTACACATCCCTCCCTTGGCTGTCAACATCACCTTACGGAAAGGCCTATGTCAATCAAGTTGTTCGTAGGGGACCGGTTGTAGGTCAAGTTTCCATTTACCTGGGTTCCAGTTTGGGGTTAGCCTATTCTTGACCCACAGCCATTTTACAGAAAAAGGTTATGACTGGTATGGGGCGGAGGAGGCCATTTTAAGGCCCATTCAGGTAGACGCAAAGGCTTGGGCAAAGTAAACCAAGGGAGCCCTGAGAGTTTCTATGGATTTGCAGGGCTCCTTAAAAGATCTCCATTTTGCAACCAGTTGAAGCATGGCGCATCATGGCGCTTTTTCAACACCAAACTAAGGGGAAACCGCCATTTACAAGGCAATGTTCAGGTGCATAATGCAAGGATCCCTGATTTGCCGGTTTTTGAGGGCACCCTTGATACCTTGGGTTTAAAGGGGAACCAAGAGGACATCCACGATCTCGGGCCCTCCCTATTTTGACATACCCCATGTGCCTACATGATTCATCTAGAGGGGTGCACTTTGCTCTGATTGCGTTTTGACTTTTGACCTGAAAGCAGTTGCACCGCTCCCAAAGAGGACTTCTTGTGCGGGTTCGAGGGGTCTTACCACATCATCCTCCATGACTAAGCATGGTGTTCAAGCACTCCACCAACCCCTTGAAATCATTAAGGCCCATGTTGACCCTGGATCTTTTTTTTCAATCCGTCCACTTTTTGGGGGGGTGTTCTCCTCAAGTGGTTTGACCCAACCAGGACCACCCGTGGCGGGATCGATCCCCGGCCCGGAAGCTCCGAATCGGAGCCGATTTGGGCAGACGAACCGCGTTCCGCGGGGTGTTGGCCGCGTTCCTTTGGTGCGAGTGGGGTTCTATTTAAATGAAGCAAGGTCGAACTTTTGGCCCGAAGACCGAAAAATCGGAGCAGCCCGGGGTCGATTGGTTCGAGGCTCCCAGTAGAGTCCATGCGGCTCGCGTTCGGAGCGGCCAGGGCTTGGACACCACGGGGAAGCTGCCAGCACCTCCCAAGTCGCTGGGACTGCCAGGTGAGGGTCACCCCGTTCCGTCGAGTCGGAGTCGGAGTGGCCGAGATGAAGCAAACCCCAATGACGCACTTCCTGGGCTATCCTGGGCTTGCCTTTTTTGGGGAAGACGGAATAGATAACAGCTTGGACTTGTTTTTTGCCAATCAACTCAAGAAGTGGGCTTAAATGGCGTCATTTTTTTGGCTTCTGGGCATAGGGCATGTCCTTTTTGGGTTAGCTTGGTCAGAAATCCTTAGGCCTTTTTTAGGTTAGCTTAGTTAGAACTAGATGGCACCAACGTCGACCCCGGATAAATAAACCTTTGATTGGCATTTTGATGGGGGGTGTCAAATTTCTGTTAGTGGGGATTCAGACCTCTCATGGGTGACACCCCCCTATTTCTAGGACGGCATTGTTAATCCGGGGTCACGCCAACTGGGGTCATTGTTTTAGCTGTTTCTGGGGGTTTGCCACCTACCATGTAGTGTGTGTCTTCGCCGGCCATTCGGGGTCCTTTTTCCCCCACGACGCATTGCCTTGAGAGTTTTTGCATTGTTAAGCGCACGCAAAGACAAAACCAGATACAGAAATGCGAGACATGGATGCATACGCAAATGAAGAGGAGTAGGCATCAGTCAAGCAACAAGCGCACAGGCATGCCAACAGTGCTGGCTTGCCCAACCCTACCTCAACGCTTTTGGACTGAGATACTCAGAGTTGGGGAGTAGAATTTGCACCCGCTTTCTGCTTTCGCTGCGGGTCGTTTGAGATTCCATAGCGTGCGAATATCGGAGATGAGGCAGGGCATGTCAGGAATGCGCATGTGCCTTGGCGATGAGTGGAGACTCCGACATGATGGGCTGTTGTTGACTATTTGGCTTGGCTCAGGCAATTGGACCCACTCCGAACCAAGTCCAACCCGCTCCATGCACCTGGAGACTTGGGTCGCCCGAGGGCCTCTTTCCAGTTTGCAGGAGCCAAACAGGAGCATTCGGTGCAAACAAGAAGGAGCTTTCCGAATGGCCGAACGCGAACCATGCTGATTCCACTGGTTTTCAGTGTGCCAGTCTTACGAGTTTGCGCTGGATGGTGTTGTTTCTGCCCGAAAGGAAGCCACCTGCGGGTCGTTTTTGCTCTCCAGCTTCCCCCTGGTCGACAAATCGCTTGCCCGCCTCCGCCTGACTCGATCCAGATCCGACCGTGCCCACGGCGAATGCGAAGACGACCTCGCGCAGCTCGGTAGACAGGAGGTTCAGCGTGAGACTTCTTGTATTTTACAGCAGCGGGCTGCTGGCTGGGGGGAGGTGATACAGGTTGCCAGGATGTGTTGGCTTTCTTTGGGATGTGCTCTGTTTTGAGGCTGTCAAGACATGGTGAGCATCGACCTTTGCTGTTGGGGCTTCAAAAGGGAATAATGATTCACTAAGCCAGAAGGGGCCGGCCACATGGAATCTACCAGGCCCCAACAGGGGTGGCAGTCTATGTTTTTGTTTTTTAAACTTGGACCCACCAGTCATGCCATGCAAGTGCTTCCGCCCCCGGACTCCGCGGGTCTCAGTTGGCTCAGGCAGCTATGGCAGCCGCGAGCCAGAGGCGGCTTTCTGTGGTTGGAGTAGCGGAGTATAGTCCGGCCAGCGTGTGGCATGATCACGATGATCAAAGCCTATCCAGTGGATGCCAGGCCACGGTATTTGTTTCTCGGCTTGGTCTCAGAATAGGGGACCCTCAAGAAGCGCACCGGAAGCAATACACCTCCCATTTGGAGCGTGACTTCTGTCTTGGGGATGAAGTAAAAGAAATTCCGGCAGCCGGCTTCCATGCAGCATCATGCAGCATTTGTTGTTTCTTGTGGCTTGCGCGAATTCCGCGGAACACTGAAAGCACTAGAAATACCAACATATACTGGAGGTTGCAGATGAAAATGTGAAAATGTTTCCACAGATCTCTGACCCCTGCAGTGACAGCAAGCTGAAATTAATTCGTGTCAAATGTGGTAGGCATACGCAAATTTTAAGCACGTAAATAATTGTTTGGAGGGGAAGGCAAGCTTTACGCCAAGACTTCCTGCAAACATAGAATTTTGAACCAGGGGGTAACCGCTTTAATGTTGCTCAAATAAACGTGGCCAGAATAATCACACGTCCCATGAATGTCTACTAACTCCGGAAAGCTTGCAGATATAGGGTCTTGATGTCTTCATTCTCGCTGACAATGAAAGGGTGTGAGCGCTGGTGGGTGCTTGTTCATCATGTGGCCACCTTGGTTGTCAATTGAATCATACCCTCTTTCCAGACATTCCTTATATGCGTTGAGCAAGCATTTCTCCCAACTAAACAGGTCCGGTTAGAAGCCGTGCGGCGAAGGGCAAAATCCTCCGCGGCTCCTACCGGGCCGCCCTCCAATCCTGTCGTTTGTCACAAACCTCGCCTCGCTGATGGAGAACAGAGAACTTTCAAGACTGCTATGCAGAAAGGATGTTTTCGCTTTTCGCTTCAAGTCTGAGCCTTGGTGAGCGCTGGTTTTTCATGATGCCAACGTTACGCGATTTTCTGAAATCAAAGCGTTCGAGTAGTCTCGCGGTGCAAATATGCAACGTCTCCTTTCAAGTGTGCACAACAGTACCTCTCCGGCATGTGGCAGCCCTAGCTTCACCTTGCAGATCCGCTGCCATGAAGCATTGAGCAGGAACAAAGGCGCTAGTGAGCATGGGGCGTGTTGGTAAGGCAGGTTGTTTGTGCTAGGCTGTTCCCACTGCCATATTGCAATGGCTGACTTTTGCATAAGTTGTATGGTGTCAAAAGGGAAACAACATGGTTTAGCAACCTCAGATCTCCAATTCATATAGCCAAGATTGTGAGATCGTAAGACATGGCAGGTGGCTAAAGTGACATCCTGGAGAGAATTCTAAAGCTGTTTGAAAGGAACTCAAGACACGACGCAGGGAAGATGCGCTTCACTGCATCACACGGAACATAACTATGCAGCCTTTCCAGATACATACACACGCAAGGAGAAGCCAAAGGAGAAGGACAGAAGCAGGGATCGAGATCGAGACCGAGATCGGGCGCCTGGCTTAGTGTTGCATCAGCCTGAGCCCTACTAAATATGTATGCAAGGAGTCTACCCTAAACCATGCAAGGATCTGAAAGCCCGCTCGCTTTTATTTACTGGAAATGCTGCTTCCTCGATTGCTGGGGTTTAAGTTTTGACTGCTTGACAACTCTGTGGTCAAAGCATGCTTGCTTCTGGCTGAAGACGGGCTGGCGTGTAGAAAGGCTGCTGCACCCCTCCCGAATGACGCACCCCAGTAGCTTTCCATGTGACAGAACCATGTTCCATGTGACAAGATCAGGCGCTTCTGCGGCTGCTTCTGTTTCTTGTTGTTGCTTTCCCAGGTCGGCGTGTGTTTTTTTCAGTCCAACCTAGACCTGCCATAATCGCCGCTTTTGATTAATCAGGGGTCCCCGCCCCCCCACCCGGCCCCCGCCCCCCCCCCCCCACCCTTCGCTGTTCTGCGACGCCCAGGACCGGGATCGGGACAAGAAACGCTCGAGATCACGGCGGCGCAAGTGAGAGAGCTTCCCGCGGGGGCCTGGAGATTGCCAGACTTAACCTCGCTTTGCTTGCCATTGGGTTCCTTCATTTTCCTTGGATGGTTCCCAGCCCGGTTCCTTAGGTTTTTAGGCTTTTGCTTGGTTTAGTGGGGGTTTCCATTTCACCCGCAAGTTAGACTTTTAGCAGGGGACCTGCGGACGGCCCAGTGAGCTTTTTGCAGGTCGAAGTCTGGTGAAGATGTTGCAATTCAAAGTTCGTTGGTTTTGACAGTACTATATGGGTGTTCACACAATTGCAGAGTTTTTGGTTGGTTTCTATTGAAACATCATCCAAAGAGCTCCCAAATTTATGACACACCCGTATCCTGAAATTCGAATCATTGTGGGGGGTTCCTTCCTGTTGGCCAAATAAGTCTGCGTGGAACGCTTAGAGGCGCACCTCCTTTTCATTGCAAACAGCGTTTGCACCGTAATTCCTTTGCACACCTTATAACAAGCTCATCTAGGTGAACGATGTCACCCATGATGTTGGTTGCTCACTCTTGTATACTATGTTGTGCAGATACTGGTTGCAATAGTTTTCAACCAATGCGGCAGTCAGAGCAAAGCCTCATAGGGTCGCAAGATGTGTTTGGCGCATTTGCATTACGCATTCTGCATAGCCTACGGTTGCACTTCCCCTTTGCATTTCGAGGCATTCAAGGGGCTTGTTGTTCCAACTTGACCTTTGACCGTTTTGATCCCTGGTATAAGTCATGGCCGAACCTGTGAACCGCGTCACGGTGCCCCTCGACCGCCTGGTTGTGTACGAATCGTTTGATCCTTTGGGGGAGGCAGAGGCGAGTGCTTTCTCTTGCGTGCGATTGTTTCACTATCAGAACGGGAGAAGATTCCGCCTGGCGAGGGCGGCATATGTGGGGCAGAAAAAGGACGGGGGAGGGGGGGGGGGATGGGACAAGGCATGAGATGTACGGGGCAACATGTCATGGAAGCCGTGTGTGAATACCGGGATAAACAGCCTACCAACTCATTCAGGATTTTGTCCATCCGTTTCTGAAGGTGATCAAAGGAGTCTACCCACTTGACAGGCAAAAGCCGTCTACCCGCTGAACCAGGATTTGGTTGTGGGCACGGAAGGATTTCGGAAAGATTTGGTGAATCGCTATTTAAAATCATTCGAACCCCGACTTTGCGAGTCTCTTTGATACGAGCAGGAGGATATAGGTTTGGTTAAAACGCTGGGTATGCCATTTCATTTTATGCCTCATGCTGGGTTCTAGAGTTGATTCTCTTCTGAAGCCACATCTTCCACAAGCTGTCAGCCCAAGTTGTCCATGTCCTCGTGGGGAGCAAACACGGCAATGTTGTCCGTAGGTTTCCATGGTGAGATGTCGACTTGGATTTGAAGTGTCATGTTTGGCAACCTTTCCTGAAGAGGTCGGGGCTGAAGGGTCTGACAATTCTGTGAACTCATGGAGTTCGAGGTTAGCGATGTGTCCAGCTGTTTCCCTCCATCCGTTGACTGAAGTTGATATGCGTCGACAGGGCGGTCGGGGCCTTCGGAGTCCCTTGAACAACTTTCACTTACAAGATGATATGAGTGAGTCTTTTTGTCGAGGGTCTGTTTCATGGGAAATCAAAGAGAGAACCCTTTCAGGGTTCGCCCATAACCCACTGTCCCATACATGTTCCCCAAGGCAGCACGCTATCTGTCAATGTGAGAGGCGCCCTTGGAAAGGCTGCTGAGTCTTAAGCGATGTTAAGCGCTCTTGGGGTTTGCAGCGCCCAATACTCCTGGCCATTTCAGATAACCCTACCTGGGACCTGGCTTGCCGTTGATAAAGGTTTGTAGTAAGGCCTATCTAAACCTTTGTAGCCTTGTTGGCAGAACCAAAAGTGGTGCGTCCCACGTGCCCCACACATAGAAGCGATGTTATGGCATCATCGCGCGCATGGGGTCCATTCTCGCGGGACCCAGGTTGACCAAAGGCGGGGTCATTTCCTTGCGATTCCCTCAGTGTGAAACTTATGGTTCAAAATGTTTTCTGATCAGTATACATTGTGTTTTCTAAAACAGCAATCGGACCCATCCAAATCGTGGGCTTCCCCTCCGTCATCCAGGAATATGGCTGTGGCTCAACAACATGTACCACAAGTTGGCGCCTTGGTAAATGGAAGCAAAGACTCAAGCCTGCGTAAGCCTAGCTCTTCAATTCTGAGCCACTCCCATATCCATATCCACCATCATTGCATGATCCGATCGAAGGCTGCCCCCGTTGCTCCAATGTACGCCGCTCAAGGGCCTCCGATCCGAATCCGGAAGCACAGCTCAGGCGGAGAAACACACCAAAAAAAAAACACGAATCCTTGCAAGGCATTTTTTTCAGGATACACATCATATGAACAAGCAAAGTTGCAATCCTGATTGCCGTAGAAAGCGCTCTAAGAGCACATCACGCCACCCAACTTGTTGATTTCTGAAAAAATCCATCTGCCAAAAGAAGACTCTTCAACATAGTTAGAGACACACTGAGGCATTGACAGTGCTTTGACTGAAGCTGGGCGTTTACCATGTGATCTGTTCGAGCTTCAAGCCGAGGGTTGCGTTGGTTGGGCTTCAGAGTGGAGCAAAGTTTGCCTGATGGAAAGACAAAATCCACTTGGCACCAGTTTGGGGTAGATGAGACTCTATTCTGAGACACACCACCTACCAGCTGGGTGCGGACACACGTGTCCACAGGCCACAACAAAGCCAGAGACACGCGCTTTTCGAGCACGGCCCCTTGGGAGCCAGGCGTTCGGAAGTCGAGCCATGGCGTGACGCCCGAAAAGAGCCGCTGGGCCTTGGACCCAGAAGCTCGAAGCTGCGTTTGAGGACCTGGCTCAAAAATCGGCAAACCTCAAAATGGGTTGCCCTTGTAAGAGGAATGGGCGAAAAGCTGCGGTCCGATTCCTGGTGGTTTACTTTGGACGTCTTGAGATCCGTGTCAGTTTCAAGAAAGGAGACGGAGGGAAGTCGTAAAAGTGGTTGTATGTAGAGGTGGGCCCTACCCGAAAAGATTCTCAGAACCCTTCGAGGAGAAGCCCTTTTGAGAACACTTTCGATTCTCTCCCTACTCACTTTACACGGGACTGCTAGACGCCTCCAGTTGGGCATAATGATGATGCTTGTCGCTCCGCGTCCAGCCCAGCCTAATTCGCCACCTTAATTCATATAGATCCAAATGGGATTCTGTCCACCAAATGGGTATTTCTGGGCTGGTTTGTGGGAAAGCCAAAAACACGGCCAGCATTGGCGTTCTCTAGGGCCGCGACGATGGCCAATCCGGTGAGCGAGCTGTCCGTAGCGGAGGCAGGGGAACGCTGGCAACTCCCGTTTTAACCGCCCAGAGGCATTTTCCTTCCCACAAAATTCCCGGCTTCCTTTGGCTTCCCGAACAAGCGAAAAGGAATCCTCATGGGATCCGAACCGTTTTGGGGCCATTGCTTGCCTTTGCCCGCGACGGGAAAGCGAGAGCTTAATTCTGCCTTATGGTGAGCTTGCGGGCAACACGACCTTCGGGCGAGTTGCCGCCCGGAGAAAAGCCGAGTCAGTCGCGAGATCAAAAGGTCAATCTTCAGTCGGGTCAGTCGGGTCAGGGCTTTCTCGGATCCATGGGCTGAGAATTTGATAGCTGGTGCCATGGGAGGGTTGTGAAGACCTTAGTCCTTTCATAGCTTCTCATAATTCTCATTTAGTTACATGCTTCTAAGCCCGTACGAAGTACCTGGGCCCACTCTCTTTTTGGGGCCCTTAGCAGTTGACAATGCTTCCATCGCGAACTCTAGCCCCGAAGTGAAAAGAGGAGCTTGTCTGATCAAGTTGGTCTCAAGAATCATGGCCTTGCAGCATTGCACGTGCCCCCCCGAAAAGGCAAAAGGACGCCGGGAAATGGAATGGCCCTGGGTTGGAACAAACATGTGCTTAAGTTCGTTGCCCAGCTCGCCGCGCCCGAAAGAGACCTACTGCAAGGCTTAGTTGGCAAGTCAAATCAATGCAGTTGTTGGCAAAAGCTCCCGGATCATCTCTCCGTTCGTTTCTTGTCATGACGATTCCGGCGCAAATCATGCGAAGTGGTGCCATCTGCTACCTAAACCCGATCTCCTGAGGCTAGACCCCCAAAACTTGGCAGGTCCGGTTGGCTTCAAAGAGGCCCCTCTATCCTGTGGACAAGGAGCTGGCGGTTAGAGCAAGATGAGTCATAAGGGAGTAGAAGGAATGATGAAAGTGCGCCTTACATGGTAATTCACCCCTCCAGTTTCAGGTTAGCCGAGTTTCATGTGTTTGCAAAGCGGGAATGGGGGTGGGGAGCGTTCTACTTGGATGTTGTTTTTCACGCCCTGAATCGCTTGCCTTGCGAAACTTTGCTACGTGTACGGGATAGGTGACCCTAAAGGAAGGAAATCGAACAAATGAGTTCTAGGATGCTACAACAAAAAATACTCCACCAGGTTGATTCATCCCGGGTCGACAGTACATTATACCTGGGGTTTTCTTCAAGCCTACCCTTTCAAAAGGAAACATATAACCTGCACATGGATCCCCGGTGGAGGAGAATGATCGAAACCAGGAAATCCTGTGCAGGGTACCCTTTTTCTAACCTCTCTACTACAAGACCTAGACATGAAATCCGACCTTGGGCTCACAGGCAGCTCAACTCCTGCTGGCATCCAGAGAGCTGCTGGCTGATGAGGACATCCGCAGATCACCACTGCGCTACCAGCGCGTGGGTTTGTTGTGACACCCCCAGCAAAAAAAACCGTCTCTTCAATGTCGAATCCGTGGCTGAACTGGAATCCCTTAAGTGATCAAGTAGTCATGAGAAGCACCCACATATTTGGGTGTGATAGGTTTCGAGTGATGAATTCCGCTATGTTCCGAGCTACTCCGTACTGGGTCTTTCAATCACGGATGTGCCTGGACCCCAAACTGAACAATTTTGTCTCCAGTTTCCCTTGGAAACAAGACGACAAAGGTACACCCAGCGAGTTTTCTGTTGGTTTTCCTTTCAGGCCCTTCCAAAGGGGGTCCCCAATGCGCGTTTGCTTTTCTGGTCTTTCCAGTTTATAAGTTTTAGATCAACAAGGACGCGTCGCGGCGCGTTTCTCCATGCTCAGCGCAACGAAGTACATGTTTGCCCCCAAGATAATTCTGTTGACGTTTCAGCGCTCCTACGCCATGAATCCTAAAGCCTGACTACTTCGCTGGTCCCGGTGTTCAGCCAACGGTTAGCCACACGTAGGGAACTCCCAATTGCAATGATTTGCCCAAGTTGACTCCCTGCAACTCTTGAGAACTCAGGTAATTAGCAATTTCGCTAGTTTCTAATCCAAAGCATCTACCTAGTTATTCAGTGGCACCCTTTCGCCCTGTTGCTTAAGGTGATTGCCCCGGTATGGGGAAGTCAACTGGAGCTGCGCCAAGTGATGAAAGGTTTTGGGAGGCTCACAGCTAGTTAGGGTTTAGGGTTATACCAACCACTAGCCAACTCCAGCTACTCTTCCTCCCAAACTTGGAATTTGTGGGAGTGTACCTCGAGTATGATGTTCCTCTTCAATGGACCTTTGTCAGCTGCCATGTTTGTGGGAGAGATGCCTTCAAACTTTCCCTCGAGGAGTTGTTGGAGAATCTGGCAGGCAGGTCGCTGGGAGACCTGCGGTGTCTCGGACCTGCAGCACCCTTGAGCGGGGTTCTTTCGCTCAACCCAACTCCTGGCCCCCTGCAGATGAACATGGAACCCAAGAACGCATCCCAAAAAAGGGAGATTCCTTGAAAACGGTTGCTTGAATGGATTCCATGCTCTGCAGGAATGTAAGGTCCAGACGGTCTGTTTGTGAGACGGGTACATTTTTTGGGCTACAGGGAAGCCACGGTTGTCGCATTGGGAACACACTGCAGCTCCATTCAGGCAAGCGATCGACCTACGGGATTCGGTGTGTGAAGGATGTTTCTCAGCCATGAAGCTCGCTACTGTGATAGGACCCTTGTTTTCAGTGGGGTGTTTCTCAGAATAGGGGTTCCTATGCAGATGGTTTTAGGGGGGAACCAAAATCAAAAGGAAACCAACTGCCTGGAAGGGTCGCTAATTTGGCGAAGCACCCAGTGCCACAATCAACACCGTAGATGAAGGGTCGGGACAGTCCCGTAAATAGGTTCAGATATCCGTCCTTTCAATTATTTACATAGGTTTGGGTAGACCATTTCGATACTGGGTTTTATAGTGTGACTCAGTTGGTGAATGATGTGAATTCACCTAGATTGGCATACGCGAGGTTGAAGCACTGGATGTTCGGTAGGGAATGACTGATTTGCTCGCCAGACACTTTTTTGCGGCCTATGGTCGTCACTACGTCTGCTGTTCGGGTCTCCCGAATGGCCTTAATTCAGGAATTTGTTTGCTGCCCGTTGCTTCCTCGAAGCATCTTGGTGCTTCTTTGGCTTGCCTTTTTGTCAACCAGTGATTATGCTGCAGGCGACGCGGTTGAGAAAATAGGCGCACACAAGAGAGCTGTGTTCTTAAGCCACTTTTGAAAAGGTGGCTTTCCACGTTGCTTTGTGGCGTGTTACGAAAGAGGGCTGGGAAAGAAACTGGATTTCTGTACTGGGCGAGAGGAAACTTCTATCTTTTCTTGGTGTTGTGTGGCTGACAACTGAATGTGTAAAAGGATCCAACGCAGTGTGTTGCCTAGGTTTCGCCTGGACAGTTCTGCTTGAAGACTGACACCAGTAAAGTCATTGTTTCCGACGTGTGGAGGAGATTGGAGGAGCTTTCGGTTGTCTTCTGCTTGGCAGAGGATGGCTTCTTAGCAGCAGCTGCGCTGGCACACACTTGCCGTGAAGGCGCGAGGCTTCAAGGTGTGCGACTGCTCAACATCCGCATTGCAAGATTCCCCAAATCAAGGCATCTCTTCTAAAAGGCGAGCTTCATCCAAATGAGCCAAAAAAGGGAACTGAAGGGCGAACTTGAGAACCTGGCAAGGTTGTCCTGCTTATCCAGCTTGCCAGAAATCTCATCCAGCTTGCCAACATCAGCCCTCTGCCTGGAGCCGGCTGCTGCCTCGAGGGACAACACGCCGGCTTTGTCGTCTATTGTATCACCAGAACCGCCAAGCCCAAAGGACGGCCTCTACGCCGTTGCGAAAAGAAAACCCCAAGCGAAGCACTCCAACACTGATCCAAGACTGCGCGAAAGTGGTCATTCAGCTCCTGTCAGTGGGCACGAAGGCTTGGCCTGACAGATGTGGCCTTGAATTCGAGCAGCTCTTTCATGCTGACTGAGTTATGCCTGCCAGACTGCTGCTTTTTGCAGAAGATGGTCCGGTTTGGGACGGGGCCAGTCTGCTGTGGAGTGCAGACCTGCTTCGTCGCACACTGAGGCTCGGTGCTGTGACACCTGTCGTTGCCAAGGCTTGCCTGTGCCCATGCCCAGACATGCTGGTTCATTCTTTGGGCGTTGTGTGGACCGTCTGCTGCGCTAATTTGGCTAGCTGGGTATTCCGCTGAGAGTGTACTTAGAACTTGACGAACTCCCGCAAGGAGATGGTGCTTGATGCCGGGGTTTGCACAAGCACGCTAGGTATGCAATCTGAATTCCCCGCAAAGGCTCATGGAGTCATTCCGTCCGTGCATGCAGGCGTCAACCCAGGCTAGGGGGGCTCTAAGTTGGCCTCTTCGAGCCATGCCATTGATGTGGAGGCTGTTCCCAAATTACCAGTCCCCCTTTTAAGGCAATGGCTCGAAAAAGGGCTCAGCCTCTAGCGTGTATTTCTCGGCTAGCATTGCTTTGGCTTGCTGCTGAGGCGTGAGATGGGGTACTCCAGTTAACGTGCTCTGGTGTTCACAAGGCTAGAGGGCCACTGGGCGAAGTTTAAGGCGACTGTACTCTTTGCATGGGGCAAGCATGGCAAACGCATGACGCCCGACCATGCAATCAGCAGAAGATGCTCGAACACTTCACGTTCAGAATGTCATGTGTTGGGTTGGCATCTAGGTCAAAAGGTTCAAGGCACGAAAGGCCGGCTAGCATAGCGGCTTGGGTCACTGGGTGAAGCTGCCCTGAAAACGTCAAAAAAATGCCTTTCTCCAAATGTCTCCGGCCGGGTGGCCATTTGGACTCCAAGCCTGTCTGCTCCCGGTCGACTCTTTTGGGCCCTTAGGAATCTTTGTCAAGCCTGACTTAAGCACGCCTGGTGAGTCGTTTCACAGCCCAGGAAGCCAACACAGCTTCGGGGCTAACACAGCCTTGCCGGGGTCAGATCGCAGGTGGCAACGCTTTGCCGCCTGACCCGGCCTTGGGGGTCATGGAGCAGTGTTGGGGGCTGAACAGGCAATTTTGTTGAACAACCAACAAGCTCCTCTCCAGTGGCACCAACCCTCGTCAAAAGAAAGGCACCAAAAAGTGCATCCGCCACGTCCCTGAAAGGTGCTCTCCCACATGCGAAGTGAAGTGCAGATGTATCATGGGTAAACAAAAAATGCACGAGCCTCGCGTGTGGCTGGGACAGCCAAAACCCTGCAAACATGTCACTGCTTGATGCCGTGGGGCAGAGTGTTGATGAAAGGCCCTGGCAAGACATGCTCTTGCCACAGGCGCATGTCTGATTCGAAGCAGCGCCGTGCGAGCCGCAGTCTAAGTCCTAAGTAGTGCTTGGTCCAGCACAAAGTCTATAGTGTAACCATGCGTGCTCCACCGTCCATAAGTCAAAGTAGCATCAATGCCGCCAGGGGTTCAAGCTCTACGTCTCCAAGTAGGTTTGGCTATCGACGCCAAAGTGCGCACCATATCCTCAAAATACTTTTTTATAGATCCGAGCAGCAATGTTCCATCGCCACATAGACGTAGCAAGCGCACAAAAGGATAGCCAGCAAAAATACAGGCCCTTTAAGGATCGCCAGAGTCATGGATGAGCAGATCAGCATGCGCAATACCACCGCAGAACCATACGTATCTGATGTAGCCAAGGAATTGCTGCTACCTGGAGCCCAAACAGAACATGGCCAAATCATGGCCCTCATTGTTGCGGTGTTGGCTGTCGCCACCAACCTTGAGTTGGTGTGCAGTTCTAAGGAGAATGCCACCGTTCGAGCTGCAGCAGAACACCTTGCGCAATTCTTGCATCAACCCTCTTTTGGGTGGATCAAAGCCAAGCGCCGCGAACATTGCGGCGCAAATAGCCTTTTGGGCGCTTGGAATCTTCACCTGAGTTGTTTTGTCGGTGCCAGGATTGCCAAAGACATCCTACTCGTCATTTGCATTGTGGTTCACAGTGGACTGCAAGCATGGCGGTCTGCTCATCAATTTGGGATGTTGGATGCATGAGATTGGCTTGTGGGTTGGAAAGTCATAAAAATGACCTGTGAAGGATTGGGTTGGCTCGTTCGTTTTGGATTGGCTTGTGAGAGAGATTAGATTGGCTTGTGAGGAGCATTAGATTGACTTGTGAGCGTCAGATTGGCTTGTGAGAAGGGTCAGATTGACTTGTGACCGCTTTGGCAGTTTCGAGCATCAATTTGACTTGCTAGTTGTACAACGAAAATCCGCCGACCTTTTGTCTGCAAGGGCGAGGTGTCATCATCCATCATCCATCATCATCATCATCACCATCACCATCATCATCATCATCATCCTTCTTCAATCAACGATCATTCATCATCCATCATCAGCATCATCATCAGCATCCTCTATCATCCATCATCCATCATCGATCATCCAAAACCATTATCATCATCATCGTCATCATCATCCATCACTCATCGTCACCGTCATCATTACCCAATGGTGATCATCGTCATCATCCTCGTCGTCGTCATCAACCAGTCATCATCATCACCATCATCATCAACGTCATCATCATCATCATCATCAACATCATCTTCACCCATCGTCGTCATCTTCGTCACGGTCGTTGCACCTTCATCATCACCATCGTCAGCTCAGCTAATATCTCACATACGCCTCTACTGTGCTGTTAGGCAGCGCTCGGCGTGAGGGACGATAGTCATTCTGCCACGGACGATCGTCATCATCATCATCATCATCACCCATCATCATCATAATCATCATCATCTTCATCATCATTATCATCACCCATCATCCATCATCCGTCATCATCATCATCCTCACCAGGTTGGTCAACCATCAGCATCATCATCACTAGCATCATGGTGATCATCATCCCCATCGTCATCATTATCCATCCTCATCCTCATCATCACCAACGCTCATCATCATCCATCATCACCATCATTGCGATCATCAACATCATCATTATCATTATCATCACCATCATGGTTATATTATCTGATGTCCACCAATAATTACCCAATTAAAAATCATCAAATCTTTGGGAGGAACCCTCATTTTCTTTTTTGAGGTGTAATTAGGTGTGTGTGTGTGTGAGTGTGTGTTTTGCGAATACCGCTGCATTTCTAGCAGACCGTAGTAGACCTCTGCTCTTGCATGACGGGACTCTCCCTTTCTTGTTGTTTGAGAGTTTGAAACTGGATGACTGTTCCGCTCCGGGCGACCACAGCAACGGACTTGGCAAAACATGAGACGTGAATGAACCCCAAAGCAGCGTGGCATGATTCGGTACTTTTGCAGGGCAACCTGGCTTCTCTTTTCTGATCAAGACCCATGGTTCTTGGGCTGTAGGAACTTGGGGTGCCATGGGAAGGTCTGAGGTCCAACTGATCAGATGAAAGTTGTGCCGGAGACCAATGCTGTTGACCAGGGTGCTTTAGCAACAGGCCGCTCTTCTGCGCCTGTTTGTGGAAGTCGTCGAGTTCTTTCGGTGCTCCTTGTGTCCGTCACCCTGACGAGGGCCACCCTCACTATTTTCGCCATCCTCAGCACTGAGTTTGATCAAAGGTTCTTGTACGGTGACCTGCCCATTTTAGTGCAACTGGCAGATGGCTTTGCTCGGCCCGCGGTGGCGGCTGTGGGTTTGGTACCTTTTTTCTTCCGCTACAACCGAAAGTCCGTTCTGCAAGGGATGAGCCTTGCTGGATGCGTATGTGTTATGTGTATGTCCTCTATTTTGGACCTGCTTGCATTCCTATTCGCCCTCCCCCCGTCGAGTACAACAACACCTTTCACGTTTACTGGCCCGATGATGGGGCTCTGCTGGTTTACCCGATTCGGGCAAACGGGTGTCGCATGCTGGAAGCTTGCACTGTTAGGCTGGCGCAAGACAGCAGTAGGAAGCTTGTATGCTTCAAGCTGCTGGGCGTTGCTCTACGTGCTCAGGTCCTACCTGAGGTACGACCAACTTAAAGAGTTCCTTGAGAGTCTTGCAGTTGTGGGTCTCTTCTTGGGCAGTCTAGGTCTTCTAACAGCAGTGAGTGTGTCGATCTTATTTTACGAGTTCATTGTGAAGCAACGGATGCTGAGACAGATTGCGGATCAGGATTTGATCAGAAAGGCTTCCAGAGCTGCGTGGTTCTTGCTTCTCGGCGCCTTCCTGCTTTTGCTGGATGCCATCTACTTGCCTTTGGTGGAGTTCTTTGGCCACGAGATAGGCCTGAGTCCGGCCCTGTTTCTGACCTTTGACAACAGCCTGGTGCTGGCGTCTATCCTGGTCCTCGGTGGCCTCGTCGGACCGGCAGAGATGTTGGAGCAGGATGAGGTTCTGCAGGAGCTCGCGCACATGGCTTTCACACAAAAGAAGCGCATCGCGTTTCCCGGGCGGGTGAACCCCAACTCACAGCACTGCATTGTCAGTTTCCCTGGCAAGTATGCAGAAGTGCCTTGGTCAAAAGACGGGACGGACTATTTGGGGTTGATAGGGATAAACATGAGTTTCTTGACAGGGGTTTTAGAGAGTCAACGTGAAGCTTGGTATGAAGGGACCCATGACCATGGAGTTTTGACCATAGAACCGGTGAGGCTCGGCTCGGTTGAGCTGTGCGTCCAAAGGTGATGTTGTTTTTGCATCTAAATGCTGTGAGCGTCAGTCAGGAAGCGGTTGGTCAAGGGGTCTCGCTGAGCGTGACATTTTTGAATGAAGGGGTGCCAGCAAGTGGCCACGAGTGATTCGCATGGCATTATTTTGTCCTCGTTCTGGAAGTTTGTGCTTCGACTTGATTTAGTACTTCTTTGATTCTGCATACATGGCTGAGTTTTCAGCATTCCCCTAAAGCAAGCTAAGCAACATGTGGCTTTTTTCATGCTGCCAGATGAGGTTTGGACCTGTGTAGAGAACCTTGGACCGACCCCAGTTCGGATTCTCAACAGAGGTGACAATCGCAAGCTCTTGACAAGCAGAGAGCAATATTTGCCGTATCCCCGCTGGGGTCGGACAGGCTTCCCTCAATATTTCTCATTTATCGAATGTCAAGTTCACCCAGAAGGTTGTCGATGTGTCCGTTCAGCTCCCACTGCGAAATAAATCTGAAGGCCGACTGGACGCCCTTCAAGGTACCTGTGGACATGTCTCGTGCGAACCAGCAAGTATATGCAACCAATCCCAAATTCCATAGGATCGAACACAAGGGAACCTTTTCCAAGGCCGCAGGAACTTATCAGTTCGGCTTTTTGCTTAGGTGCCAGGAACTAGAGTAAGAATGATAATGACCGCTTTGACCTTTTTCGCAGGAGTATCGAAGGTTCATGCTGAGTTGTTGGTTGGATGTAACATGCACCCCGGCACCTACAAACAGGGAAGTGCAAGGAGCCCATTGGAATACGACGTGCGTTTCTATGTTCGGGTGTGTCCTCTTTTAGAGTTGGTACACCTATATGATATATGTTTTGGTTTTGAAAGAGAACCAAAAGGACAACCACCATTCTTTTTTGTGGGGGCCCTTACACAAGACCCGACAAGCACTGGCGGTTCGGAGCTGCCGAGGAGTGGGATGCTGCTGTGCGCATGGTCGAAGTGCGTTCTGGCGCCTGCAGCCTTGCATGCGTCTTTTTGACGGACCAGCAGTCTGGCTTAGGCGTGCACAAGGAGAACCCAGAGAACCCGAGCGAATGTTGGTGCAGGTCGCTGTACGGCCGGGTGCCAGCAGCGGCTTATATCAGCATAGTGGAAGGCCCAGAAACCATGACTGAGGATGACCTTCGATTCAAAGAGGCCGACGCAAAGGCCATGGGCCAAATACTGGTAAAAAAGGAGGGACAAAGCGATGAGCAGTGGAAGAAGGACAAGAAAGACGCAGAGATTTCGGCTCAGCACAAGTGCGAGGAAGTGAATTTTGTTGCACCTTGGGGGTGCCAGTGGTTTCAAGACTGGAAGCAGAATGTGGATGAAGCTGTGGAACTTCGCCAAACGTTGCACGTTTTCTATTTCAAAGACAGAGTGGGATGTGGGAAGGTCCCGTGGCAGAAGCTCTCGAACGAGACCTCTGTCAAAGAGGCCCGCCAAAATGGTGGCCTTGGCGCATCCCAGACTGCGGAAGTAGCCTACTTAGAGAAGTGTGGCTATCAGTTTGAGGAGCATGATGTTGCAGAATTTTATAGCTTCATGGAGACGCACAAGACCAAACATTAAGGTCAGTTGTTTCTGAGTATAGAGTATGGAGACTCATCAAGTTTTACTTCTCCCAAGGAGAAGTCAAATACTGCATCAGCCGCAGCACCCAATTGAACTGGAAAGTGCAACGGTGGTGCCGACTTTGGCATCCACTGCTGAAACTGTCGATCCGAATGCTGTACATACATGTATACATGCGTATGTGCTGTTGATTCGGCTATGATCAACATCAGTACAGTGTTTGTTTCTGCTTGGTGAAATGCTGATTGGGGCTGCTATGTGCATAGAGCTTGTTGATGGTCTTTGGCAAAAGTGGTCCATGAGTATGAAGTGCTCGTGGGAGTGAAGTTTTTGCTCCTCTGCAGATTAATATGGAATTCCGATTCCATGGAGCGCAGGCATCGATGAGCAATGCGGCGGAGCCGGGGGGCTAGATTTGAATGGAGCGGAGTCTTGCTTAGCGCCCTGGAAGGTCATGTCTCATACAATTATTTGGGGTGCCCCCCTCCAGGGTGCCCCCCTCCTTTGCGTTTCACAGGCACACCAACAAGCTTCTATTTGCGGGCTATTTGCTTGCTAATAGCAAACTATTAGCGCGGAGTGGAAGTACTGCTAATAACACGCTAATAGCAAGCTATTTGTTATTTGGTTCTGTTAGCACGTTCGCACCGCAAAGTTGGCCCACACAGTTTTGACCTGTATACTGTGTAACACAGCCATGCAGCGAAGCGGAGTTTGAAAAGTCTGAAGGTATGCATGTTCGAAACATATACCACGCTGCTCTTCTGCACCCGAACTAAATTGTGTGTTTGGCCTCTGGCCTTCCATTTCGAATATAAACGAGCATTGCCTCCTGAAAATGAGGGATCTTTGGTGGCGCGGGTGGGCCACAGGAGGCTGAGGGGTGAGCCTTCAGCCGGCGCATTGACAAGCCACCCAGTTGGCGCTATTAGGCAGCTATTGGCTTGCTATTAGCTTGCTATTAGCAAGCTAACAGGGGGGGGGGGCACACCCCCCTGTACACGGGGAGGGTGCGCAGTTTTCCTTCAAAACAGTAAATGGAACCTTCTTGAATCGCGTAGAAATGGTTTTGGTGCCCGTGCGCTTGATTCTTCGCTTTTGGAAACATGAAAAGTCCAGTGAGACTGGGTTGGGCCCCCCCGTGACATGTGTTTCCTGTCGTTTAGGCCGGGCAAAATTGAAAATCAAGCGAAGTGCTTCGCGTTTGACTACAGGTTTTCTCGCAAGCAGCATGTTTTTCAAAGAGAGAATGGTAAACGCATACCCCCTGAGAGGGGGGCACCCCTCGGGGGGGGCACCCCAAATAATTGTATGAATGTCGCTAAAGGCAATTCCAAGAGGAGCCTTTGTCAATGAATTAGTTTAGATTGATAACATGTTGCGACATCCCCAGTTACAGATGTGATGTCCCCTTCATCGCCTGAAACTTGTCTAACTTAACTCAGAAGCTTGGCCCCGATGATCCACTGCACGTGCTGTCTTACCCAGGTGAGAGTTTGGTTGACAAAAGCGGAGTGAAGCGACCCTCGTAGCGGGTGCTTCGGGGTTTCAGAGCGGGCCTTGGAAAATCCATTTACAGGGCCATTGGTCGTCAGGCCGCTTTTCTTTGGGGGATACACGAGGGCACGCATTGTGGACTTGTGTACTGGGTGCTTTTACTTCATATTATGCCCTCCAAAAGGGAGCTACACGAGGGGGATTCCCTTCCTAGCACCATTGAACTGATTAGAAACTGTCCAAGTGTGGCAGTGTGGTCCTTCTAACCATATTCATGTCATTCGGTCGTGTTTGTCGGCGTTTGGGTTTTTTCTGGCCATGCAGCGAGTTGCAACCAGGGCCTTAGGGCTGCAGACATGGAGCGCGGGGAGGGTCCCGGAAAATCGCGCCCCGGTGGATGGCTCGCGTTCCTCGGGTTCCGTGTTTGTTTCTCGAGAGGTTGGCTCCCACGCGACTTGCTGACTCATCCAAAGCCAGATGAATAGATCCCGCGGGCGTCCGTTTTTCTGTTCAGGAATGGAGCCTCCCGTTCACTTTTGGGTGATACTGTGGATGGACGAAATCCTGCACCACCTAAGAAACCCTGGAATGATGATTCCCCTGTAAATATCAACAAACAATGGATTCCCATGGTTTCAAAGTGGTGCAAGATTTTGTCCATCCACAGTATCTTCAGGTTTCAGGCTCTGCCTCGTTGCCGTTCGCCCGGCCGTTTCAACGGAGGTCATGGAGGCCTGGTCACCCCCCTGGGCCGCGGAGGCAAGTGGCCCAGTGGCCCGCCCCGAGCCGTGGGGCTTGGCGCAAGCGGATCCCAAGGTATGAACGTCCAACCCGTTTTGGGGCGCACGGGTTGGTTCCCAAAACCCAGGGTTGTGGGATCACTCGGGGTTTCTGCCCGCTGTGATACTTTTGGGAACCCCCCTTGATATGAACAAACTAGTCTTTGGGAAGCCCTTTCTGTTGTATCGCAGAAGTGGTCATTCCCCACAGCCCTGGTCCAACCCGTTTTGGGTACCCGGGTTGGTTCCCAACTTATCTTAGGTTACTTGTTCTGAGCGCAAAGGCCTAGTGGTCCACTGGCCTGGTTTCGGTAGGTCTCCCGCGAAAGTCAAAGGAACAACAAAGTGGTTGAAACCAGGCCAGAAGCCAACAGAGACCACTAGAGTAACTGCCAGTCACGATTTTTCGGGCGTCTTGGTAGTGATTTGGGGATAGTGAACGTAGTTCTTATAATCGAAGCACATATGGGTGTGTCTTTTAAGGGAACCCCAAAAGGGGTTTCCCTTTTAAAACCACCAAGAAAGCAGTGCCCCCCAAAACAGACTCTTTGCATATGTATTAATCCCCAATAAGATGGGTTTGCCTTATTGGGGTTCCGAACACAGGTTAAACCAGCCCAAAATAAAGGTATCAAAAAGCCAACTCCACAACTTGTCCGCCAATTTATCACTGTACATCGGACCTGATTAGATTCAGGTTCGATGACACAATTGTTGCAACAAGCATCAACAAACAGCGTCTTCCCCGAAAAGGGGAATATAGCTTCAGTGCCCAGAGGGTCCAAGTACCTGAGGATTGGGGGGTCAAAAAGGGGTCTAAGTAGCTTCTTAGGTACTTGGACCCGGCGTGGGTTTTTCGTGCAGGGCGTGGAGGCCATGGCTTTCGAGTCCGTGGCTTCACACCCGGCAGCCGTCATCTGGGCCCGGAGCCTGGGCGAAAGTCGTCGTTTTCGACTCGCCAGCCGGGGCGAAGGAGGGGTGGACTTCGGACTCCGGACCATAATCAGCGGAGTCCGGAAATACGAATGAATTCCTTTCAAAGAGGGATTCTGACTGCAGAAATTGGAGTATAGAGTCAGGTGCACCAGACGCCGTTTTGTCGCCCAAGAGGTTCAGGCAAGGGCCCTGTTCCAGGGCCACGCAGACCTCCACTTGAAGCTTGCAGGGCCCGGAGGTCCCTGAGATGGTGGCTTTGGTCACGCTCGCACGGGAGCTTTTTGTCGGCTGCACTGGGCGACCTGATGTTCAGTTCCACAGGCCACAAGGGACGGACCACCTTAAAAGTCGAGCAAGAACAAACCCCGCTTCATGGGGAATGCTGGGGTGACCCTTAAGGGCGGCATGCTTTGCTTGGTGAATTGTCCGTGCTGTATTCTTAGCATTCATCCAATGTGCCAATCTAGTGACTTAATCTAGTGACTTCAATCGGTTCGGGACCTTTTGCTTACTTTTCTTGCCAAGCATGTGGAAGGGACCTGGGAGTTGCCCGGCCGCCTTTTGGTGGGTATGAGGCTAGTAGCCTCCTGACTCTTGTTTTTTCTCTCGGGCTTCCCCCAAAGATGTGACCAAGGCATTGGGCGGGTTTGAGACAAGCCAGTTATGCATATGTTTTCTCAAGGGGGATTAAGTAGGGGATGAACATTTCATGGATTGGATCCTATCTAAGGTCCCTTATACGTGGTTACCCCCAGTCCCTCAAATTGAGGTTTCGGTGGTTTCACTTCACACCGTCAGATGGAGGGAAGTTTTGAGAATGTCACTTGGCACAGAAGGGTGCCTTGATAGCCGTTCCTTGTTAATATGTGTCAAATAAAATAGGGCTAGGGGGCGGCCTTAAAATGATGGTTCCGGTTTTCCCTGTGCCTTCAAGGTGAAACACATACCCTCAAAACCCAAATCCGAAAACAAACAGAAGCAACCACAGAGGTAGACCCTGTGAACCACATGGACCCGGTGCTTTACTCCCTGCGTACGCCTCAGGCCGCGAGCCTGGCGAATGTGATCGAAAGACTCTGGGCCAACGCGACGGAGGCGCCTTCTCGACAAAGCGACTGGAGCGGGGGTGGGGTCAGGTGGCTATGGGTCAAAGTTAAGCACCAGGAAGCGGACCGCAGGTTTTGGTCCTTGGTTCCATTTATCAGGGCAAGCCATTTTGGGGTTACCCTATTTTTGACCCACACAAATTGAACAGGAGGTGTTACGCAGGTTTTGGTCCATGTTTCCACTTACCGCGGCAACCCATAACGTTTTTTTTAGCAGCCATGTCTTGTAGGGCGCTGCGTGTCCCATGGGGTTGAAAGGGGCCCCGGGACTGAAAAGGTGAAAGGGTTTGCTTAAAGCGTTCCTAAAGGGACCCTATTCCTCCCGGTTGTTGGGGATCAAGTGTCTTGGAATGGACCGCTTGGGATCCCTGAAAGCACCCAAGAACCAGCAAGTGGTTTGGGTACGGCATGGGACCCATAAAATGTCCGCACGTTCCGGGGCTCATTCTAAAAAGGGAGCCCGGGGTTGCTCGGGAACCCCAAAAAAGGTGCCAGCACAGGTTCCTTTTGTTCAACAGGAAGTCTTTTGGATGGCCTTTTTAAAGAGGGAAACGCCTGAGACCGAAGCCAGATATAGCATGTCTCCACATATATATATATATATAAAGGCAGTCATTAGAAGCAAACTTCCACAATAGGTGTCCTTTTAGGTGAGTTTGACTAACATATTTGAGATAGATGTGGATTCCACTGGTTTTCGAGTTTGAATTTTGCAAAAGTCAACCCCTACGTAGTCTATTTTCTCGAGGGGCAAGGACCCCTTTCACTTGGTTTTGAAGGAACACCAAAGAAACACGAAAGGCAAGCCACTGAATCGCGGATTGAAGGAGAACCACTGGGGGCAGCCGGAACAGGAATCGGTCGGTGAAGTCCGTCGAAGGAACCGCCAAAGGTTTGCTAGGTGTGAGCATGTGAGTGTGTCTTTGTTTGAGGCTCGGCACTTCGTTTTTTGGCGGTTTTGAAGGGGAAACCTTTAAAGGAACACCATGTCTTGCCCTAGTGGCTAGTGGGTCCGTGGAGACATATCCTATGTCCGGGTGGCCGTCCGGCCGTTCGGAGGCGCAGCTTCTGCCCCCGGGCGGGTCCGACTCCTTTGTGGTGGCCCCTGGGCTGCAGCTCCGCGGCCTTCGGCGCAGCTCCGACGTGGCCAAGCGGTTTGGTCGAGGTCCGCCAGCTAGGTGCCCTTTTACCGTTTCTTTTTTGGTTGGGAGGGTTCCAGTTACCAAAGTTGACTACATTTGAAGAAGAGTTGGTAGGCTTATATTCTCACCTCTCTACTGGAGGACCTAGTGGTGCAAAAGAACTTGCTGCTGCGAGAGATGCGGGGAATGAGAAATGGCATGCCCAAAAAACACACGCCGCCTAAGGTTTCCTTTAATCTCCTAGTTCATTCCCGACACCCTCAAACCGGGGAAATCGCCTTTTGACTTTATGGTCTTTTGGTAGCGGATCTTTGGAGATTGTCTTGTTGGTTAAGATCAACGGGCTTTCCAATAAGCCCACAAGAAGTTTCCCCTCTTTCTGTAGACGGGTCAACAGCAACCAAGTTCAGATCGCCCAGTTGAGTTTGTGTTGGGTGTGACATACGGGGAAATGTGGAGAGCCATGCACTTCTCATGTCGACTTTTTGTTTCAATCCAGGTCTTGAGCGCGCGTTTCTTGTTCTGGTTTCCCTTGAAGCGCAGCATTTTTTGTGTGCGGTCCTCAGCAGTCAGGTAGTGTTATGTCCCGACTGGTGCACTCATTAGGTTGCACCCCATGGGAGGAATTGGGGGGTTTGGTCAGGATTGAAGATTCTCAACATCCATTGAAGAAGGTCCAGCCCATGTCCATGTCTCTCGGATCGTGAAGCTTTCTTGCAACCAGGGGCCCACAGGGGCCGAGAAGGGGTCAGGGGATGCCATCCAGGAGCCTACACCTCAAAATTAAACACAGCAGGGGTTGTTCGGCTTGTCTCAGGTCCCATGTGGCTTGGATACAAAGCAGGTTCCAGGTCGAGTGTTGGGGAAGGTACATTGATGTCCGTGAGCATAAAGGAAGCCACGCAAATTCCATGTCAATGCATATTTGCAATATGGGCGTGTCTTTTTTGAGGGTACCCTTGTTGGATAGTTTTAAAGGGAAACCAAAAGACACCAACCGTTTCTGGTGTTCATCTGACACCCCTGGTCACCCCTAGGTGCTGCCAGAAGGTGCTCCTTTCGACGTCCTCGCCAAGCTGGTGAGGCCCAGGGATTGATTGGAGAGACAAGACATGGCCACGAATTTAGATAAGGAACCCTCTGGAAAGTGGTTGGTGGACATAAAACCCCGCCATGATGTCCACAAGAGGTTCCCTGATTAAGACTCATAATGTCTTTTCACAACCAGAGCCATTGGTTCCTACAGGGCTCCCTATATTTCCCTTTTTGGTGGCTTTAAACATCACCTTTTTCGCTCATGAAAGGTGAGTATTTTTGGGGGTGATGTGTTAAAGGGAAATATAGCGGGAGCCCTGTCCTAAGAGGAATGTTTGAAGGGGTGGCCCAAGCCTTGGAACCCTTCGGGTCGGGGAGCTGGCTGAATGGCGGTTTGAGGCTGAGGCGAAGTGAGGCGCGTTCAGCGCGGAACAAAGTTTCTTCAGGGCGTGTTCACCTTGGAAGATAGGAGACCTATCGGTTGGCAAAGAACACTCTTGAGGTTTTTTTTTTGCAAATCCGATGATCATCTTCTTTAAGCACAATCTGGGCCCCCCCCCATACTGGACCATACGAAGCCCTGGATTCATATAATTCGGGTGCAATTCGCCCACAAGAAACTGGGTCCCTTCACCCTGCCGAGCTTGCCCCTAAACATGTGATGGCGAAAGTATCACATCTTCAGGCGTTCAGGAGTACCTCCCCCCAATTTCTCACTCTTTGGGACTACATGTCCAGAAGAAGAAAAAAAACGCCCCAAAACCGGGGGAAACGGCTGATCCTTGAAACCGAACAATGGTCTTTCAGAGAATAGGGTCAACCCCGGCAACGTGCGATGGGTTCCAACATGCCCCACACAAAAAAACAACACGGGGTCAAGGTTCTTGGTGGTTCCCAGGCACCCCTTTAGCTTTCCAACATCATCTTCGTAGCTCAGTTGGCTTCGTGGCTGGACCCGTTTTCCCACTTCTCACGGGGATCCACCCGCGCCGATCCCGCGCCAGGCTGGGCGGCGGCCAGGCGCGGACGTCTTCGGGCCCCGGCCTTGGAGTCAGCCTTCGGTGGGTTCAACCGCGGCTTGGGGACCCGAAGGATGGTGTCCAGGGATGCCTCCAGTTTGTTTTCGCAACCTTGGAAGAAATCCAGTGGCCACTGTTTGTTTGGCTTTTTCAAAGGGGAAACCGTTTCCTTTTCCTTAAGAGAAGACACAGTGCCACTAGGTTTGTTCGGAAGCATACTCTGCCAAGGAAGGCTTACTGTTGCACAAAATCCGATTCGCGCCAGTCGTCATAGATGCTCATCCATTCCATCTGACAACTGGTGCTCAAAAAGTGAGTGTGTTCCATGCTGAAACGCTTCAAGCATTTCTGAGAGGTTCCGATGCGGAGACTCCGTGCGGTAGGTCTCGAAAAGATGGGCACTGCTTTCATGGTTTGACATGAGCAGGTCGGTCTCGTCGAAGGTCCCTAAAATCACCGAAGAGGTGAAGAAGGTTCCCCCGTCAGAAACGCGCCAGCCGTTGATGCTGAAAAGTATGGTTGCAGAGGCAAGGAAGCAGCAGCCTCTTGGCAGGAATGCTGATTTCGGTGGCGTTTGACCTGGTTTTAAGCAAGCAAAGACCTTCCCTTCGAGTTCCCTTGAAACCCAGCCGGGGAGCCTCCAAGACATGCAGTGGCAAGTGGCTGGTTTTGATTGCTCTTATGGAGAATCCACAGGCCAGGGGCAAAGCCAGGGTCCCCTTTGAACATTTCAACCATGTCCCGCAAGGTGGTGCAGCGCCCCAAATGGGTGTGTTTCCCTATGATCTAAGGGGACAAATCGACCAATTGGTATGGGCCAAAATGAAACCACCAGAAGCATGGACCGCGGGTTTTACTTTTTTTTTCTATTTCCTAGGGCCACCCATGTTGGGCACCTATTTTTGACCCACCACATGGGGTCCACGTGAATTCTGACAGTGCCTGGCCTCAGGTCTGCCTGAATCGCTGCCCTTCTGCAGGCCATCAGAAGTTCGAAATCGGCCTGGATCCCTCGAAATTCATTGTTCTAGGAGCCCCTTGGACCCTAAATATGAGGGCCTTGACCCCCCAGAAGCCTCAAATGAGGGCGTGGGTTGGATCTCCCAAGTTGTGACTTACTGGGGTGCTGCCACTGTTGGAAATCCAACAAAGGGAAACTGAGAGAGCCGTGTCCGTTCTAACCTTCCGGATGACGTGAGAACAGACAATGTGTGCGTAAGGGTTCTTTGGTGGTCCCCTATGTGTTTGGCAAGTGTCGGTCTAGGGTCCAGCGCCTTGGGTCGTTGCTATTAAATTGCTTTGTGTTGGACATATTGTCGGAGAGTGCATATTGCAAGACCGGTGAGAATCAGACAAATCATAGAAAGCCAATTCATGTCAAAGCAAGCAACAAGGCGTCAGGGGCCGATGTTGCTCTTTCCTGGCCGCTTTGACTCCACTCATTGCTTCCCTTACTCAAAAATCCATGTGAGTATCCGACGGCTTCTTCCATGCGGCCACAAGCCGCATCTATCCATTTCCGTGCGTTTCCGTCCAGCCCCGCGACGCGTCACGGCCAACGTTCCCAGGGCTCGGAGCAGTTCAGTTTGTGTGCAGCGAGCCGACCCCTCACTGGGCCAAAACGAGCTGAATGAACCATGAAGGAGGCCTACCGACCGAGCGCCAGTTTGGGGTGAAGGTGCCAAGTCGTCTTAGAGCTTCTCAATTCAGACGGGTGAGCTGCTTTTTTCTTTTTTGCCTGCAGGCTTTTTCCGACAAAAACGCGAAGTTGCAAGACACGATGGTGGGCATCCACTTGGTCGGCACCCAAAAACCTCCTTCGGCATCCGCAGGCTGATCGTGTTGGATGCCTACACGGATAGAGCGAATGGCCGGCAGCCAAAAAAAAACGGGCCAACTTGTTGCAGGGTTAAGCTCGCGCAATGTCCAAACCAGGGGAGAACATTGGGAAATGGGGTGTTGTCCATTTCCGGGAACTCACCCTCGGAGTCGAATGGGAGCAAAATGACAAGAACACGACATACTTTGAAAGTTTCATACAGTGATCTAATCTGATATTCCTTTTCTGGGGTTCTTTGAGCAGCGTGTTTTGTGTGTTTGTTGTGTTGTTTCTTGTGTTTTCTTCTTTGTTTAGAAGGCCACCTTTGAAGGAGTTCTTCCTTGCAGATGCTGAAAAGGGAACAAACAGCACATTTCAGGAACCTTGTCATGGCCATGTGTAGGGATGAAAGTGTCTTCTTTTCCATCTGGAGCTGGTCCATGTGTCCAATGTGCCGTTCCGGCTGCGTGTCAGTGGGTGGGATGGTGGTTCTGGAATGGCTGGGTTCAGTTGGGTCTGTCATTTGTGTGGGGCCCCAAACTTCGAAACTTGTGGTTTTCCCATTGATGTCCAAGTTAAACCGCACAAAGCAGAATACCCTCAAAAAAGGAGACGTGCATTTCGATGCTCAGCCATTGCTTTGCCAAGGACACTGTGCTCCGAGCCTCGGTTCAAGGCCTTTTTTTCCGGTCAGTTTGTGCAATTGTTCTATACTTGCCCTATAAACATCACCTTACCAAAAGGACACTCACTTTAATATGTCATCCAATGGGTGATGTTTAAATGGGTGTGGCTCAAAATTCAAGAGCTAGGGTTGCGCAGGTCTTAGTCTTTGGTTCCATTTACCAAGATGCCATTTTGGTACATGTTTTTGAGCCACAGCCAAATGTACCAACGGGGACTTTGATGAGAACCCTGTCGCCATTCCCAGCCAACTTGCCAAAGTGTTGCATGGCTTGAATTCATTTGAGCCCGGCAACATGGCCCCTCGAGATGTTCCCATGCAACGACATGAGCGCATTTGCGGACATTGACACTTTGGCATTGCAGCCACTGTTTCCGTGTGCACAATCGACACGAAACCTAACATATTTGAGAGCGCATTCAACTCCTTGTGCCGATTTTATGGCGAGTGGACCTGGGGGTAAAACGCCTTCACCATGATGCAGTCCCTTGCTTGGGGATCCCATACTACAGGTTTTGGGAATTATTCTGGGTGTTGCAGATTCCTTGTCACTGCGGGCGTTTCTTTCGATGGTTTTAATGACAGCTCGTTGTGGTCGCGAACGCTCTATTCGGCTCTTTTAACATGCACATGAACGCAACTTTCACACGGGCACCACTAGCCACTATTTCCGAATTTGGCCGTGAATTTTAATGCGGAACACCCCAACACATTGATTAGACATACATTTCTCATGTGAGTGATATCCGCACAAGGGGCCCCCATATAAGACTCATTCTGATCTGGACTGGGTCCAGCTGTTTGCCATTGAAGCGTGGAAGTCTTGGGCGATCTTGGGCATGCCCCACTGCTCCGAAATTCCCTGCACATCCGTTTGTTTTGGCCTAACTCATTCAAGCCTGCAGAGTATGTGGCGTTCCATTCAATCCGTCGCAGGACTCAAAGGCGACCCATGCAACTTAAATTGCATCTCAGCATCGGGACATCTTGGGATATGGGTGTGGGTCAAAACCAATGGTACCATTTTGGGGTAGGTGCACCACCCATGGTACTTTAGTGGAGATTGGGATGTTTATTGGGGGTACGGGATTTTGACCCACAACCATATGAGGGCTCCACCTGGCACCATGGGCCATCATGTCCCCTGCCTTCCAGGGCCACGCCTTTTGCTGGGGCGCCCAACCGGGGGCTTGCGCGCTGAGGGGTTCGTATGGCCACGCCGAGGTACTGATCCTCTTTGCACTCGTTGGCTAAACGGAGAAATCAACTAGCGCGAAGTCGATTTTGTCCATCCACAGGTTTTCGGGTATGTGCCGATCTGCACTTCACACCGCCGGTAGACTCCGTTCAAAGGCGGCGCCCCACTCGGCTCCTTTGTCTTTGCTTTGCTGAGGCCGATGCGGCTGAGTCGAGGACCGCAGTTGCTCCATAACAGAGACAGAGATCTCAGCCGTCCAAAGCAACTCGAGGTTTTCCGATTTTTTTGGCTGCTTGTTCAATGTTTGAGGTCAAACAGCCACTCATCCATCATTCATTACATTGGAACCCGCGAGTGCTTCGTCCAAAGAGCCTTGCTCTTAGTTCCGGGTGTTGTGGCTTCGCTCGCGTTTGCAACCCTGCGCCCTTCCAGCTAGCTGTAGGGTGCCCTGTACCTGAGGAGTCCTTTTATCCTTTGTTTTGAGGCGGTTTCAAGCGTTAAAGCCAATGTGAAGGACACCTTTATTGGTCCATCCAAGGGGATCCTCGAAGGCAGCTGCGTGAGTGATGTTTTGGCACGAACATGTATCCTTTTGGGAACCCTGAGAATATGTGTAATTATGTTGCACCTTTTACTTGCCAACTGAAACTAGCACTTCTGAAGGACGCGGACCATGCTGGCGGTTCTGTCGGCAAACTCGGAGGTGCATTCGCTTGGCTGGTTGGGCTGAAAGTCTTCACAAAGTAATAGTAATGTCTGGAAGAGTGGAGTGGGGGGGAAGCCCCAAATAAAGGACCTTTCCTGTACATACACGTTCCCTACTTGGGTACAGTTTAATGCCGTTCGAAGGAGGCCCGGGTGTTGAAACCCAGATTCGCAAGATTTACTTCTTCCAGTCCGTTGGGCGCCAGGAACCTTGATCTTCACTTCTTCTCCATCCATCCTTTGTCCCCGATTTGCCTGGATTCGTCTTTGCTGCAGGCGACCTTTTCGGGTTCGTTTTGACTGAAGACATCCTTTTCGCTATGTCGAAACGGAGGTGTTGAGCAGAGTCAGTGAAAGGTGCCTGCGGCAAGCACCACGAGGTCTGGGCGTGGCCCATGGTCTGGGTCCGTTTTTGTCAATGCGCAAGTCTTCGCAGGGAAGTGACACCTTTCACGTCGTTGTCGCACCCCCCGAAAGCGCCAGCTTGTGATATTATGAGATTCATGTTTATAGGGGCATGGAAACAAGTGTTGCAACTCCTTTTGGAGCCAGGAACGTCATAAACTTGAAAATCCTTCCCCCCCACCCCTCTCCCGCCACCCCCCTTCCCCCCTTTCCATCGCGGACCTTCACCCTTGGACGAACCAAAGGGCCAGCTACCGGGCGATCCGAAAAACCATAGGCGGCGAGCGGCCGAAGGCCAGCCGAAGATGGGGGACTGGGAAATGCTTTGCTGGTCTGGGGAGGTTGGGGGGTTTGGGGTTGGGGGGGGGGGGGTTGGGGGGGGTGGGGAGAATTTTATTCCAGGGGTCCATATGTTTCCCCAAGGCTGGCTTTGGAAGCATCACTGTTTGACATGTCAAATTAGAAGTGAGCTTCCAGACTTCCAGTGGTGCCTTTTTGGTGTTCACTCGAAATGGGATATCTCCAGTGCCCTTGCGCCCGGAGGCTTAACCTTGTTGTGGATGCTCCCTGCCAATGAACATGGAACCCTTTTTAAGGGGGTCAGAAAGGAGGAGATGGTATGGTGGGGTTTCTGGGTTTCATCTAATTTGCTGGAGGGCAAGGCTTCCTTCTCAATTCTACTGAATGGTGTCGTTGTTTCTCAGCGGAGGTCCGGGAAACGTACCGGACCACTTTGTTCGCCACATGTGTCCACCTGTCGAGCGCGGAATGAGACGGTGGAAACCATCGAGCTTCTTTCCGGGTCACACGTCAATCTGCAAGTAAATAGATGATGGCTTGAATATGAACATCTCATTTTCTATCCAAGAGTGTCCCTTGGTATCTGAGGATGGCTTTTGGGGCGTCAAAAGGGGTCGTTCTGCTAAGGTACCCTTTGGCTATGATTTTCCATGTACCCCAAATTTGGGCCACGGAATGTGACCTGGGCGCCACAAGAGCAACAGTTTCGATGGTTCGATGGCCGCAAGGGGCAGGCTTCGATGGCCGCCTTAACGATTTGTTTGAGGCTAACCCTTTTTGGGTGGTTCCAAAGGGAAACAACGGGGAAACCACCAGTTTGAGTCTTCACCTGTTCTAAGACACACCCAATGTTGAAAACGCATGGCCTCACCTGAAGGTTGCTTACCCTCAGAAACATGGACCCAACGCGGCACGTTCTCGGAATGTTTTTTGGGTTTTTCGTACAGCATTCAGACTCTTTTTTGTTCAAAAGGACACCCTGGGCAAATGTTTGATTTTCTTGGGGTGCAACGAGCCCTAATGTTGTTTTCAAGGAACACCGGAAACCGGAGCAGCCAGCTCACCTGGGTCGCTGGAATGCAGGCGAGAGCTGCCCTCGTCCATCAAGTTCATCCACCTGGATGCGCTCCAGGCGGATGAGGATCCACCGTCCCCGGTTTTGTGGTTGGCTCGAATGGAATTGGGGGCACCGGGTCCCGGCTCTGCCCATGGATTGGGAGGGATCGGCTCAAGGCTGGGCGAATCGAACGGCTTGACTCACCAAGGGGTGTTTTGGCTTGGCGGGTCTAACAAGGGTCCTGTCTTGCGACTCTCATTGCAGTTGAGGAAGCATTCTATTACTGTCCATCATCCATCATCATTCATCATTCATCATTCATCATTCATCATTTGTCATCCATCATTTATCATCATCCGTCCTTAATCATCGTCGTCATCTTCCATCGTTAATCATCGTTGTTATCATCATTCATGATCGTCCACCATCATGATGAACAGCAACATCAGCAAGTAGAGCCAACGGACAAGCCAACTTGTTCAATCCAAACATCGTTTAGGGATTGGCAAGTAGTAGGCAAGTAGTGAGGCAAAGCAAAAATGGCAGATCACAACCGGAGTGGCCGCCTCACGCCTCATCGTAAGTCCTACTTCGAGCTGGCGGAGTATGATCATTCCCCTAGATTGCGGCCAATCGTTGCTTCTTGTTCGCACCAACTCCCGGGCCAACGAGTAGGAATCGAACTCACAAGTTCCCCTGAAAATCTCTCTACGGCGGTGTTTTGGGATCCAACATTTTCTGGCTAGGTCCCCCAGTAGTGCCCTTTTACCCTTTTTTGGGGGAGGGTTCCCCTACTAAAATAGACTACAGAAAAAGTTGGTTCCCTTATTCTATCCTGTCTGCTGGAGGACCTAGCTGGGCATCAAGTCACGTCCTTGTGAAACTCAGCTCGGCCAGGCAGCCACCAACGCCTATGGCGAAGCGGCCGGGCTCATTATGGGCGCCCGGTGCTTAGCGCATCTTAGCGCCCGATGGCTTGGGGCCCTATGAGTTGCCATGGCCGGTGACACGTTTGGTGGAGCCCAGTGGTTGGGCCAGCCCCTTTAAAACATTGAAGCCCATGGTTTGTTCACAATTTCCGTGCGGTGTCCCTTTACACATGCCGGTGCAGTTGCTTAAGTAGCTTGTGCCCAGCCTTGGTTGATTGACACCCAAGGTGATGTTTGGACCTAAGATCTGAGCTCTTAAATGACTGTGAGAGTACCTGAAGGGCATGCTGTCATCTCCACACTTGAGAGGCTTGACCTTTACCCTTGAAAAGTTCTGCCAAGAAAACCACAAAAATCGGACGGGGATGGAAAGTAGGATCCTTGACTGAGTCGGGCCCGGTTTTTGTTTTGGCTTCCCCAAAAAGACTCACTTAGGTGTTTCTCAAATTGAAGGACCCATCTGCGCTAGCCCGCAGCAAGCCTTTTTTGGTCCATGGGTAGCATTGGACGGCAGGATTTCATGCTCATGATGTTAAGAATCAACCCTTGGGTGTATTTATGGTTTATTATGTGTTCATTGTGGTGTATTTAGTGGGTTGATCATGATTATCATGGTGTATTTAGTCAAAGGTTCATGAGTGAAATCAGGCCTCGATGGAACCAAGCCGGCCAAACCAGCCGAGAGCTCGGACTCCCTTTGCAATCTCCGGGAACCCAGTGGTCTTGGTTAGGGGTTAGGCCCTGGGGGTCACCCCCCCATGAAAACAACGGCAAGGACCCAATTTAGATGACAAACCTTAGGTAAATGGTGGTGATATTTTCACCCCCCCATTGTCTTAATGGTATCTGCCCCCCAAGGTAGGGGGACTCACCGCCCCCCTTTGCGCTTCGTCGGGGGGAACTCCAAACGAAGAGACGTCGGCGCCCGGAGTCGGGAGGTGGTGCAGCTGCTGCGACAGGCGCCGGCCATTTCCGCCCTTTGGGTTTTGAGGACACAGCCCAAGGCATTTCCGGAAATGCCTGTTTTGTGGTTTGGAGAGGCGGTTTTCGCTTAACATGGGTTTCGCTTTCCTGGGTGGTTCCCTGCCATCCTGTCAGGTTTCTATTTGTTGGGGTTTAGTGGGGGTGTCCGTTTGATTCACGAAAAGTTGAAAAGTTTTGGGCAGATCTGCAGCCCTTTGGAAAGCGGATTCCCTTGAGCATACTCCTCTTGAGTTGGACAGGTCCGAGTCACATTTAGCCGATGGGGCTTTGGTTTGGGCAGCTGTTTCCTGAAGAACACGGGCCGAAGCCAGCTCTCTGGGTGGGGACGAGCAAACTATCCACCTGTCAGTCACTAAGGAGCAAAATGGAGGTTGAAAGAAAAAACTGATGATGAGGACGGTCCACTTTCGTATCACAAGGGTTGTCTCCCACCATGGACTTCACGGTTTCCCGGCTTGCTATGCTGACGCTGGGAGATGTTCGGAAGACAGTCCTATTGAAATTGCCGGCTGGCGACTTGCAAGATTGTTGAGGGCATTGTGGTTATAAGACCGGTAAACTTGGCCACCTGCTAGGGTGTTTTGTCTAAAGGTTATCAACCCAGTACAGGTTGCTTCTTTTGTTTGACTTTTTTCCGACTTTTGACAAAACCTTCTTTGAAAAATCACAGCTTTTTCACTGGCCAGCAACCAGTGATAAATATATATATATATACATATATATATATATGTATACACATATCCATACATATGTATATATACATGTACATAATACATATATATATATGTGTATATCTACAACCACTGGTTTACCTTTACCCTTTCTCCGTCGATTTGGCCGAGCTCCAGGCGGAGATCTGGTCCAAGTTCCAGGCCCTTGACTCCTACTGCGACAACCTGCTGCCAGCAGCTTAGCAGCCCGGCCGGGGGAAATCGGATCCCTGCAGCCTCCTAACCGTTTTTTTTTCTTTTTTTCTTTCCGGGAGAACAAATATGGAAAGAACTGGCCATTGTTATTTTCTCTGTTGGCAAAGTTTATATGGGTGTGTCGAATTTTGGGGGGACCCCCAAAAGAAAAGGTGGTGTTCCTTTTGGTTTCCCTTTGTGACTCTCAAGAACGGGCACCCCCCAAAAAATGCAGACCCATATGCTGGCAGCATGTCCGCCTTTCGAATGTATGCCAGGATGCAGCCACATCCTTTATATCACCTAAGGGGGTAAGCGTCCAACAAATCGAAGCAATTCCCACAGTTGTCCTTGGGTGAAAGAGAGCATCATGTAGAACCAGGGACGCCTTTGACTTCCAGTTCGGGCTGAGACTGAAGCGGCTGGGCTCTGTGGTGGCGCCCCCAAACTTCTCAGAAAGCTTACCACAGCGCACCCAGAAATTTGGGCTGTGGACCACGTTTTGGGTTTGGCTCAAGATGGGGCAACGAAATGATGTTTATTCTCTTTGGTTTCCCGGGCTTCCCTTACAGCAAAGCCAACAAGTGTAATCTCAACGAGTAGAGACGCACCCAATGAACATGTGGGGTGTCTCCTATTTTTGTGGTCCCATGTTACCTGTTGGTTTTAAAGGGACACCAAGAGGAAACCAACCATTTTGGTCCCGATTTGAGGCAAACCCATGTACCCCATTTTCTCCGTAAGTTGAGAACACCGACGGGTTTGGCTTGCGCCAAGATGAGGCTCGCCCAAGGCCCTTCGCGTCAACGTGACTTAGGACATAGGATTGGAGCCCTCCCAACAGTCTGCCGAATTCTACTTAGCTCGGTCGGCGTTTCGCGCACCCCAAAAAGTACCGAGCCTTGACGGAGCCTTGACCAAGAGTTGTACCGAGTCGTAGCCCAAAAAGGGGAATCTAGACAAACATTGTACGGAGAGTTGACCGAGCCTTGACCGCGGCCCAGATGGAGCATTCTTGACCATCTGATTCGCATGTTTGACCATCTGATTCGCACCAGTGGCGTTGTCTCCAGCTTTGGGGTGTCATGTCTCCAAACAGGCACCTAGCCTACCAACTGGTGGGTTTTGTCCATCCACACCTCGGGTTGGTCAACCATTCGCACCACTCATTCTCCTGAAGCTCAGTTGCCCATTTTCTAATCCCTGATGGGCACGGTTTTCCAATGGTAACCAAGTTGTTTATGCGCACTCCCGGGACGTGAACGTCTCAAAGCAGGGCTGTCCCTCTCCAAACCTTGTCCGTTTTCGGATCACGGAGATGCCGCTGATCAGCCAAGCAACCTTGGCCCTCCTTGGCCCAAAATCTGAACTCCCGAAGACTCGAACTTGCGACTTGCGACTCGACAGGTCCAACTGGGAGCCGCCCTGGGTCCCAGAGGACCTCGAGGACCAGAAGCTCTGCCTTTTCGGTGCGAGAAAGCGAGCACGTGTTCACCGTGCTTTGCATCTCTCTCTCTCCCTCTCTGGCTGTGTTTGACCATATTTGAGTGTGTTTGTTGGGCTTGGTTGTGCATGTTGTGTTTGGTTGTGTTGGTCTGGCTGGTTGATGTGTTGCTTGTTTGGTTGCTTGCTTGTGCTAGTTTGTTTGCTTGGGTTGCTTTGCTTTGGTTTTGCTTTGCTTTTGGTGTTGCTTTGGTTTGCTTTTGTTTGCTTTGGTTTGGGTTGGCTTGGCTTGGTTTGGCGTGCTTGTTTGACTTGGTGTGTTTCTTTCTTTGTTTGTTTGCTTGGTTGCTTGGTTTGGTTTGGTTTCCCTTTGGGTTTGGGTTTGGGCGTGGTATGGCTTGTTTGGCTTGGTTTGTTTGTTTGTTTGTTTGTTTGTTTGTTTGTTTGTTTGTTTGTTTGTTTGTTTGTTTGTTTGTTTGTTTGTTTGTTTGTTTGTTTGTGTGTGTGTGTGTGTGTGTGTGTGTGTGTGCGTGTATGTTTTTGGTTTGTTTGCTGTTTGTTGTTTGTTTGTTTGATTCACTGAATGCTTGGTTGATTGATTGCTTGATTGAGTTGATTGCTTGCTTGATTGATTGATTGATTGATTGATTTGACTTGATTGCTTGCTTGCTTGCTTGCTTGATTGATTGATTGATTGATTGATTTATTGATTGATTGAGTGATTGATCGCTACTGGTTTTCTTTGTCGGTTTGTTTGTTGTTTGCTTGTTTGATTGAGTGAGTGAGTGAGTGATGGTTGGGTTCGCTGGGTTCGGTTGTTGGCGGGTTGGTTGGTTGGTTTGTGGTTGGTTGGTTGTTTGGTTGCTTGTTTACTTGCTTACTTGCTTGCTTGCCTGGCTTCCTGCTTGTCCGTTTGTTGCACTATTATACAGTTTGCCTGCTGGTCAGTTTGTTGTTTGTTTGCTTTGTTTCGTCTGGTTTCTATCAGTATGTCTTTCTTTCCAAGTTGCTTGTCTCTGTGTTTGTTTAGATGTGTGTTTGTGAGTGTCTGTGTTACTTTGTTGTTGCTTGATTTGCATGACTGTCGGTGTTGGCTCGAGTTTCTGCAATCCTTGCTGATAGCTTTTGGCCTTTTGAGCCAGGACTGCTTCCAAGCCAAGTCGCAACAAGTTGAACGTTCTGAGGGATGGTTTGACCACCCCAGCCGCTGCTTGCTGCTTCCTGTTTGTCCGTTTCAAACCATTTGCATTTTGGAGAGATACCCAAATTCAGATTTAGCTCGGATGCCATTTGCAACAACCATGTGGACCATCAAGAGCTATTCGCATGAACCAAAGGAACCACCGCCAGGTCACAGGTGGATTCATCCTGCCGCCTAGCAGTCAGCAACGGCAAATTTGGTTTCGGTGAACGTTCGCCACCAGGGGGACGAAGCCATGCTCAAGGGAGTAACCTTCTCCGTCTAACAGAAAGACCCCGCCAACCAACCCATGCCCATCAAACTGACAGGAGCCATGTGGAAGATTATATCGCGTCATGGCAGATCTGTGGCCTGGAATTAGATACCCCTTTTTCACTTTCCACTTGAAGCCCGGGCTATCGAAAGCCCGTTTCGCCAGGAGGAGGAGAGGAGGGCGGCGCGGGAGATGAACCTCAACCGCCTGGCGCAGGAAGATGAGTCCACGGTCTACGACTGGGCCCGACACTCGGAGACTCGGATTCGGCGAGGCTGGGGCCCTGAACGCCAGGTGCGACGTTGGGTCCCCGGAAGTTCCAACCTTTTGGTTGGAGCAGGTTGAGGCTCGACGAGTTTTTGGTGTTTTGTTTGTTGCGTGAGATTGGGACTGCAATGCTTATAGTTCCACCTGGTTGAAGCATCGTCATGTTGCCGATTTGGCGAGAAACCCGTGAGAAGTTTCACGGATGCGGTGAGCTGCACCCAGATATTCAGAAGCGACGGATGCGGGGAGAAAACGATCGAGTCCACCAGGGCACCTTTGGGGGTTCTTGATCTTCGGTTTTGTGCATTATGATCACTTGCCCGGATAATATTCCTGAAAAGGTACCTGGGATTCTTGATCTTCGGTTTTGTGCATTATGATCACTTGCCCGGATAATATTCCTGAAAAGGTGCCTGGGGTTCTTGATCTTCGGTTTTGTGCATTATGATCACTTGCCCGGATAATATTCCTGAAAAGGTACCTGGGGTTCTTGATCTTCGGTTTTGTGCATTATGATCACTTGCCCGGATAATATTCCTGAAAAGGTACCTGGGGTTCTTGATCTTCGGTTTTGTGCATTATGATCACTTGCCCGGATAATATTCCTGAAAAGGTGCCTGGGATTCTTGATCTTCGGTTTTGTGCATTATGATCACTTGCCCGGATAATATTCCTGAACAGGTACCTGGGGTTCTTGATCTTCGGTTTTGTGCATTATGATCACTTGCCCGGATAATATTCCTGAAAAGGTACCTGGGGTTCTTGATCTTCGGTTTTGTGCATTATGATCACTTGCCCGGACAATATTCCTGAAAAGGTACCTGGGGTTCTTGATCTTCGGTTTTGTGCATTATGATCACTTGCCCGGATAATATTCCTGAAAAGGTGCCTGGGGTTCTTGATCTTCGGTTTTGTGCATTATGATCACTTGCCCGGATAATACTCCTGAAAAGGTACCTGGGGTTCTTGATCTTCGGTTTTGTGCATTATGATCACTTGCCCGGATAATATTCCTGAAAAGGTACCTGGGGTTCTTGATCTTCGGTTTTGTGCATTATGATCACTTGCCCGGATAATACTCCTGAAAAGGTACCTGGGGTTCTTGATCTTCGGTTTTGTGCATTATGATCACTTGCCCGGACAGTATTCCTGAAAAGGTGCCTGGGGTTCTTGATCTTCGGTTTGGTGCATTATGATCACTTGCCCGGATAATATTCCTGAAAAGGTGCCTGGGGTTCTTGATCTTCTGTTTGTGCATTATGATCACTTGCCCGGATAATATTCCTGAAAAGGTACCTGGGGTTCTTGATCTTCGGTTTTGTGCATTATGATCACTTGCCCGGATAATTTTCCTGAAAAGGTACCTCGGGTTCTTGATCTTCGGTTTTGTGCTGGTCGCTTGCCCAGAGAAGAAAAATCTACCGAAATACTCTCCCTACATGGCTGACGGCAAGGAGTGGGAAGGCCACCTCCCTCTTTGGGGGAACCTTCCTGTCCGGTTCCGTGATTGGAAGGAATATCCCGCAATCGGTCCCTTAAAGAAGTGGTCCAACCATGTGGATCGGTTGCATTTTATGTGTGTGTGTTTCCTTCTGGCCAACTTTTAGAATTCCGTTTCCCCCAACAGGCGGAGCATTTTGTGTGTGTGTGTGTGTGTGTTTGCCTATTGCAACTTTTCAGAAATGCGTGCCCCCCGAATATAGAAGAAGTCGGGGTTGGGGCAGGGGAAGGGAAGGAATAGGAGGGCCCCAACATGACGAGCATGAATGAATTGCTGATACATAGCCTCGCCGCTGATCAGCTATGTCTGAAGGCGGGACCAATAGCATCCATTTACCACCAGATGGACAAAAATGACCAGGTCGCTCTGACCCACCCGCCCCGTTGGGCAATTTGCAGATTGCAATGGAAGCAGCCTGCAAAGTGCAACTTTGGGGCTTGACCCCCCTATTTGGGAAACCTCCCAAACCAGGTCGGTGGCTTCCCATTGCTTTGCCACACCAACTGTATAAAATCGTTTAGCCTTTACCCTCCATGTACACTTTATTTATCCTTGACTTGCCCCTCATGTACCCTTGAATAACCATTTAAACTTCATGTTCCCTTCATTTGCTCTTCATTTGCCTTTTATTTACCCTTTCCCACCCCATTTGTGCTTGATCTTCCCCTCATATTTTTTTTTGCTGACTTCCCACGAACAGAAAACGCGGCCATGAGCGGTGTCTCTCACAAGTGTCGCCTTCTTAGTACTTAGGCCATGGCCTTGGACGGGTTTCTCTCCTTCGTGGCGAACCTCGCCGTGGCGGCCCGTGTGCACGCAGCCGGAGAGGCGCGCAATTGCCGAAAGAGAGCCGAATCGACTCGCTGGGCTCCGAGTCGTTTCTCCAATTGGGCTGGTTGAGGGCTGGTTGTGATTGGGATTGAGAAGTTTTGCGAGGTTGAGATTTGGACTGTTAAGGGATATGATTTCGTCGGGTTTGCAGGAGAGTTTCCAGAGGGTGCGGGTTTTGAGGGGAAACGTATATTTTGAGTGCCATGCGCAGACTTCCAGCTTTGTGAGGAAGGTTATGTCGGTTTGTTCATAATGGCTGTGGGCTTTGGGGACTCGCAGACGCACAAGTTGTTCGGCATGGAACCTGACACTCGATATGGGCAAATGCAGTCGCGACCTCCGACAAGGGGATTTGGTGTGAGATCGAACACCCCTGATGAAGTTATGACGAAGGCTTCCGCTATCCTCGAAACACTAGGCAACAATGGAGCAGAATTGTACCCTTGATATTGTGTATAGTGGTTGTACCACTGTTTTTCCCTTGGCTTATGATTTCGGGGGGGTTACTAAACCCGTTTAGAGCCACAGACCTTTGCGAGAACACTCGCGCGTGAGTTCGAGCGACCTTCAGGTGGAGACTGAAAGGTTTCACATCGAGGAGCTGCAGAAGGCTCGCGTTGCTAGCCGAGGGAGCTCCGCTCGGGCCACCCTTCCTCCCACTTACCCTTTGGTGCATTTTGACCAGGGATGTTAGGACTTTAACTTTTTGCCAACTAATGGTTTTTCCATTGAACCACTAAAAGTTAAACTTTTAGCAGGGGAGCAGAAAGCAACCGAGTACCGCGCCCTTTTTTCCTTTTCGGTGGGAAGGGTTCCGCTTTGAACTCGACCAACCAAAAAGGCTGCCCTTTTTTCCCCATGACCACTGGGCATCTGAGTTACCCTTCCTCCCAACCGATGGCACATGTGGGAGAAATGGTACCTGGGATTTCTGGAAGATGAAGCTCCTCTTGAAGGGACCGGGTCCCTGTCAGGTGCCATGGCAACGAGGGAGTGAGGGTGCTTTGAAGGGCTTCGAACCCAACGATTCGTTTGGCTTGGTGGTTCCCGGCCATCCGGTCCCTTAGGATTTTTTTTGGGCTTTTAGGGTGTAGTGGGTTTCCACGAAATCCACGAAAAGTTAAACTTTTCGTAGCGGATCTGAGGACAGCCCAACTTTGGGAATGTTAGGCTTTTCTTTGTGCAAGCGCCGTTTCAGGCCAGTTTGGGAGTGTTTGATTCTTCAAGACGAGAAGTCCCCACCTGGAAGGCGTTTCCTGGGTGTGGGTCGAACGTGGTTAAGTTTGCGGGCAAACGGGACATGTGGATGTTGAGTTTGGTTGTGGGTTGATTCTGAGGTCCAAGGCGAAGCGAGCTTTGGACCTTCCATTTCTGGTATGGCTTATCATCAGTTTGGCCCTTTGCGAGTGAGCAACGCACACAATGGGATATGGGTGTGCCTTCTTTTGGGGATGCCCCAAATGGTGGTGTTCCTTTGGTTTCCCTTTTAAAGCCACAAAGAAGGTACCCTCAAAAAAAAGACACTGCCGTTTTTGTTTTTTTTGGTGCTCTTCCATGTTTAATTTGTGGTCAGGAAGGTAAGGCATTCAAGTGAGCATGCTTTTTGCCGTTAAAAACATGTGGGCTCCGAGAGGGCAGCCTCCAACATAAAACATCGGCGACTTCCTTGTTGTTTGCCTTGAAAACAGCCCTAGAAAGGGTACCAACTCCGAAACGGGGATACGCCCATTAATTGATGGCATCAGACCATGCCCAGTCAGTGATAAACACTCCCATGAAGTGGATGCCCTTCAACAAAAGAACGCGTAAATATTGCTGAGGGTTAACACCAATGGTAGGTGCACCACCCAGTTTAGTCTATTTTAGTGAGGATTGGCATGTTGACTGGGGGTACGATTTGGATTTTGACCCATGGCCATATTTTATGTGTTTTTCTTGCAGGAGCCGAGCGGATCTTTCACACCATCGTTCCGCGCTTAGCCGCCAGGAGAAGGGCATTTTGGGTGCTGGAAAATCGAGGGAAGAACTCAAGTGACATCCAAAGTAGCCCAGCTGAATGCTAGGTTTACATATGTTTATGTAGAGGGGACCCCTCCAAAATGAGAAGTGGCAACCCGAGCCAATTGTTTGAAGGGAACTTTGAGTGACATCCCAGCCATCCCGAGCCAAATTGTCTTCGATGTGGATCCAACCTCCAAATTGTTCGAAGCCTCGGCACAATCAGCAGTGCGAGCATGATGTGCATTCTATCGGCGATATAGGTGGTTCTTCTAGTTGCAGTAAGGCTCATCATCACTCTCTGTAAAGGCCTTGACCACCAACAGTCCTGTGGTTTTGGGCGCTGGCGTGAGTTGGGTGGGATGTTTTTCTGCACGTGTTGCTTGCTCGCAAGCCGAGGCAGTCGAGTGAGCTTTCCAAAGCCAAACCTGCCTGAACCTGAGAGCCAAAGAGAAGCCGATGGATTTGAAGAGTTGGAGCCACCTGCTCAAGACCGCCCCCTCCCCAATTGGAGTGAGTGGAGCCAAGATCAGGGCCAAAGCCAAAAATCAGGCCACGTGTTTGGTCTAAATTGGGTGGCGGACATGAAAGTCAATATACTTTTGATGTCCGCCAAAGTGATTGGTGGACATGAATCCCTACTGAATTTTGATGTTTGGGACCAATTCACACCCAATTATTGGAAGGGCGTCGCAGTCTGAGACATCTACCTGGCCAAATTGTGATGAGGTCTGGGGTCCAACGAGCTGACTGTCTTGTGCAAGATTACTAGGGATTTCTTATGAGTATCTTCAGAACTTTAGCTCCAAGACCTTTGCCTGAGGTTTTTCCCCTGTCGCTCGGTTGGGTCTCCATCTCCCCTTTTAGCACCAAGATAGTTTTCTAGCTCTTCGGGTGCGCTCGGTGGAGCGTGCCACACGTTTTCCGGTCAGTTCCACTGGCGAATCAAGTTTCGCCATCCAATGCTGGGCGCTTCCTTCAAGGGCAAGTAGTCTGCCAAAACCTTTCTGTCAAGCATGATTGCTGGAGGGGGTAAATGGGGAGGCCTTAAACCAAAGTGGGGTGAGCGCGGCGGTGATTGTCAACATTGCACTGTAAAGGGTTGGAACTTATACTCTTAGAAGTCGCAAGTCTTGTGAGGGCGGGGTAGGGAAACGTGTTCATTACCCCTAGAGGTTCCGGCCCTCCCTTTTTTGCACCCAGCGATTGTGGCTTGTGTATCCTATTGGGGGTGCCCAATTATTCTTTCACCAAACATAGCACTTCTCAAGAAAACGGTTTGGATGCCCTTTTGTGGCTTTCACATGTTCTTCCCCCTGTTTGTCCTTTTGTAGTAATCCTTTGTTACTCTTTTAGTATCCTACGGGGTGGATCTGCAAAAGCCATATCCAAGCCGCTTTCTGGACGATATCGATCTCTCTGGTGGTGCTCTGGGAGGGAGGGTGCACGATTTATGTTGCTGGTGTACGGCGATGGTCAAAAGGTCCTTTACATGGAATTGCCATCACAGAAACCTCACAAAATGATGGCTGTCACCCCCTAAATGGGAAGAGTTACCCAGTTACTCATGGTCATCTTGCGTATCCAGGTACTCATGGTGTTTTTTGAGGCCTTCAGGGAAGGTTTGCTGCGGAAACCCCTCGGATTTCGATCCATCGATCAGCCCAGGCGCTGGTGGTGGTGGTCCCGGACATGACGGACTGGCACTTGGAAGGCTCCGAGCCTTCGGGCGCCAGGGTCCCGAGGTTTTGAGTTTGTTTCTAGATGTCAGTTGTTTTTAGTTGGTGGTTAGATGTGTTTAGATATGTTTTCAGTTGGTTTGTAGATGTGTAGATGGTTTTAGTTGGTTTTCCCTGCATTCCTGGTGGCTCCCCTCAGTTCCTTGGGTTTTTAGTTGCTTTTTTTTTGTTGGTTTGGTGGGTGGGGGTTTCCGTATTTACCACTACAAGTTTTAGTCACCTTAGCAGATCTGAAATCGGACAGACCAGCAAGAAAGAAGCTGTAGATCCAAGAAGGGGCCACCCAGAACGGGGTTCTGCTAATGTAACTTGGTGGAGTTTTGACGGCACATTTTGAGACACCCATTGGTTCAAGGCGAGCAAGGGACAGTCCCAACCAGAGATGGGTGCAGCCCTTGGTAGTGCTTTGCATGGTTTTGGGGTTTATGATGGCTCATGTTTAGACACCTATCTACGTACTCCCTGAGTTAGTGGACTTTACAAGCTTTTGCGAGGACAAACTTTTGCGGTGAACAAGTTGGGCTACTGTTTTTGGCCAGTCCACTTTCTCGGAAGACCTTTCGGGCTCCAGAAGGTGAGCCTCCTTTGGTAGCGTGTGTGGATTGCCACACCCTTTTTAATTCACTGAAGGGTCAGTCCATCAGCTTAAACCAGCTGTTGGGACGGTTGCGGGAATCTGAGACCTGAAGTAAGTCTAAGACACGCCCCGCTCCGCTTCGAAGCGCCCGCCAGTCTTCGGCCCGCTGCTGCGGGCGCTGAAGATCTTCATGCTGGCCGAGCAGGCGGATGGATCCATCCCGAGCTTGATGGCGTGGGCAAAAAGCCACAGGGCCGGGGAAGACGTGGGGAGGGGTCGAAACTGTGGCCCCTTTTTCGAGACCGGTGCCGCCTTGCGCTCCTTATTTTGAGAACCCCCCATGTGTCAAATGAGGATACTCCAAAAAAAACAGGACAGAGCCTACAAACCTAACATAGGCTGGCGAGTCTCTACAAGCTTGGATTCCACGCCGAAATCCTCGCTCTGGCTGGGCGATCCAACCTTGAGGCCTCTAGGTGATATTTACCCAAGGTCTCAGCTGCAATTGTGGGAACAAGTGGGCACGCGTTGAAATAGGAGATCCCAAGAAAACGGTGGGGCCATCCCTGTGGTTTCCCTTCGAAGCCAAGCAAGGGTACCCTCAAAAAATCAGACCCACGCAGGCAACACTTGTCCATTTGGAGCTGGAGCCTTTGATCCCAAGTGGCTTGGGGATTTGAAGCCCTGGTGTACAACGTCCAATTCAAACCAACAGCAAGTGGAATACCCAGCTCAGGAGGTGGAACCCCTTTTCTTGTGCACTAAACATGGGACACCAGCAGTGGCGCCCGTGTTTCTTCTTTCATTTTTTCCGGACGTGGTTTGCAGCCCGCTTTTCCCCGTCACTGGGACGCTGAGAATCTGGGAATTCCTCAGGCGTGGCGAGCAGACTTTGATGCCGCCAGCAGCGTGCCGTTCTCGGTGGAGGCGAGCGCCGCGCGATGGTTTGGGGGACGCGCGCGCGCGCGCGCGCGTGCGTGCGTGCGTGCGTGCGTGCGCGCGCGCGTGCGTGTGTGTGTGTGTGTGTGTGCTTTTGGGAGCGCCAATTTTGGGGTGGTGTTGTGGGACACTAAGGGAAAACCAGCCATTGTGGGGCTCCCTTATTTGGGGCTGTTTTTTGCCTTTGAAACACGGCCAAGCCGGGGTAGAAATTCGATGCCCCCTCAATCACGAAAAATGGCGGGGTGGGGAGGGGTAACCAAACAAGCCATAGGATGGGTTGAAGTCTGAGGGTAACCAAACAATGAATGAAACCCTGAGATAGCGAGGGTGGCTATGGTCAACACCCCGCTTGCCTTGCAATGAGTTTCTGATATATGACTGGTTTTAGGTGCTGGGCGACAGAGCTTTTGTTGTGGCTCAGACGATTCCAGCCAATTCGGAAGGCGTTGATTTGCAGCGTGATCGAAACCGGAAGGAGGTCCTTGTAGAGATAGGGGGACGTGTGCGCGGCGACAGCAGGAAATGGAATACATGCACGAAGATGTCACGTTGCGGAATCCCTCACCTGCCATGACATTGCTTTAAGGTTTGCACCAGCTTCCGTTGCCAGAGCCCCTCGGCCGCTGGTGTGAGTCTGCTACCTTGTTCCACTGCATAGCAAGGCATCCCAGAACCAAAAGTCGATGGGTGTACTCGGCGCAGCTCAGCCGTGCGATGCAAGTTCGGCACACCTCTGAGGAAGCACCGAAAAGTTTGGACTTTCTGACAAATATGATGATCATATCAGGAAGTGAGGTGGCCTTTTTATGATTCTATGGGTTGCTTCCCTATTCACCCATCGCTGAAAGAGCAACTGCCCGCATCCCAGGGTTTGGGCTCATTGAAGAGAAGGATTTTCGCGGAGAATGGGGGTAATTAGCTGTTTTTTGGGGGGGACCCCAAAATATATGGTTTTTCCTGTTGGTTCTCCTTCAGAACCGCCCCAAAAAGGGCACCCTTAAAAGAAGACACCCCAAAGAAGGGAAGGCGTTTCTCCGGACCTTCCGTAGTGCAGGCCGCGGTGAGAGCCGGAGGATAGATTCCGGCGACGCGAGGCCGTTGACGTGGCCTCGCCACGGTTGCGCTCGCGAAAACGAGCTCCCAGAGATCTGAGAGACAAAAGTCGGCAGCCTTTGAATGAAACGTGAGCAACTCACAAGACAGTTTGGGATAGTTTGGGACTCCATAGAAATTCAGCGCAAAGAGGTGACCGCGCTTACCAGAGGTTACTGTGAGCTCATGAAAGCCTCCTTAAAGATCTGAAGAATGTGTTTTGTGTTCAACAGTGGTCTGGCAAAGTGGACAGAGTATCCATTCTCTTGTGGGTTGCCACGGCAAATCTGAAGGCTATAGATGATTTGGCATGCCTTCTAGTTTGAAGAATCAGCTTCAGTGTCTCTATCTGATGAGTGTCCCACTCCTCCTCTCCTGCCTTTCTCACTTCTCGCGTTTCCGAACTTCATACTTTGGGACGACTATTTTGGTGCATCTTGGTGGCGAAGAAAACAAAAGCTTTGTTGGGGCCGTGTCAAGAAGTGAGATTGACAAGCCGCATGCGACTTTGCAGCCATCGGCTCCAAAGAACAGAGCATCTGCCAAAGGACGGCTCGCATGTCTGTCTGTCAAGGCGCTTTTGTCACTTTCACGAAGAAGCATGTAGGTAGACATACAATTTGTTGGGGTTTCAGTTCTTTACAAGCAACAATTGAGTGCGCAAGCAGCTCTAGGTCAGTGCTACCTAGGGCGAGCTCACTAGCTCGAAATTGCTCGAATTTTACCCAGATTCCTTTGTTGCTTTAACTTCAGCCAGAATTTCACTTGTTCAGGTTCATTTGTTGCTTGATGTCACAGAGAAGCACAGGCAGCTTCAAGTCATCTCAGAGGGGTGAAGGGCTCATCCAGCACTGGCATCGAGCCCAAAGTGGCTTTGTGACTGGATGTGACATGGTACGCTCCCAAGCACGGGCAAGTGGCATGTGAGAACATCTACTGTTATTACCATGGCTTTGTCTCAAAATGGAGTGGGAACTCCACTCAAGAGGGATGGGTTTGTGTTTGCCCTTCATGAGAGGCCCAATAAAGGTATAATACGCTCCTCCCCCCACAAACTAAGATGGAACTTCAACGTGAGTTGCTTGAAGGACATGCCTCTACATGTCTTTGTGTCAAAATGTGGAAAACCTCTGAGTGGTTTGTCATGTCCTTGTGCAGGACCTGAATGTTCTTTGTTTGCCTTGGTTTTGGAATCCAAGCAGGACATGGACACATGGACACTTGAACAAGGGCGACTGCAGGGTTTGGTCCTTTTCATGTACCGGGGCAACCCCCTTTTGAGGTTACCCTATGTTTGACCCACAGCGATTCCAAAAATGGGTTGGCCCACCTTTTCAGAGAGAGAGAGAGAGAGCAGAACACCAAAAGTGCAATGAGGCTCGATGGAGCTGGACGGAACGGGCGCCCATGACGCCGGTTTGGGCGGTGAGGGGATCCTGTGTGGACCAAAAAACCAACATGTCGACTTGCAGGGAACAAAGTAAAGGCGGCAACGAAGGCTGCGCTGTGTGTGTGTGTGTGTCGTGTGTGTGTCTGGCTGCTTTGCAAGGCGCCTGCGTGTTTCAACGGGACGGGCTCGGAGGGCAATGCCCACCTTCGCATCATCTCGCCTTTGTCTGCCACCACAGAGCACGGCTTAGAGCCCAGTTGTCGGAACCTGTTTGGTTCCACAAATTTGTTGATAAGGGAATGGCGCCAGAGAATGCACTCACCAAACTGCCTCACATTTACTCCCCTGGGAGCATTCGAAGAAAGTTTGGGGGGTCAAGGCTTCATATTTAGGATACTTAGGCTCCCGGTTCTGTGCTCCCATGCAACAGCCACCAGCATCACGCGGGAGGCTGGCTGGCTTCGGCCAAAAGGTGCAGGGTCAGGTGTCTAAATGGTTGCTCAAAAGGCCCGAGGAACATAGGACATAGGATGACCATTGGTTGGAAACCACAACAAAGAGATCATCGTTGTTTCCCACATGGGAAAAGTTGCCCATGGTCATGGCCGGGGGTCGAAGGAAATATTGATCAACTTTTGAATCTTGTCGGGTCGCATGATGCTTGGGATGCCTGCGCCGAAGAGTTTCCAACATTGTCTTGCACATGGTGGCTTTCTGATGTTCAGGGTTCAGACGTAAAGACAGCTGTTCCTCCAAAATTGAACAATACACCAATATACACCATAATGTACACCCATTCGGCCCTTCAAGGCAACCCTTTCGGCAAAACCCATGTTCAACAGTTGCGACCTCAAGGGCACCACGCTGGAGCCTTTTGAGCATGGGCTGGATGACTGAGGCGCTTCCCGTTGCTTTGCTGCCAAGGAGCCCGTTTTTTTGTTTTTGTCTTTCTTTTTTTTTTTTTTTTTTTTTTCCGGTGGGCAGGCTGAGGGCTGCCAAGCGGACACACACAGACACACACACACACACACACACACACACACACACACACACACACACACACACACACACACACACACACACTCACGCACGCACTCACACACACACCACACACCACACACACACACACACACACACACACACACACACACACACACACACACACACACACACACACACACACACACACACACACACACACACACACACACACACACACACACACACACACACACGGGTTTGTGTCAAAGCGGGGGGAACCTTAAAATGGATGCTTTCATGCTGGTCCCCAAAGCGCTACCCTTGAAAAAACACACACACACACCACATTTAGCTGATTTGGATAATCCCCTTGTGAGTCAGGTGATAGATGTATCTTTTTGGGGCGCCCTGTTGGAGAGATGGGTGCTACCCAACGCTGACTCATGGTTGGTTTACATGTGAAAGGGAGTACTGTTCGGCCGTTTCTGGGGTGCCAGGAGGTACACATGTTGTTTTCTTGTTTTGTGTTTTAAGGGGTAGCTCGTTTTTGGGTTGGGTTTGAAGCCTCTTTTTGGGGTGGGTTTAGAGGAAAACCAAAAGGAAAACCGCCATTTTGTGAGGCTCCCTTGAAAAAAGGACACACCCTCACCCCTAGCCCCAAGCACACAGCAGTGGCGTCGGCAAGCTCTCAGGGGCAGTTGCGTCAGGAGCTCACTGTGCAACGCGCCCGGTGCTTGGCGCAACGCGAACAGACAAGGTTTGCTCATTGCACTGCGGGGTTTCTGGGCTCGCCTTTGAGACACAGATATATGTATATATGTATATATATATATATATACATATGTGCTATTTATTACATATATACATAGACACATATTATGATGTTCATTTGACGGCTTACTAAATTTGGACCATAGACATAAATGTATGTGTACAGACGTGTGGTTGGGGGCAAAAGAGTCTGAGAGAATGTGAAAATACCTGGTGCTGGAGCTGGCCCTATGTGTCTTGCCGCGCTGGTTGTCAGGTTCGGCCTATGCACAAAGATTCAAACAAGCCACGCCTCGGTCTAAATTTGGTAAAGGGGTGCGCATCTGGCTCCAGCACACCAAAAAGGAATATAGATATTTACTTGTTCCCCCAGGCCCCCTTTGTTAGCACGTTCAAAAGCGTTTGGGGGCCAAAACGGCTCGCTCGGGGCTCTCGGCAAGCGCGGAATTCTAAGGCAGCTGCCCCCAGAATGCCGGGGGCTCGTGGCACGGAGATTGTGAGAGTGGCACCTCCAAGCCACCTGCAAAACGGACCTTTTTTCAGCATCACCCATTCTCTCCTTGTGGGCCCAACATTAGTTAAAAAGATAAAACATATTTCGGTGTTCCTTTTGGTTTCCCTTTGCCACATGTGTAAAACATACACGAAACATACAGGTACCCTCAAAACGACACAAACACGGGCTCCCCGCCACTTCGCTTCGGCGCGAGGTGTGGAGTTTGCCACCTGCGCCCAAGCGGGGGCACAGTGGCAGGAGTTCCGACACGCGGTGCAGCAGGCGACGGATCGATCCCATCGAAACGGGCCGAGGCTTCGCCGGTTCGCTGATCCGGCCTTGGAAGGTTTCTAGGGGTAACTTCCGTTTCCATTCTTAGGGATCCTTCTTTCTAGAAAACCACCAAAACCCTGGGGGAAATCGATCTGGCTTTTGAAAAGAACGATGGCTGAAAAGAATTGGGAATCAACCCCTAGAAGGTTGGTAACACAGCCACAGCCAAGTTTGTTTGACCTTCCAAAGTGGCATGTTTGGTGGCAATTTCCACAAGTACTGGAGGTTTTGTTCACAATGGAGGTATGGCTCCCCCGGGCAGTGCATCCCTTGATTGTTGTTTCTGGGGGGAGGCATAGCTGCGCTTCGCTTGCGGGCTACTTTGATGCGGCATGTTGGGGCGACTGTGGCCTTGCCCGCTGTGCACCTACACATTGCCGATGAAAGAAATTGGTTCGGATGGCGAAGGGAACTCGAAGGACGCCAACCATTTTTGAGGATGTGAATAGCTGGGGCCACACACCCGGAACCCTCTTCTCTGTTTCACTGTGGTTTCCCTATGTTTCCCTTTGGAATGTGGTGCTTACAGGGAAACCACCGGGGCCCAGGGGGTCCGGCGGAGAGGCCGCTGCCCTGGAAGCAGCGAATCAGCAGGCACGGCCGAAGTTCAAAGGCGCCCAGCGCTCTCCGCGGAGTTCGCGGAGTGTTTGTGGGGGAAACCAACATGTAAAACTCCGGTTGTTGGTTCCACAACAAGGACGTTGGACAAGGAGAGAATTCCAGGGGTTGGTTCCTTGTCCAGTCTTTTCACCTATCGCTTTTTCCAAATGCCAACCGTTTTCCCCGGGGTGCTGGAGGTTTTCTTTTAAGGATTGCTGGAAAGAAGGGGGAAGGCACCCCTAGAAAAAAACCTTGGTCGGGTAGGTTTCGCTCATGAAAAACAAAAGCAGATCTTCCACAAAGTTTGGCTGGGTTCCCCTTCAATCAAGCAAGCAAGACGTTTGTTTGGTCTGATGGTTGGGTGAGTGTTGTCAAACTGAAAGAAAACAACAAGCTTTGTTTAATTGATCAGGGTTACCTTCGACACCAACCAACAAGCACCGCTTTTGCGGTCTCCTGTCCGGCTTCCTTTGTAAATTCAGCCCAACGAAGAAAGGGTTTGCGGCTGTTTGTACCCTGACACAGGTCTTCAACTTCGTTGTTCAACCTAGCCGAACCTACCATGCAGGTTGATTACCCTTCATAGATGGTTGGGTTGGTGGCTTGGGGATTTGGATTTCTGGTTCTTGTATAGGGAAAATGGGAACCCCCTCTAAGCTACCAGTTACAGGGAAACTGAGCCATTGCCACTTCCAAGGGCCCAAGTTAAGGCTCCACTCGGGTTTCAAGTGTTCAGCGTTATGGGCTTGCTTGAGAGAGATACTGTGGATGGACGAAATCCTGCACCACTTGGAAACTATGGGATGCCAGTGTTTGTTGGTATTTACAGGGGAATCACCATCCCAGGGTTTCTTGGGTGGTGCAGGATTTCGTCCATCCACAGTAGGAACAGGGGGGTCCGCTTGATTGTATAGCGCATTTCTTGCAATGCTCTGGGCAAGGACTGGCAACAGCAGCTGAGGGCTGGACATGTAGGACAGCACAAAGCCTCGCCGATATCTCAAGGAATCCAGCTGAGGCAGGCTTCACGTTCAGCTTTCGGAGTCATGCGATGGACCATCGTAATATTGGGCTCGGGCGTGAGAATTCACAGCTTCCTTCTCTCATTAAAAAGAAACACGTTTCTGCTTTCTCGTTGATTTGCATGGGAACAAGCATGAGGGGTTAAATAAAGTACCTTCTAAGGAAGCACTTAGACCCCTTTTTATCCCCAATAGCCATCCTCACGAGGTACTTGGACCGGGACCCTCTGGGGTCAAACCCTTTTGGCCAGGCGGCTATGGAGCTCTATTTCCAGCTCATGCAGCGCTACACCTTGGACGCGGGGATGGCTCTGCAGTGCCGCCCCTCGGTCGGTTTTTAGCTGAAGATCGGAGAGCCCGGGGGTGGGGGACGCCATGGGAGGGGCTTTGGATGTTAGGCAGTTTCCTTGACTGCTATTGAAGGTTGGATTTTTAGTCTTTGACTTTTTGGTTGAAGTCACGGGGTTTTCCACTAAACCCACAAAAAGTCAAACTTTTTGCAGAGGGGTCAACAGCAACCAAGTTTCGGGCAGAAACCAAACAGCCCAGCCTGACAAACCGGATGCGCTGAGAGGCATCCTCGTCAAAGCGAGAAAGTAGTCCCGATCAGCATCAAGAGGATGTTTTGTTTCTCCGCTGCGTAACACCACCTGTTTTTTTGCTGTGTGTGTGTGTGTGTGTGCGTGTGTTGTGTTGTTTGTGTTGTTTGTGTGTGTGTGTGTGTGTGTGTGTGTGTGTGTGTGTGTGTGTGTGTGTGTGTGTGTGTGTGTGTGTGTGTGTGTGTGTGTGTGTGTGTGTGTGTGTGTGCGTGTTTCTGTGGGTGTTTGTGTGTGTGTGTGCGCGTGTGTGTTGTGTAGTGTTGTGTCTTTGTTTGTGCGTGCGTGCGTGTTTGTTTGTGTGCGTGTGTGTGTGCTTGTGTGTGTGTGTTTGGACTTTCTTGAACAACTGAGGCATGGGCTCTGCCAGCGTCTTCTACCGCCTGGGGCGGATGTACTTGGGTATGGGCCCGGGCCCTGAGGTCTTGAACAAAGGCTGAGTGCGGGGCGACCATTTGAGCAGGAAGCCTGTCTGAATGATGTGGAGGATGAGTCGTGCGTTTGTCTTTTGTTTGCGTGTTGGCCAACATGGAGTTTGGAGAATGAGCGGAGTTTGACGTTTAACATGCAAAGGATTAGTTGAGTCGAATCAGTGGACGTGTGTTGCAAGTGTGCTGATTTAATGTAATTAAGGCATTAACAACATCATCAACAACATCATCATCATCATCAGCACGTTCGTCGCCGTCGCCTTCATCGTCGTTGTCACTGTCATCCTTTTCGGCACAACCATAATTGTCATCATGTTCATAGCATCATCATCATGTTCATAGCATCATCATCATCATCATCATCATCATCATCATCATCATCATCATCATCATCATCATCATCATCATCATGTTCATCATCATGTTCATCATCATGTTCATCATCATGTGCATCATCATCATTATTATCATCATCACCACCACCACCACCACCACCATCACCATCACCATCACCATCACCATCACCATCACAAGCAGGGAGTGCCATACTTATAACCCACAATGCTGCCAATCATATCCATATAATCCTTCGCACACATTTTCTGGATGCCCGAAGTACTTGGGTCCATGTCGATATCCGTCTGCCCTGTAACAAGTCGAATGGCAGCACAGGCGTCAAACGGTTGACACGTATCCGTGGAGCCCACCGGGTCCATCAACCCTCTTTCCAATGGAAGTGGAGGTGCCTTTGGCAAGTGAGAATCGTTCAAACTATCCAAGATCTATTGTTGGAACAGGGATTAAACGAAAACAAACAAAAAAGAGCTGCCCGTATGTTCGGCACACTTGGATTCGCGTGCCTTGGTGGGGCAAGGCACCTCTTAGGACTTGGGACGGCCAGGCCGGGCCCGAAACGCCACGCTTCAGGCTACTCGCAGCGTGCCGCCAACCTCTTCCAGTTGGCCTGGGGCCTGTGCTTCCGGGGAAGCAGGTTCTAGATTTCCCCTAGGTTGAGCATTGCAATCCGGGGGCAGCTTAAAATGCACATCCTTTTGGCGGGGTGATGTTTAAAGGGACATATATAGGGGACCCCGGGTTGCGCCGGGTGCGACCAGGTTTTCAGCAGAACCTCCTTCCAACATGAGAGGTTGGTCGACATGAATTACTGTGTAGAAGATGCCCACCACAGGGGGTCCCATTTTTTCGGGACGTCTCAAGGAAGATAACAAGAGCACGCAGAAGTGTGTTTCTGATTTTTGTGCGCATCCACCATCATCCACCCAGTGGTGTGTCCCCAACGGGATTTGGGATCTCATGGGTGGCTTCTCTTTGGTTTCGCTTTAGCCACGGGGGCGAGCCACAAGTGAGGCCATGAGCATGTTCTGGGACACCTCGCGGTCCGAGAACGGCATGGCGTGCCTGCAGCATGAGATGTGGGGCGTGAGGCGGCTGGGAGCCGGGAGGACGTGCCTTCCGGGCTGTCCTGCGGGTGTCTTTGTTGACAGCCCACGAAAAGCGATCGCCCCGTAAATTTGGAGACTTGCCCGGCTTGGCTTTTTTAAAACTTGGAATTCCACCTGAGCAGCTCTAAAAACCCCCGTTACATCCCAAGCAAGAGTTGTGTCATAACAAGGCCCCGCGTAAGCAAAAGCCTGCACGGCGTAAGCGGGCGTAAGCACTTTTTGGGGAAACATGTTGCGTAAGCACTTGCGTAAGCTCTTCTTCGTGATTGCTTGGTAAGCTTTGTAAGCAGGCTCGGAAGAGTTGTTTCCCACATGTGCTTATGCGTTTTGTGGTGGCTTGTGCTGTTGCAACCTAGTCGAGCTTGGCAACTTGCCCGGAGGACTTTGGCTGCAGGAAGACGTCTAAGACCGCATGTGCTCACCAATAGAAAAATCCTAGCAGAAATTTGATGGGGAGCTCTTCTTACCTCTTAAAAACACAACTTTTCAACTTTTTGGGTAACATGGGCTATATGTCTGTAAAAGATTAACTTCCCCAGGGCTTGGAGTTTTAAGGGGTAAGTCTTGGGGCTCATGCCAGGTGCTGTCGCAACCTCCAGGGCGGGGGCGCGTAAGCCCGCGTAAGCAGGCGCGTAAGGTTCACGTAAGCTCGCCTAGCTCAGCTGCCCGCTAGCCCTCGTGATGGATGCCGCTACCGCAAAAACCTGTTTCTTGACTTGCAGCAAAAACAACAACGCCAAGCTGCTGAAGCTCGCGAGCGTAACTCTTCGTCATCTCTTCCACAGAGTCATCCACATCATCTTGAACAGTTCTGGCGGCTATGCGGGAAAAGAAGCCCGCGTAAGCAATTCTTGAGGGGAAACGCTCAAAACGCCGACGCGTAAGCGATGCGTAAGCTTTACATGCTGTCTTACTGCCGCGTAAGCTAAAACATGGGTCGCGTAAGGAAAGCGCAAGCTTGCGCGTAAGCAACTTGATACGACATAGGGATTCATGGGAGGTTTATGGAGTCGCTCACCTGGGTTCTATAAAAAGGGTTCAAAGGGAATCCAAGGGAAACCCAGCCACATTGGGTCTCCCAGATTCGGAGACACCTGGATCAGATGGGGGTCATGTCCGTTTTGGCGGGCCATTTGCCCGATGATTTGAGCGGGTGTTCCGGCAAAGAAGGCTCACTTGGCCATGGGTGGAGTAGGCGGACACGAATCCACATGTACATAGATCATGTCCACCAAAGGGTCCCATGTGAATGCTCGACCTACTTGTCAGAAGCTAGCAAGTTTTCCCAAAATATGCTAATTTCCTATTATTTACCTGCACATTTTCCGGGTCATTGGGGCAAGTGGGGAATGGGGATGTAAGATGCATCGCTGTGGTGCTGGGACAAGATCGCACTGTAGGAAGTGCACCCGCGAATTTCCAACAGCCCTCCACCCTTTGGGAACCCTGCCAAGTGGAACAAATATGTTAAATTTCCTCTTTTGGGTGGTAACCGCAATTCTCTCAAAGCTTCGAACACCGGAGAACTATCTTTCGTAGGGAACAACATGTGGTTACCTCTTCTCGAAAGGGTAGTACTGCCTTTTTATTCAGAGACTATGGTCTGATAGAAAGCTTGAAACAGGAGAGCAACAATCAAAGCCCTGGTAAGTCAACTAGGTCCCCCGGTAGTGCCCTTTTACCGTTTCTTTTTTGGTTGGGAGGGTTCCCCTACTAAAATAGACGACTGACAAAAAAATCGGGTACCAACTTATTCTATCCTCTCTGGAGGACCTATTCAAAGGTTCCCGTTCGAGCCGTTCGAGCCGTTCGAGCCGCAGGTGGTTCGAAGACTTCATGGAGACCTACCTCAGCAACGCCGCGAGGATCCGGCGCAACGACCTGGCCATGCTGCCGCGCCTCGGACGCGAGCCGAGGTGCGGCTAGGGCCTCCAACCATTGCAGGGTTGTTGGGAAACAATTTTTGCATTTTTGCTTGTGGTTTAGTGGGAAATGTCCGCTTAACTGCTACTGCTACCCTTCCAACGTCAACCAAGATTGGGTTGCGAGCCCTTTGTTCCCCTTGCAATTGAGGGGAGGGAGCGGTCTGGAACCTTTTTTTCCCATGGCCACGATCTGGTCTGGGCCTTCTTTTTAGGGCACCCCCAAATTCGGTTGGTTTAGAAAGGAAACCAAAGGGACACCGAATTTGAGACAAATCCTATTCGCCTGAAAAGCGGATCGGGGAGTTGGAATTCGCCTGAAAAGCGGATCGGGGAGTTGGAATCCATGTGACAACGGAGTGCCTTTTTCAGAAGGACCCTTTTGGTCCAACAGTAAATTGGCTCCTTCCTTTTTGGATAACCCCTTGACACAACCCTTCTTTGACCGTACTTGGATGACGAGTCACCTGACCGCACTTGTCCCTTCAGTGTATGCATGCAACAGTCAGCTTGGGGGACTTGCAAGGGTTACTAACCGTTTACCACGTGGGGCGGTCATCCCATAGTCAATATGGGAGGGACATGGGACTCACAAAATTTCCATAAACCACAAGCATGGGCTGTCTTTCTTTGAGGTGCCCTGTTTAGGGTATGCAGGAAAACCAATGGGAAAACCAATTCTTTTTTGGGTTCCCATAGTTGAAGACACATACTTGGGCTTATTTGGGTGTCTTTTCTGAGGGTACCCGTTTGTTGGTGGTTTTAAAGGGCAACCAAAAGGAAACCGAAGCCATTTTGGGGGATCCCCAAAAAAAGACACACCCTGGCACTGAGGCATTTGTCGGAGCTCCAGGTGCCTGACACCTATCGAGACCCCAACCTCTCCATCGGAGTCTTCTCGCTCTGCGACTACAGCCCCGAGTCCCCCATGGCTTGGCTGCTGCAAAGGTCGCGCAGGAACCGCCAGGCGAGCGGAGAAAGTGAGATGAAAGAGACGTGGCATTTGGTGGTGCTTGTTCGTACAGATTAAGTACGAGTTGTATTTCCTAAATATTTGGTTGTCAGACACATGTAGTTTGGCTTGGAAGCAGAGATTCACCTGTATGAGTTGTTGATTTGACATCTTCTGGCTGTTTTCTCCAGGCCGATTTGCCACCGGGCAGTGGATGGCTGCGACACGGATGGGCTGAACCGTGTGGCCGGGTCCTTCGGTCACCCAGCGAAGTGACCGCTTTGTATAACCAGCGAACCCCCAGCTATCCCCCAGCTAACCTGCCTGAAAACCCAGGGACGGTTGGATTAACCCACTGAAAGCCAATCTTTTCGCTGAATGCCAAACTTTCAGCGGGGGATTAAAACACGGGCAGCCCAGATAAGGTTCACCATTTCGTCATCACCCGACCATCCAAGCGGCTGGTGACCTGGTGCTCTTCGCCAGGCCTACTGCAGCCGCCATGGCTATGGCTTGGCGGGGGCCCTGCGCAAGGGGCTTCTGGGATGTGAGGCAGAGTCTTTTTGCACGAATCAGACGGCCGTGTCTTTTCTGGAGGGTCCGAAGTTGTTCTTTGTTTCTGGAAACTAAAAGGAGTCCCTATTTTGGCAACCGATACAGGGCAGAAACTCCACTCCCCCTTTTCGAAACCGCAACAAGAAACACGATGGTTTCGATGGAAACCACCAGTAAGTTGATTTCAGCTTGAGGGAAATTGGGCAACCCAGGGTTGCTCCAAGTTTCTAAAAGATCAACGAAGCCAACCTCTGCCCCATGCTCGGTTTTAATTAGCAAGGAACAAGAGGGGGAATCACGCTTTCCTATGATGGAGGTTCTTGGTGGATTCCTCATCCTTCCCTCTTGTGGTGTAGAGGAGCTTTGCTCAAACAAAGCACTGGCTGGACTACGAGATCGTCGTTCGAGTCTGTTCCCTACAAGGGCTAAGCTGCCAAGAGAAATGCACGCCTTAGAACAGGAACTGAGAAGTACTCAGAAGGGACTTTGTCGATCATCCATGGCTTGCGCCCTCTCAAAGAAGGTCATCTCAGACAGCTCATCGGCACCTTTCTTTGGGTCGCTTGCCGTTTGAGGCGCATTTTGGCATTTAGGGTCACCCTTTACATATTTCAAGGGGAAACACGCGGTCACCATTTGCGCAGGGTCCCCCAAAGAAAAGGGTTTTAAGCACGGAACCCGTAAAATGGGTGGCTTCCCAAGCAAAGGATGTAGTAGTTTCCCCGCAACTTGCTGGTGCTAACTAAGGAATGACCCAGAATGTTGGGAATGACGCTAGGGATTCCCTGCAAGGAAACCATAGGGGATGGTTTATGTCGGGGTCATTCAAACTCATTCCCTGCCTATCGAACCAGCAAGGCCAAGGGCGTTCCCATTATCTTCCAGAACCGTCCCAAATTCCTGGGCTTGGATGCTCAGGAGTGGACCAGCGAGCGGCCAGGTTCCTCCAAGGCCTTCTGACGCCGGCCCTCTTTTTCCATGTTTTTTGCAGGTGGAAGGTGCCAGTTTAGCGCGTTCCAAGTGAAGACTTTGAGGGGTTCTCAACATTACTTTTAGGCATTACTTTTTCTTGTTGCCCTTGGGGTTCCCTTTCAGCCAAGGTGAACGAGTACCTTTGAAGCACACACACACACCCTCATGCTCCAAGCCTCTCGTCCTATTGAGTGCCAGGACCGACACCCTGTCTGGGGCCAGATCGCTGGGCCGCTGGAATTGCCCCTGGGCGAAATTGGCTTGACGTTGCTCAAAAAAAGCTTTGCCTCAGCTAGCTGGCTCTTGACGAGCAAAATTTCGTGAGTTCAACCGCTCCCAAAACAACAAGGGATGGTTTAATCGCCCCCCCCCAGCATGTCTTTCTTGTCACGTATGTGTATGCACGCTGAAGGGTGTCCTTCATCCCAATGTTACTGTCCGATAGAATTAGACAGGCCACTCTGGGTTGTTTCTTTTGGCAATTTCTTCTGGGATGTTCTAGGAATTGTTTCAGAATGGCAAAAGGACAATGCTGCTTCATTATGCTCCCCTTTCAGCATGAACAGGTCTTGGTGCAGGGGGTTCACCGACTGATCCAGCCTCATGCACCCTCAGCTTCAAGCGCCTTTCAAGGTTCTTGCATTGGTTGTGCACGTGGGCTGGTGCCGAAAGTAGCGCCTTTGAGGCCTCATCCATCACTTCTGACGAGTTGGCAGGTTGGAGAGGTCCAAATGTGATCAAGGGTTCGTTATAATTCCCGGTTGGGCTGGCTTAAACGTCGCCTGGGTGACGTTTAAAGAGGACACAATGTAGGGAACCTTGGTAGGCCGCTTGAAGATCAGGTAACCGTAGATGGACCTGCTTGCAACGCGTGACTGCAATTCCTATTTGTATTGTTAGTGGGATCCCTTTTAGGGTTGCCCAATTAACTTGCTGGTGCTCAGCAGGGAATGACCTTCCGGGTGTTGGGAATGAGCCTAGGGATTCCCGTAAAGAAAAGCACAAAAGACGGTTTGTGGGGGTCATTCCAACGCATTCCCTGCCTATCGAACCATAGGAAGCACATTTGGTCGGCTTTGCTCTTCAGAGCCCCAAGGATCAACGCGGGAAAGTACGCCGCTGCCTCGGGTTTTTGCGCACGTTCTTCTTGAGTCTTTGGCTTTATGGATGTGTCAGGTAAGGCCCTTCGCAACTCTAGTGCCAATTGTCTTGCTGGTTCGGCAGGCAGGGAATGAGTTGGAATGACCTATAAACCATCTTTTGTGGCTTACCTTAATTAAGGGAATCCCTAGGTGCATTCCCAACACCCGGAAGGTCATTCCCTACTGAGCACCAGCAAGTTGTGTATCATCCTTACAGGGTGTTTTATTTTGTCAACCCCTGCCTGAACCTCTGCAGTCGAGTGAAGCATGAGTTTCTTCTCAAATTTAAGCCCTCCACGTGGTTGGTGCATGCTTGTGTCTTTTATGTTTGTCCCAGATCCGGAGGTGTGAACATATGCGTCCGATGTTGTGTGTTCCGAAATTTTGAGTTGATGCAAATCGACTGAATTGCGAGCAGCCCATCCCTGACTGAGGTTATCATTCCGACAAGCCCGTATTTATGGTGGTTGTGATCAACGATCCAATGTGTGTTCTTTTTCATCAGCAGCCCGCCCCCTCCACTTGGTTTCCTTTGGCTTCTTTGTTTTGAAGCTGCACATTAAAAGCCGGGTGTACCTCAAACCAGACGCACCCATTTGGGTGTGGCACCCATTCGGGCGTGTCTCAAAATTCAACGATCGCAGGGGCAAACCGCAGGCTCCGGTCCATGTTACTTCCCGATCGGGCAGCCCATCTTGGAGTACCGGGGCTTTTTTGACTTCGCCACGGCCGGTTGCGTTGGTTTTGTGGTGCTCCCACAGGACTGGATCCTCTCCATGGATTGCGACTCGCTCTTCGTGGACCTGACGGCGCGGGCTTCGAAGTGACGTTGGAACCGTTGGGAGCTTTCCCGGACATTTTTTGGGGGCATACTGGTTGGTCCCTTGGCTGCTTTTTCGGGGACTCCTTTCCGGTCCGGGTTCGAACACATATGGCCATGGGTCACAAGCCCGTACCCCCAATGAACATCTCAATCCCGACTAAAATAGACTAAAATGGGTGGTGCACCTACCCCGAAATGGTACCATTGGTTTTGACCCACAGCCATATATGGGCCATGGGTTTATTTCAGGTGTCCCGTATGTTTCTCATGGAGCCCCCTGGCGGAGCAGTTGGAAACTCCGTCGGGATCCTGTTGTTGGCATGATCTGCGGGGGGATTCAGGGCCAGATATAGTCTGATCAAGCAGGAAGTTCCGTGCAAGACACACTGGAGCGAGCAACATAACGATAAAGCCACACCCACACTCTTCCTGTCGCTTACTTTCCCTTGCTCAGCAGCCCTATCTTCGGGCGGAATCATTTTTTTGCGTCGCTCTATCTGACTTGCTTCCGTCCGGCCTAGAATGGTCCGTCCGGCATCCAGTCTTTGTTGGTCAAGAGTTGTGCCAGGCGGTGACAGCAACCCCACCCTTGGGAAATATTTGTTGCCGCTGGCCAGCGCAAGATCATGAAGCGTACAATTGAATCATTTGGTCCCCTTGGTAGCGGTATCCCAAATGAGACGATGGAACATCAGCTTCGATTATGATTCCTCCAGTTGGGTTTGAGTCCAACTCGTGGAACTTCCAAAGCAGGGAAGGTGCGGTCTTTATTTAAAGGGTATGCGGGGTTGGTTGAAGGGGAAACCAAACAAGATGGTTTCCTCTTGGTTTCCCTTATGGCATACCTCACGCAAATGGTGCTTCAAACGCATTACACTGGTTTTCTCCCTTCGTCAAAATGGGACTCAACCGGAAACCACCAAGCAAAATGGGTCAGAATGAAGCCTGATTTTGCCCCATTTGGGTGATTCTCCAAATTAGTGACCCCCAGCTTGGTTTCCTTTGGTTTCCCTTTACCATCCAAGAAGGGCCCCCCCATCTTGAGAAGCTGTTCCCCCCAAGGTCAAAAGCGGGTCCAACAAGCACAAACACCACTTCGGGGTGCTGGGCTTGTCTGACCCAATCTGGGCGCTTCTCAAGTATAGGAACCTCCTCAGCCAGTTGGTTTCCGTTTGGTCCCCTTAAAACCATCCAAGGAGGGACCCCCCCCATTCTGAGCAACACCCCTTCTGTGTGGCCATGGGTCAACTCCCTTCCCCGCAGTGAACATCCCAATCCCCACTAAAATAGGTTCTATAATGGGTCGTGCACCTACCATCACCTGCCCCAAAATTGGATACGATTGGTTTTGACCCACAGCCATGTCATGTCGGTTCGAAAAACGGAGGTGACGGTCGACAGCCTGCTGTACCGCTTCGCTTCCCGGGCCACGCCCTGGGGGAAGTTGGAGCTGGATCCGGAGGTGCACTTCCTCATCTCCGAGGCCGGGCAGTGCTTGCCTAGTCTCGGGGGGGGGGGGGCCTTCTTGGACCTGAAATATGAGGGCTTTTGACAGATGACCAACACTTTTGACCTCCAATAATCAATTGGGAGGGGGATTGCTTTCTCTGACCCCTTGGACCGAAAATATCAAAGCGTCTGACCCCCAACGATCTCAAATCAGGTTCTGGGTCCCAGGGTTTCGGTTCAAAGGGAGACCCGCCGCGTTATGGCTCGCGTTTCAGAAGATAGGTTCCCCTGGTTTTGTTTTGGGAATCTATGACTGGACGCATTTATTGTTTAAGTCGCGATCATAACAATTAAACTGAGGAAACCAACATGAAGCTTTGGGGATTGGAGCCGTGGGACGCTCTTGATTCCATTTGAGGCAGAGACCGCGTGAAGCATTCTTCCTGCTGTCTGCTGTGGTTGCAACCCACCTACGGTAGTGCTTGTGTACAACCCCCCAAGAAAATCCGAGTACTCATCGGTTTTGGGCTGTTATGCTTACCGTGGGGCAAAGTACCCAAAGTACCGGGAAGCCCTTTTGGACCATTTGGTTTGTCGCCAATGTGTCTACCGCACTATTTTGTGCAGTTCAGTTCATGTCAACGGGAAGTCCCTCCACAAAGAAGGAGCAACAGGCAGCACTGATCTGAGGGATCCCTTGTTGGTTCACTCGCAGAATGAGCCCGTTGTTGCTTGGCGAGGTGCTGATTGTGTTTTTGACTTGCTTTGGCAGTACCCCCGCAAACCCTTTCATTTCGGGGCCATTTTTGTTCAACCTCGTTACTCAAAACACGACCAAACCTTCGACGATGTATGGGGCTGCGACAGCTGCGAGGGCAAGCTTTTCTCCGGCCAACGACTCCTTTTATCCGGTGGGAGTGCTTGGCGGTTGCTCTTGGGATGTTCGGGAATTTGCCCGGGATGGTTGTCGGCAGATCAGCTTTGAGTGGGCCTCAATGTGAGCCAACGACAAGAAGGCGCCCGTTTCTTGGACCCAGCCATACCCCTAGACGTTTAGATTTAGAGCTTAGCGGCATGATTGACATATCACATATCCCGAAACAAACTAAACATTTTCAGAAGCGATCAACGCACCACCAAATATTTCTAACTACTTCAGACTTGTTACCCTCACCAAACATAGACCCCCCCTCCCCTCCTCCCCCCTCCCGAAAGCCTCAGTCCCCGAGCTCGTCCCCGGCCGCACGACCCTTTAGCCAGGACGGGCGCGGACTGGCAGGGGGCAACTGGATCGTCCGCAACTCCCCGGAAGGCGGGAGCTGGTGTCAGCGTCCCCAACTTGGTCCCCCATCTAGGTGCCCTTTTGCCGTTTCTTTTTTTTGGGGGAGGGTTCCCCTACTAAAGTAGACTAGGGTACCCTTGTTCTAACCTCTCTACTGGAGGACCTAGCCAAAATGCAGTGTTGTGTCTTTTGAGGCCAGCTGTTAAAAGCTTGGTTGAACGGGGTCTCCAAAGCGAAATCCACCTTTGCCGTTTTTAGCGTCTCGCCCAACGCCATGGACAACAAAGGCACACCCTGCCCACATATCCCCACCTGGGTTGGCCTTGGGTTCCACCTGAGTTTGATTTGTGAGTTCTGAGGACCTTAAGTAAGCCTCTGGGAGCTCGTTCGAAATAAAACTTGCATGCTCACTAAAAGATGTTGCTTGATGCTTTTGGTTGGTGGTTGTTTCACTGGACGACTTTGAGGTTTCCACAGGACGGCTGGACCGGTCCCTGGGTGGAATGGCTCCACCCCTACTCTGGGTCTTAATACTGTCGAAGTAGCAGCGCGTTACTCCATACCATCGGCTACTGGATGTGTGGTTCAACGAGAAACAATGTTTTTTTTGCCGGCCTGCGCTGTGTCGGGAATCATTCATGGTGCAAAAACTGAGGCAAAGACTAGATTCATGTTTTGGAGTTTGGGGCCTGACGGCTAGAACTAGCACCCTTTAAGGGGAGGCATCATGCGAGAGTGGGACTCGGATGTTTGGTGTGTCTGCTCTTGAGGGTACCCTAAACCAAGACATGGACCTTCCACTTGAAGGGATGCAGACATTTCGCCGACCTTTTGTCGGCGTCTCTGTCAGCTTTAGGATGTGACATCAATTCGAATGATGTTAGGATATGTTTGTTTCTGGTTTCGAAAGGGACATGGTTTGCTGGATTTTGACTTTGTAAGTGTTCCCTATTGGTTTCCAAGAGAAAGGCAGAAGTTATTTTTGATCCGCACCGTAGGCAAAGTGGGAAGTAAGGATATAAGAGATGAGAATCCGCAGAGCAATTGTTGTCTTAAACAAAGCGGGGTCCCCAGAGGCATGTCTTGCCCAGTACATAAGGAGCTCGTTTGGGTTGAACCGAGCTCGGCCCCGTGATGAAAGCAGTTGCTTGAGGATATTTTATTTCATGCTCTTCAGCAACAAAACGTGATGATACGTGATGTGTTCCAAGCCGATGGTCGGAAACTCATGGTGCCCGGGGCATTTACTGTCACCCCTGGCCATGTCGCCATGATGTTTTCAACGTTGTCGCTGTTAACCAGAGGTTGGTCTAGCCTTCACGACTGGGCTCGTTCGTTCCTGTCTTCCGAATATGTTTTCAGAGGCGGGATGTTTGTTTGTTTCCTTTGTTGCAACATTGGGCCATGTTTTTTATTCCAGATTCTGAGATGAGTTGTTTTGTTACAGCTTCCGGATTGACAGGAAAGCGCCTGAAAACTCGCCAAGGCCGGGCGTTTCTGAGCGAGGTGTACGGCCCAGGAGAGGAGGCGAAGAACCCCTACATGAGGCCTGGACACGTGAGGCATTTAGTTTTGGTTGGTCTGAGAAACAAGCGGAGGGAGGAAGATGAGGAGTCATTTTTTCTATTCGTGGAACCCAGGATGGATTTCCCACAGGTTGATGAAGCACAATGTGTCGCCTGTCAAGGGGTACGTCACTTTGGGGGATACTAAACACTACTATTTTAACGCCTCCGGCTCAAGCCGCCGACATTACAGGCCTGCTTTCTTATTTGCGTCCCTTTGGAATTGTCCCCTTGCCCCCCTTCCCCTCCAAGATTTTTGCCCCCCTTTCCCTGTTGAGATCCATTCCCCCTTTGCCCCCTAAGGCCCTTTCTCCCTCTGAGATGTTTTTCCCTTTTCCTCCCTACGATCTTTTCCCACCTTTCCCAATTGAGATCCTTTCCCCCCTGTCCCCCCTAAGGCCTTTTTCCTTTTCCTCCCAAAGATCTTTCCCCCCCTTTCCCCCCTAAGGCCTTTTCCCCCCTTGAGATCTTTTCCCTTTCCTCCCTGAGATCTTTCCCCCCCGTTCCCTGTTGAGATCATTTCTCCCCTTTCCCCCCTAAGGCCTTTGCCCCCAGATCTTCTCCCTTTCCTCCCTAAGATCTTTCCCCCCTTTCCCTGCTGAGATCCTTTCCCCCCTTTCCCGCCCAAGGCCTTTCCCCCCTGAGATCTTCTTCTTTTGCCACCTTTACCTGTTGAGATCCTTTCCCCCCTTTCCCCCCTAAGGCCTTTTTTCCCATGTTGAGATCCTTTCCCCCCTTTCCCCCGTAAGGCCTTTCCCCCCCTGAGATTTTCTCCCTTTTCCTCCCTAAGATCCTTTTCCCCCCGAGATCTTCTCCCTTTTCCTCCCTAGGATCTTTTCTCCCTGTCCCTGTTGAGATCCTTTCCCCCCCTTTCCCCCCTAAGGCCTTTTCAGATCTTCTCCTTTTCCTCCCTAATATCGTTTTGCCCCCTTTCCCTGTTGAGATCCTTTCCCCCTTTCCCCCCTAAAACCATTCTCCCCCTAAGATCTTAAGGCCTTTTCCCTCCCTGAGATCTTCTCGCTTTTCGATCCTTTCCCCCTTTCCCCCCTAAGGCCTTTTCCCCCCCTACGATCATCTCCCTTTTCCTCCCTAAGATGTTTTCCCCCCTTTCCCTGTTGAAATCCTTTCCCCCCTTTCCCCCTTAAGGCCTTTTCCCCCCTGAGATCTTCTCCCTTTTCCTCCCGAAGATCTTTTCCCACCTTTCTTTATTGAGATCCTTTCCCCCCTGTCCCCCCTAAGGCCTTTTGCCACCCTGAGTTCTTCTCCCGTTTCCTCCCTAAGATCCTTTTCCCCCTTTCCCGCTTAAGATCCTTTCCCCCGTTTCCCCCCTAAGGCCTTTTCCCCCAAAGATCTTCGAGATCCTTTCCCCCCTTTCCCCCCTTTCCCCCCTAAGGCCTTTCCAGATCTTCTCCCTTTTCCTCCCTAAGATCTTTTCCCCCCTTTGCCTGTTGAGATCCTTCCCACCCTTCCCCCCTAAGGCCTTTCCCCCCCTGAGAGCTTCTCCCTTTTCCTTCCTAAGATCTTTTCCCCCCTTTCCCTGTTGGCCTTTTTTCCCCCAGATCTTCTCCCTTTCCTCCTAAGATCTTTTCCATGTTGAGATCATTTCTCCCCTTTCCTCCCTAAGATCTTTCCCCCCCCTTTCCTCCCTAAGATCTTTCCTACCCTTTCCCTGTTGAGATCCTTTCCCCCCTTTCCCTCCTAAGGCCTTTCCCCCCCCTGAGGGCTTCTCCCTTTTGCTTCCTAAGATCTTTTCCCCCCTTTCCCTGTTGGCCTTTTTCCCTCAGATCTTCTCCCTTTCCTCCCTAAGATCTTTTCCACCCCTTTCCCTGTTGAGATCATTTCTTCCCTTTTCTCCCTAAGGCCCTTTTTTCCCAGATCTTCTGCCTTTCCTCCCTAAGATTTTTCCCCCCCTTTCCCTGTTGAGATCCTTTCCCCCCTTTCCCCTCTAAGGCCTTTCCCCCCCTGAGATCTTCTCCCTTTTCCTCGCTAAGATCTTTTCCCACTTTCCCGGTTGAGATCCTTTCCCCTCTTTTTTTCTGAGGCCTTTGTCCCCCAAGATCTTTCCCGTTCCCCCCCCCCCCCCCCGATCTTCTCCCCAGTTCCCCCCCTAAAGCATTTTTCCCCCCTTCATCGAAGATCTTCATTTCCCTTCACTTTCCTGCACTTCGGTTCATGTCCCTTTATGTCTGTTTTTGCTCCCTTTCTTTTGTTTCACTTCATGTTCTTCATTTCCATGCCTTTTCCTTCATTTCCAGATGTTCCTTCACCAGCATGGGCAACATCCCCAGCATCACTTGCATCATCCGCGTCCTTGGCAGGCGCTGATGCAGATGATGCAGGTGTTGCTGGCGATGTTGCCCAGGAGGTGCCAAGGATGCAAAAACGGACCACCCCAATGTTTTTACCCCCCTGTGTTCCGCACGTAGTGGAACGTCTTGGAATCGCCGCGTGGTACGTAGTCTGAAACCGTGCCCCTGGGGAGGGGTAAGGGGGGGGGGTAACAGGTAAGGAGCATTTCTTATTTCCAACACGCCGCCTTGTTGGTCAGCATTCCTTGCCCACATTTCCAGCACCCTGTCAAGATAGGGCTCCCTGAGTTCCCCCCTCCCTCTTGGGGACCAAGAGTTGCAGTCTCGTTGGGACCTCGCCAGTAAATTGATCAACGACGAAAGCTTGGCATGTTTACGTGCCAAAGGCATCACTTCACCCTGGGCCCGTGGGTTACACTGATGGTCCCGACTGCTTGTTTGACATTTGCAGATTTCACAGACCCGAGCTTGGGGAATCTTATGTGCCAGGCTGAGCCGAAAAAGGACACACCCGTTTAGGCCTTTCAGCTCTTGTATTTTTTTAGAAGGACAACAACTGCACGAAGATCTTAGCACCAACCGTCTAGGGGTGGTACCACGGCTTGGGAAGCGAAAACCTGGACAAGCCCAATAAGCCTAATAAGCCCAAGTCGCCATGAGGCTTCTCTAAATTGCAACCCTTGTGCAACAACAAAGAAGGGCCTAGAAAGCATCTGAAAATGGATGTTCCGAATTCCGAACCAATACCCTGGCACCTTGTGGAAATGTCGGAAGATTGTAGGGATCCCCACTTTGGGCTGGTTTCCTCTTGGTTTGGCTAGGACCTCTTTCCAATTCGACTGTTCGTCTCCAGGGTCTGGTGTTTCATCGGTAATTGTTGTTAGGGGCCCCTTTTCTGGTTCCATGATAATTCGCGGGAGGTTATCCAATTGAGGAGTTCATTTAGCATGGTGGGCGCTTGTTGCTGTGGGAACCCTTCTCCTTTCAGCTTTCAAGGGAAACAAAGAAGAACGCCTACCCATTTACGGGGCACTTTTCGCGGTACTCAAACTTGAGACGCCTCTGCAAAAGTCAAATTGTCGAGGCACGACCTCCGAGACCAGTTCTCCCTTCTTTGGCACCTGGCGTGGGTCTCAGGCATGTGACGTGTCACCCAACCATGCGGGGCCCCAGGCCTCTACCGTCCCTTGTTTGATTGTTTGTTTGTTTGTTTTTTGGGGGGAGGCGTTTTGCTTTACGTGAGTGTTTCCGCTTTAACCCACGTGTTCCTTACAGGTTGGTGAATCCTCATTCACGCTTGCCCGGCTTAGCTCGGAATCTATCCGGAAGATTGCGTTTTGGGGGGTGTTGGGAGGGAGGGCTTGGGGAAACACAGTTAAGTGAAGTGACGTGAAAATGGGTTGCTTGCTACTCATGAAAAATCATGTAAACGGCACATGTGTTTAGGCTCAGGCCTTTTTTTGGGTACCCACCACCATCCCCTTGTCTCCTTCCTGGCAGGCTACCTGCTGTACATGTGCCAGGTTGCGCATCCCCCATGGATGAAACAAAGGTGGGAGGGTTTGGGGAAACACACAATTAAATGAAGTGACATTCTGACGCACTCCCTTTTTAATGCCGATGGATGAAAAGCAGCCATGCCTAGCCCATGGCTGAGTTGTGGCTACATGTAGCTACTTATTTCCTTTGCCCCAGGTCACACAATGTGGCAACTGATGTTGTAATTAGGACTGCATACTACTTATGCAGATCGTCGGAACTTTGGGAAGAACGAAGGCCTTTGACTTTTGGTAGAAGAGTCTCTCAGAGCACGCCGGGTGAAAATGAGCACGCAGCTGCGGACCTCAGAACTTACATTGTGGCAAAGTCTGAAGAAGCATCCCTTTTTGCCCACCCACCCACCCCAGCGCCTCGGCGAATCCAAAGTTTCCCAATCAACAGAGTTCACTTGGGCTTCTTGCATTGCGTTGTAAGGATCTCGGGCTTTGTGGATCCGATCTGAGATCAACAGAAGGCGCAATACAATCAAACCAGAAGCTTCAGGAGTCCTCTCTCTCTCTCTCTCTATCTCTATGGCTGGACAGACCAGAGGCAAGGCATCAAGCTGCCAGATAGTCGCGCAATCCATTGTGTATGGAGCTGAAGCAACAGCAACAGAACCAACACAGGCATGGATTTCGTTGCATTGATCGCATCTTGAAATGCTATCTTGCGAAGCTGTCACACAGCTCATGGCATAGCCTGTGGCGGGCGCAATGAATTACTGTATTGGGCTTGCCGTAGCCACTGAAAAGCCGGAAGTGCCATTGTTGTTTTCTGAGAACAAATCGTAAACATCTGCGCGTGGGCTTTTTTACCCGGCTCGAGAGCGGACGTTTGTCAACGGAAGATATTGTTCGAGACTAAGGCGGCGGTGATGCTAATGGTCGGAAAAGTTTGTGAACAAGCATGTTTGACTCTGCCTTTAAAATACTTTTTGTTACAACAAAATGGCCGTGATGCTGTGGGTGGCGACCAATTTGGCCTACAGACGGGACCGACATCTACAATTTGTGAACGGAAGGCATGTTAGAAGAGATTAAAACGGCTGTGATTCTGAGGGTGTCAACAACTTTGGTCTACCACCGTGTCCCACAAATATATGTTTAGTCAACATACAGAATCTTTGTGCAGTTTGACGTTCGATAAGTTAGTAGTTCGAAAACATAGAAGAAACACAAGAACAACAGCGTGTATCGTTCTCGGCGAAGACTTCAACTGACATCATGGAAGCCTTCCATTTTTGGTTTAAATATATATATATATACATTTATGAGTGAGTGTTCATGACCCCAGAACAGGTTGCATGATAGATTTGTCCTCTGACACGAAACAACTGCTCAGGAATCTTTTTCAGTGATCAAACCGTCACATCGGCTCCTGTTGTTCTATTGTTCTGTGGTCCTACTGGCTCAGAGGCAAAACCGGCCCCCACAATCAGTCAGGTTTATGTGTTACAATTACTAGGGGTAACCCACATCCTGGGGAAGGGATTTCCATTCTGAAGTGATTTCCTTCCACCAACATGGAAGCACACAGACCCCACCAAATGGAAGGCATACGACTACTTTCTCTTCTGGTTCCTCACTTCTTGCTGGGAAGGTAAAAATCAATTTACTCCCGGGTCAAAAAGAGCCACGGCAAAAACCGCATCGATGAAGGGCAGAGGTCTGTTTCAATGCGATTTGGGTGATTCTTTCGAACTTTTGCTTCCACTTTTTGTAGATGACTTATTTTCGTGCATAGTTTAGTACCAAGTTGTACTCCTCCACCCCCAAACTCCATAAAACTGACGGTAATTTACAAGTCTACCCTTGCATTTTTCCCTTCAAGGTCGGACCTTTTCCGTCCATTTCGTTCGATCCGTTCCGAATCCTACCAAATCGAGGTGAGGCCGGGGGTGGGGCTGCCTTTGCCGCCAGAAGCTGGAGGTGGCTCTCCGCTGGGGTCCTGAGAGACTAGCGTGATGGGGCACTGCCTGAGATTTGGCTGGCTCAAAATGAAACGATCGGGGCAAGCCGCAGATTTTGGTCGTTTCCACGTACCGATCGGCAAGCCATAGTGGGAATTCCGGCATTTTGAGCCACAGCCATTTGGCTGTGGGTCAAAGACAGATATCCCAAAATGGAGTCCTCGAAAATGGAAGCATGGGCTAAAACCTGCGGTCCCCCGGTTACAGGGGTTAAGAATTGTTTTTGTTGGTCCCCTTCTTTTACTTTAATATGAGTGTTTCTAAATAGTCGCCTTTTGGGATTTGAAGTGGGAACAGCAGGGAAAACCGCCCACCCGAATGGGGTTCCCAACTTCGATTGAAGTCTTTGCTTATTTGTGTTCAACATGCTTTACTTAAGTGATTTTAGATTGTTTACTTGTAGAGTTTCGTGTGTCACCAGCTTGTCCCTCTATCATGTTGTTTCATGCAGACAAGAACAGGTAAGCTGCGCGTGTGTGTGTGTGTGTGTCTCTATCATATCAGTTTGTTTGTCCAATAAGTGGTTGAAGGAGGACATGATGGGCCAACCATGAACCTTATGAGCATGCACTTGCGCAGTCGAATTGAAGTGGGTTCATCAGTTGGCCCTTTTTGGTTTCATGGAAGATTGTGATCCCAGTGGAACTGACTGACAGCTGCTGTTTCTGTGTCCGTGCTTGGCTCCCTTGGACATCTCGCCGAGCTACGTCACGCAACCCCTTGGCTCCCACATCGTTTGGTGAGTTTGGGCAAGCCTGTTTGTTAGATGTCTTGCCGTACTTTCGCAATCTTCCACAGTGCAAATTGTTTCTCACAGTTCCGAATCTTGCAGGCCTGTCATGGCAGGTGCAACTTCAAGTCATACTCAGGTTGGAGGATTTGTTGCAATGTTCCCTCACACGTGCCAGTGTAGTGGGGCTGAGGCAGGCCTTTAAATTCAAGCAACAAACAGATGGGGCCACTGGGCTTCTCTGTTTTAGACAGTGGTCTCTTGTTAAACAGAAGGACCCTCCAAAATGGGCCTGTTGGTTTGCCTTTGAAGAAAGGACACCAACTGTAAAAGCACCCAAATCAAAGTTTCCAAGCCATAGTGTAGCCATGGCACGGGTTGAGTCGCCCTCAGACCTAAAGGCAACGAAAACGGGCCGGCTGAGGGCGAGCTGGGCCGCGGTGGGCTACTTGCCCCTAGTACGGCTGGTGCCGCAGGAGAAAGCCGGGTTCGAAGGCTCGAATGAGCGCAGAGATTTAGTTGGAGTGTTTCAATCAGGAAACGGACCGGGCCCCCGCTTTATTGCTATTCGGTGACGGATCTTTGGACTTGAACTGTTTGGTTGAAACTGTGAATTGTCCATTGGACCCACATTCTTTTTGCAGAGGGGTCAACAGCAACCAAGCTCAAAATGGCAACGGTTTCCTTTTGGCTTCCCACCAAACGGGTCTCAAAACAGACCTAAATGCGTGCGTCTTTTTCGAGGGACCCTTGCTGAGAGGTTCACTGTTTTGAGATATATTTTCAAAGATCCGAAAGGCTCTCAGGGATTTCACCCACAACAATTTCTACATAGCTTACTTGGAGACCATCGCAGCAAGGGAATTCGAGAAGTGGAACCCGTGGATATCACATTGAAATCGTAAAGGCTGTGCACTCAAACTGCATTTTAGTACACACCCGCGACAAGCAACACAGGCACCACCAGTCACGCGAAAAAGCTGAAGGTAACCAGGAAAACAAGCTACTGCGCCTGCTGACCCAGGAGAGGAACTGCGCTCACCATGATCTAACCATCTGCCAATTCCGCAAAGTCATCAGGCATGGCTGGTGTCAAGCGAACCAGACCCCCAAAAAAGTGCTGCCACCCATGCCAGAGTACGCAATTGATTCCTGCGCCATCGCAAAACACGGTAGGCAATCAAAGAAAACGCCTCCACACAGGCCCACCATAAAAACAGAAGTTGGATAACGCTGCAACCGCTCACGCGAAAAGCACCCCGGTTCTGTACGCGTATGTCTCCACAAGCCAAAGCGGGGCCAATGCTCATATCCAAGGGAGAAGCATCATCACCAGACTCAGTCAAAGTCTCACACCACCCCCAAACCCGCAGGTGCGACCGGCGAGCCTATCTGCATGTGTGGTGCACCAAACTTGTTGACGAAGTCGCTGGTGGCAAATGGCGAGGTGGATCAAACTGAATGGATTGGCCACTGCGATCGGGCCGATGCCAAGACGCGGCCAAGTGGGCGAAACTCAGTGCAGCTTAATTTTCCCATGACAAGTTCGATGTAGTTGTTCTCAGTTGTGCAGCTAGGGGTGCGTTTTCGTGATGTGCGTCAATTAACTCCCAGTAGAATCCCGCGGATGCCTCCAAGGAAACAGTTGCATGTCCAGACATCAGAGGGAACCAATGGGCAAGTCTTGCGGAGCTCACCTAAATCGATCTCTGTCATTCAGGTTCCTTACCTGGGAATCCCGGGACCTGTTATTTCGGGTTTGTGAAATATCATAGATTTCTGGTTTTGCGCAGAAAAGTGCGAAGAGGCGAAGAGGGCATCTCTTGGAGTTGGGAGTGCAGGCCTTGGGCCTGGTGTGAATTGCCTCTTATTTGGTTTGTGCTTCGAAGGAGCGTGTTTCAGATAAGCCCTGCATGGTGGTTTGGATTCGTGGTTTGGGGATTGGAACCCCTGGTTCTTGTAGAGGATCAATGAGAAACCACCCGGGAACACTCCAAACATTCAGGGCCCCTAAACAATGTGGCACCCCCATATCCTCGCGGCCCTTGGGTGTATTCACCGCTAAGCTGAAAGTCGGGCGGCTTTCCGGCCAGGACATGTTGCTCGGTGGGCGCCTGAGAGACTGTGGCTTCTCAGAATTCCCCGAAGCTGGCTTCGTGACCTTGAATCTAGCGGGGGGTGTTACTCACCACCATGCGACCTGGCCATTGGTCAAAACCCAAATCGTACCCCCAGTGAATATCCCAATCCCCACTAAAATAGAACAAAATGGGTTGTGCACCTATCCCAAAATGGTACCATTGGTTTTGAACCATGGCCACCTGGCTGCTGTTTTGAATCGGCGCCTTGTTGGGGGGCCACCCCCTTTCTTCCCCCTTTGAGGGGAAGGGGAAGGTTCAATCACCCGAGCAAAAAGCAAGAAAAGGGCTCTCTCTCTCTCTCTCTCTCTCTCTCTCGCTCTCTCCTCTCTCTGTTCGCCCGCATCCACTGGACTTCTGAGATGAGGTATACTGCCCTAGTCCCCTCCCGCAAGTAGAGTTTTGACCAGCTATGGGTGTCTTTTTTTGCCTTTTTTGCGGTTTAAAGTGAAACCAAAAGTGACAACTTCGTTTTGGGTTCCTCAGCTATTCCGTGGCACCATGTTGTCTCGCTTTTTGGCTGGAAGACAACAGGTTCACATGGGTGTGTCTTTTGCTAGGGGACTCTCCTGAGATTGTGGTTGTCCTCTTGGTTTCCCTTTAACACCACGCTCAAAGGAAAACATACCCGGATGTTGGGCCAATCCACTTAGGCGGGATAACTTGCTTGTTCTTAATGGGTTGAAGCCTTTATTGCTACCCTTCCACATTTCTAAGGCGATTCCCTCCCGGGAAGGGAATGTTTAGAAACCGCTGTTGGCTTGGAGTGTGGAACGCTTAGCAGGTTAATCTGCATATTAGATACGCCACCCCAAACTCAAGGTGCTTGAAAAGAAATCCTATGAAGGGGACTCAACTGGAAGAGCAAGCTAACTCACCTAGCGACTTGAGTCAACCAAGTTCCAGCCGTCGCCTTGGGGTGTTCGGCTTTTAGCTTACCAGAATCAGCACATCCACCCTTTTCGGGTCTCGCAGGTTCTTAGCCTTCACAGAGGCTGAAGGCTACCCGACACCGTGTTCACCAAATCCACTTGTGTTTCAAAAGGTTCCTTGTGGACCCAACATGTTTTCCGGGGCGGCCTCGACTTTTGGACTTCCTTAGGCTCCTACCCTTTCGTCAGCTGCTCGCAGCCGGGGGACCGCGAGCTTCCGGGAGTACGGAATCCAACTCTCTGGGGGGTTGAAGTCATGGCTTGGGTTTGGATTGAGACGCTTGACATGACCCGTAGCCCGAAAGGGTCGCTTGAGGCTCTCGAGTCACAATGCTGCACTTAAGGCGAACTCGCAGATTCAACGCCGCGCTTTTCTGTTGGACCGTCCAAAACGCCGCGCCCTTGTAGGGATTTTGGTTTGCCGACAGTTTGCACGAACAGTTCCTTGCAGAGGGGTCCCTTATGCTCGATGGACATCTTCAGACTCACGGCCCATGTCATTTCCGCGAAGCATTCCGCTTCCCGCACCCAGGGGTTCAGCTTTTGAACATCAAAGGACGGCATGGTGGGTTGAAAATAGGGGAACCCAAAAACTCGGCGGTGTGCAGAAAAAAGCATCTCCTTTAACCCAACCCAAAGGGATGCCCTCAACGTCACGCACACGTCGTGTGTAGAAATCCTGGCACCAGGCAAACTCAGCTCAAAGGTTGAGTCTCTGATTTCTCAATCCTAAAGTTCTGATTGCTTCTCATCAGTGGAACCTCCCAAGTGGTTTGTTTTGTTCAACCCCACTAACATAGTCAATCCCAAAATATTTGTTTAAAGAGCCAGTCCTTCACCACCTTACGGAACGTAAAGGTTGTTTTAACGATGCCCTCCCACAATGGAAGTACACAGACCCCCGGTGCTTTCAACCCGTAGTTTGTATATTTTGTGCTTCCCGCGTGGGGGATGGTACTTTATTTAAAGCTTGTCCAGCCCCCCAAGTCACACCTTTTCGCAGGGCACTCCTTCGCCGCCTTTCGGCTTCGTTTCGGCAGGACCAGGCGCACCGCTGCTTCGAGGAGAGCCGGAAGTTCATCGTCTCCATCCCGCTGCCGGGAACCATGGCCTCGATCCGTAGACGATTCCATGGAAGCTCCCAGGGTCCATCGGAGGCCTGAGAGCTTCCGGCTGATCTGGGAGTGTACCGTCGCAACTTTTGGATGGGAATATGAATCAAAAGGTACAAGGTGGTACAGGTGGAAGCTCCATGGTTGAGGGTTTTGGCCCAGTCACAAAAAGTGAACATTCGAACCCGGAGTTGGTCTGACTGGACACATTTTGGGTGTTACATTAATGGCCCAGTTCCCCCCACAAAGCCGCCAGCAAACCGACCACCCGCAGAAGCTTGAAGGCTTTTCCTGCTCCCCTTAGTTGTTGCACTGTTTCGGGAATCAACCGCTTCTTGGGAACCACTCGTCTCTGGCTCCCAAATTTAAGCGGATCCTGGCGATGCGGAATCCGACGGTCGGGTCGATGGGTCGCCGAAAAGCCGAGGCTAGGTGCACTTCCCCAGCAGCTGGCCCAGGCGGTGCTGGACCGGTTTCTCCTGGAGAGCCTGGGCACTTTGGACGATCCCGTGCGCCTTCCGCTCCCGACGGAAAGAGGGGGGGGGGTTCTGTTTGGTTGGGCGAAGCCCGAGGTCGGAGTTTTTCTCGTATATATGGGTATGCGCCCTTCCTTTTCTTTTCTTTTTTTTGGGGGGAACCCCCTTTGGTGTGGTTTCAAAAGGAAAGGCAGAAGGGAAACACAATTTGTGGGAGCCCCCCCAGAATTCACACACGCAGGCTCATATATGTCTTTTTTGAGGAGCCCTCCAAAGGTGGATTCGTTGTGGCTTCCCTTCAAAATAACCGCAAAACATGTATTTCAAGAAAAGACAACCCCGACTGGGTATGTGTCACAATAGGGCGGGGGACCCGCCAAAAATGGAGTTAAATGGGAAACTAAGTATATAAAGATTGTAGTTGTGTCCAACTCCTATTTTGGGTATGTGTCAACGTATACGTAGGACCCCAAACATTGTGGTTTACCTCGTGATTCACGTTTAACCAACCTGAATTGGTACCCTCAACAAGGAGGCTGTGGTAAGGGCCTTGGGTGTGGGGCGCATGGCGTTTTTTTTTGCTTTGGGAGCCGCGTTTTGGGTTGGTTTGTAATGGGAAGCTTCAACAGTTTGGAAACAAAGCTTCGGAACTTGGGAGTCGGGATCTTTCACAGTAAATGGTGAGATCCCCCCATCAAAATTAAGGCTGTGTTCATGTGGGGTTAACATGATATCTTATAAAGCCTAACACTGGATCCAGTGTTCGCAGGGGTGCTGCCCAGGGATCCGTTACTAGGGATGGTCTTGGGGCCTTCTTTGTGGTCGTCCCCCCCTGTGAATGGGATCTCTTCAATGCGACCCCTGTGAATCAACTGGGTAAGTGTGGGGCAAAAGTAGGCACTCGTATTCGTGAACCACAGCCTCCGGCACATGGTTGGTGGCACATCTTAGTTGGTGGCTTATTTTGGGTAACAGTGGTCAGCGGGTGAACTTGAGGATGTCTCCAACCGAAACCTCAAGTGCTTTTGCCGAGTTTGGCCATCCATTGTCGGGCAGGCGGCCTTGCAAAGGTGTAGTCTTGCAAAACCCTCCTGTGCACTTCCATTAGGGGAAACCAAGGTGAAAAGCCACACTTTTCGTTTTTGGGGGGTCGGTCCGCGGTCCGAGTCCAATATTTTGAGACGCGCCCATTCTCCCATTCCGCGCACGTCGTCGCCCCCCCCCCCCAATCCCGCGATTCCACCTGCTCCTGGCAAGCGCGGGAGGTATACGAGCAGCAGCTTCGGGGCATGTGCGCCACCGTGGACATCTCCCAGTGCTTGGTCTTGGCCTCGATTCGGGTCGATCTGCCCAGTTCGCGTTAGTCTAAGCGCGGAACCGCCGTAAGAGGAGCCGCCCAAACCGGCTCCTAAGCGTCCAACGGCCGAGAAGTAGACAGAGGAAACCATCATGTACAACTTACAGGTAACATATCCCAGTGGGAACTGGACGCCCTCGGCCAGAATATATCCCCGACTCAACGGTGTCGGGGGTATGGAAGTTCCGTTTAGACACATGGAAGCTGTGAACCCCTCTTTCCCACGAGTCCCCACCACTTATTGTGGCTAAAATCTGAATGGCTTCTACCCCCAAACAACAAATGGGAGTGGCTGGTGGTTGAGTGATTGTGTATCCCATGAAACCCTGCGGAAGGTTTGGAGGTGCAGCTTGGCCTCCGGAGTTTGACTGGAGGGGGGACTGATCCCCAGAATCCTTGCTCAGTATCCATTTTGGGTTTGCTGCACCCTTTCAGTACGTTTGTCTCCATCGAGCCCTGTCCGAGGCGCAATCGGGCGCGCGGTGAGCAAATAACGAGCGCGGGTCCGGGGTTTGCGCCGTTCCCTTGGCTCCCCCGCTAGAAAGGGAACCCTTTCTGTTTCCACAGGCTGGGCAACAGTCGATTTTTTAGTGGGGATGCAATCGCCCGTGTATTTGTTTTTGACCGGCAGATCCGACAAAACACGCAGATCCGACCGGCAAACGCGCAAATGGTTACCCCAAGCCACATGAAGACTTCTGTGTTTCTCAGCTGTCCTGCTACGGCTTGGTTTTGAGTTGGTTTAGTGCGAGATTCCATTTGACCCACGATCTGAAATCGGACAGCCCAGTTTGAGTTGGAACCAAAGCCCAGGTCTTCAGGCCCCCCCCCCCAAACCCCCGGCGTAGCTATGCGTACGTAGCTATGCGTAGCTGGGCCATTCATTTTTTTTTTGCATGGTGATTGCATCCTGTCAAGGATGCATGTCGCCCTTTCTGCTGTTGATGGAAGGTACCACATTGACCCATTGCTTTTTTCGTGCAGCGGCCATATTTCGGACCTCTCGTTGTTCGATGAGTAGAGGAAACAGTCTTTTGCTTCTTGACCTCGATGTAAGCAGGTTGCGGCAAAACCTGTACTCACTGCGCAATAGACCTTGTACCAGCTCCCTTCATCTGGGGGACCATACTGATCAGGGGAATTCAATTCCCATATCGTGCTGACCTTCCCCGCTAATGGGCGCGGTCCATCCCGCGATTGCTTCGAACTTAAGTTATATGAGGGTCGTCAGAAAACCCCGTCTCTTGTATTTAGTCTATAGCGGAATATAGATATAAGAAATCTCATCCCAGACATATGAAAACACGACGTAGGCGCAAGAAGGCGCAAGGGCGGGCGCAAGTGCTGCCACTACTAGTACTACGTCTACTTCTACTACTACTACTACTACTACTACTACTACGACTGCAACTACTACTAGTACTGCTGCTACTACTACTACAAGTACTACTACTGCTACTACTACTACAAGTACTACTACTACTACTACTACTGCTACTACTACTACTACTACTACTACTGCTGCTACTAATACTACTACTATCACTACTACTACGCGGTATTATGATTAAAAGTATTGCAAACTACTGCTTCTGCTGCTGCTACTACTATACTGCCATAACGCCCCGACCGCGCGCGCGGCAAACGCGCGCGCGGTGGCCGCGCGCGCGGATGCCGCGCGCCCGGATGCCGCATCCGCGCGCGGAGGCACGAAGGACAATAACTGGACTCATGTTTTTTTTAACTGTGTAATCAGTAGTTCTAGTAGCACCTTCATCACTTCAGCGCACCAGTTGCCAAGGCCAACAGGTTTCGAGCGCAAGCTGTCTCACAAGCCCGCATGCTAGGCAAGGCTTCAACAGCCAGTCTGAAACAGTCTGAAAACACACAAACGGGCGCACGCATCTTCCAGGCGGGACGTATGTATTTAGGTGGCACTAAGTAGGTCTGGGACCTGTGCTTCCGCCGCTACCAACGTGCTTTCTTATTATTACTACTACTACGACGACTACTACTACTACTGCTACTACTGCTACTACTGCTACTGCTACTACTGCTATCCAGTACTACAGTACTAGTACTACTACTAGTACTACTACTACTACTACTACTACTACTACTACTACTACTATTACGACTACTACTACAGCTACTACTGTTATTACTACGACTGCTTCTACTACTACTACTACTATTATTACTACTACTACCACCACTACTACTACAATTATTACTACTCTTACTGCTACTGCTACTGCTACTACTACTACTACTATTACTACTACTACTACTACTACTACTACTACTACTACTACTACTAGTACTACTACTTCTTCTTCTAGGCATGGCTCCCGCACCCAGTCTGGAACAGTCTGAAACCACACAAAACCAGGGCGCGTGCCGGCCCCTGCCAATTGGTCAGGCTTTGCCTGCTCCACAGAGGCTGTCAGAGCTTGGATATCTTGCGACCGCCTTGTAACCTCCAAAGTAATGCCCACTTATTTGACCAAGCGCCCGCGTTGTGGCTAGGACTTGTTTGTATAAAGCCTGCCTTGCACGCAGAAGAGTGTCTGAATATGTCTGAAACACTCCAATTTGTAATGCGCGCGGGCTATTCCTGAACAATCGGTTGGTTGGTTACTTGGTTTGCGCTTGTTTGCAAAAAGCCGGGGGAGACGTTTTTCAAATACCGGCGCCAAGCAGTGTTAAAGTCAGTGCAATGCGGGCTTTGCCTATTGACTACTTGTTAGCATGAAGCCCACCCTGCGTGACTAGAGGTGTCTGAAACAGCCTGAAACCTTCCAGCTTCGAGCGCCTACAACGCGTTCCTGACCTGAAGGCGTTGCTTTGTCGCAGGTTTCGCCAGGAGGTTGTACTCTCTTCGAATGTACCTTTCGTGGCCCGAGCCTTTTGGTACAGCTTAAAAGTCACATCAGCACCTAGTTTCCCATGTGTTTCGTACACGAAGATGACGGCATAAGCAAAAACACACGTAGGCGCAAGGAGGCGCAAGGGCGGGCGCAAGGGATCCTAAAAGGAAGCCGTGGAACAATAATTTTGGACAACCCCCATATGTAGGCATTATCTACCACCAGACCAAGAGGAATCCCTCGAACATGAGAAGCCAGCGGATCTTCACGCAGCTCGAAGGCTCAGAAGATGGCGATGTATGCCCCTAGGCCCGCCTTTGCCTGGGCACAGCAGGCACAGAAGCCGCGGAAGGCTGACAAAGACAAAGATAGGCGGGGCCACCCCCTCCCCCCGCCGGCCCCCCCCCAAAACCCCCGCATCTTAGGACTTTGCGGTTGAGAGAAACGAGGTGCCGCCAAGAGGGTCGGGTTGGCCAAGTTGGTTTCACACGACTCGAGTTCCGACCCGCGGCACGAACCAATTTTGGTCAGGCCCAACCCTGGATTGCAAGGGGGCAAGGGGACTGAGAGAGGTGAGGGGGGTTGCAGTGTGGGCCCTGCTCTCAACGCACTGGAATCACAGTGAAAACATTGGAGCATGGCAGCATTGGAGCCCGCATTGCTGACTGAAATTCCAATGCCCTGGAATTTTTGGGCGAATCGACGGAGACGAATCGACCGTGGCTTCGTTGCTCAGGTTCGACGGGTCGAAGAAGCGCCCGGAGCGGGCGGTGCGCAGCAAGAGCCTCGCAGAGCTGCTCGCGGAGGCCGGGTTTTGGGCCCACGGGGGGAGGTGGGGTGGGGTGGGAGGGATGGGTTGGGGCTGCAGGTGGGGTGGCAGGGGAGTCCATTGTTTTGCAAATGTCCCTTTTCAGGTTGGTTTGAAGTTTGAAGGGAAACCAACAGAAAACGCGACCTTTGAGACAGAGCCAAATGGGTGATTTGTTTTGGCCCCTGCAGTGGTTTCGGTTGCCCCTTTGCTTTTCCTAAAGGAACCACGAGCAAACGGCACTGAGCCTCTGAAAAAGCTATACTCAATTTAGCCATTGTAGGGGCAACGGGTCATATTGGCTGATTCTTCGTACAGCATCATTGCACCATCCATTGGAGAGTTGGGATACGGTTTGGACCTCAATGCCTTCAGGTCCCAAAGTTCTCAAAGTGAAGGGCTTTGGGAATGAACCGGAAGGGGATGCAGGCACATGGATTCCGGCCTTCCTTTTGGCTTCCCTTAAAAGCGATCCCAAGGGGAACGAGCCTCACCCAAACAGACATACATACATAAACACACACACACACAGAAAACAGGTCGAACCGAACCAGGCTGGGTTAAGTTCTTAAACAAGGGCTGGGTTGTTGACTCTTTATCCGATGAATGACAGAGCTTTGGCAGTGTAAACTTTAGTGTAAACCGTTACACTTTCGTAAATGATAGTGAAAGGGAGCCCAGTAAATTGTTGAATTCCACCAGTTTTGCAGGAAATTGACCTGGCTGGATTTCAAATACGTGGTTTTTGTTGCCCATGGAAGCATAGTTCAATTGTATATGTCATTCGTCCAATGCCTTCCCGTACAGGAGTGCCCATACTTCCCTTTGGTGATTTAAGTGATATTTTTGCCTACATCGGACCCTCAGATTCCTCATGTTTGGTCGCACCTTTTGTTTGTCAATTTTAGTGTGTTATTGTCCTCTTGTGTGATGCGTAAACCGGTCGGCCGTGTTTTTTTGATCCAGTTTTGTACTCAGTGCCAGGGTTGGCAGATCCACTGGGCAGCCCTGCACTCAAGAGGGAATGGGCTTGATCCTAACCTTCAACCAGGGTGATCAGGCTTTTAAACCCATTCCAGCTTTTACATCTCCAGGCAATGAAGCATGCTCTCGCAAGCCGAACCGCCTCGACACACCCTCCCAGCCGCACCTTCCTTCTCGCTCCTGGCACATCGCTCCTCTCGGTCTCCCACGGTGCGGTCTCGGTTTGGTCGCGAATCCGCAGGAGGAGGCGGGGAAGGGCCCGAAGCTGGAGGAAGCCTTGCTGGCGGTGTTTCAGCTCATCGACGCCGACTGCGGCGGGTCCATCTCTAAGCTGGACCGAGCGCGCTCCACTCGCCGGCCGGCTCTTTTTTTCTCGGCGAAACCCACGGTCTTGGCGGGGCTTGGGGGCCTGGGTTGCTGGGTTTGGTGGTTTGCTGGGTTTGGGGTTGCTTTTGTGGCTTGGTGGTTTGATGGGTTTGGGGCTGGTTTTGTGGTTTGGTGGTTTGATGGGTTTGGCTGTTGCGGTTGGGCTGGTTTTGTGGTTTGGTGGGTTTGGTGGCTGATTTGGTTGGTTTGGTTGGTTTTGTAGTTTGGCTGGTTTGGTTGGTTTTGTGGTTTGGTGGTTTGGTTGGGTGGCTTGGTGGGTTTGGGTGGTTTGGTTGGTTTGGTTGGTTTGTTTGGTTTGGTTGGGTTTGTGGTTTGGTTTGTGGTTTGGTTTGTGGTTTGGTTTGTGGTTTGGTTTGTGGTTTGGTTTGTGGTTTGGTTGGTTTGATGGTTTGGTGGGTTGATGTTTTGATGGGTTTGGTTGGTTTGGCAATCTGGTTGGTTTGGTTGGTTTGGTGGGGTTGGTTGGTTTGGTGCTTTCGTTGGTTTAGTAGTTTGGTGCGTTTGGTGGTTTGGTGGTTTTGGTTGGATTGGTGGATTGGTGTTTTTGTGGTTTGATTGGCTTTGTGGGTTTGGTGGTTTGCTTGTGTGTTTTTGTTTGTTTGCTTTGTGGAGTGAGGTGTCGGCTTTTGGTTGGTGGCGCGGGGCGAGGTTGTTTGTGGATTATTTGTGGATGATACTTCGATGGGAGATTGGATGGTTGTTGATAAATAATGGTTCCTTTGTGTTTATAAGTTGGTTATTGGTTGGGATGGCTGCTTTGGTGAGTTTGTCTCCGGCTGAGTTTGGTTGGTCATTTCGGGTGGTCTGTTTCAGAACGGCTCCATGAACAGGTTGTTGCGAGCAACCACTGTTTATGAATCTGCGGCTTCCAGGTTTGTTCTTGGCAGTGTTTGGTTTGTCGTGGTTCGCGGTTTATGGATTTGCTCGGCTTGCTCGGCTTGGTCGGTTTGGTCGGTTTGGTCGCGGTTTGGTTGGCTTGCTCGGCTAGGCCGCCCGGTTCGGTTTACAGAGCGGCCTGGCGCAGAAGCTCAGTGGGTGGCTAGGTGTCGACGAGTGAGGGGCTGGCTTTTTCAGGGAGGCCAAGTAGCCAGAGAGACCGGCCCGAATTCGCAAATTTCTGGAGTCACCACCTCTCATCCAGCCCCGTCTGAACTGGTTGGCTGCTGAGGCCATGTTCACCTTGGTTTCGAGGGAAAGCCAACAGGAAACCGACCATTTCTGGGGTAGACTTAGGATACATTTTACATTTTGCCAGTGACTCAAAGTGAAGCAAAAAACATGTTCTATAGCTGGGCCTAACTCTAATCATGATTTGTTTGGGTTCAAACGCCTATTTCGACACATTTTCACAAACAAAGATCAACTTGCGAAGCCTGCTTTTACTTGGTGAAACCAGCCATTTGTAGTCCTCTTTGAAGAATCCATATTTCCCAGCATCAGACAACTTGCTGGCTTCCAAATGAACATCCGGGACCCAAATCCCCTTCACCCCCCTCTCTTGGGACCAAACAAAGAACAACATGAGCCATCGCCATGGGCTTCTTCTCCAAAGTGTCAGGAGCTCATCGGCGCGGTGTACCGACATGCCCTGGTGGCCTCCTTTGTGCTGCAGGGCCACGATATCAACGTGGACCTCCGGGACGCCAACGGCCAGGCGACCAGCCTAGCTTCGATTGAAGGGGTGTCGACTCTGAGAGATCCTTGCGAGGTGAAAATGCAAAAAGGGAGGCCGACTCCATTTTCACCCACGTGAAAGTGTGCCTGTGTATGTGTGTTTGTGTCTGTGTTTTTGTTGTGTTGTTGAGGCTCGGTACCCTTTGCTGCAGGCAAATCACGGGTCATGCCGCTGTTTAAGCAAGACATTTGCGGTGACTTGTTTGTTGGATCTTCGACCTCTAGCTTGTTGGTGTATATGTTTGTTCCTACCAAGCAGCAAACGTTTGTTTAGAGCATGGTTTGGACACCCACGTATCTGAGCAGCCCTCTTTTGACGCATTATGTTTCCTTTTTTAAGGAGCTTATACAACCGCCAAACAAGAAACGGAGTCGTTTTGCAGGTCTTGTTTTGGAAATCAGCGGGCCTGAGGCATGGACAACATTGCCAGGGAATGGGTTGTCTGCGGACAGGAAGAAGCGCGCTGAATATTGAATCGCCCACCTCTTGAAAAAATGCAGCCGCAACGGAAACCCGGGTAGATGAAGTGTAGAGTTCCAACCACCGCTTCATTCTTTACATGCTTTGAGTAATTAGACCGCCTTTTTGTACCAGGTGTTGATTGCAGCTATATAATTTGCAAGCCATTTCGATCAGCCCAGAAAGTAGCCCAGCCATTTGGCCTTTGCCGCAGTGACTGTACGGCCGGGCGTACGATCAGGCGTGCTCGGCTGCTAGGTTTGTGAAGCAACTTGATTTTAGTGGTCAATAACATATATATATTTTAGGGTTGACTGAATATGAAGCAACACATAACAATGTTTTTGTTTGTGTACCCCAGATGTGGGCCAAGTTTAAGGGGCAGTGGAGGGAGCCTTTTGACAGATCCGGAAATGGTCACAGGTATCGATCAATGAGTACAGCTTCGATGCCATCGATGACATTTTCGAGAGCATGTCCGGCGGCAGCAGCCGCGTGCCGCTCGGGCGTTTTAAGCAGTCTGGACCGGTCGAAGTGAATCTGGTGTGGGTTGTTTCAACGGAATCACGAAATGGAAACTCCCTTTGATTTTGGGATTCATTTGTGAGACATCTATTTGGCTTGGCAACTCAAAGCCAATCCTCACTCATGCAAGATGGACGTGGTTTCCCTTGTTGTAGTGGTGTCGGGCAGGTGTGGCCCTGGGTTGGATGAGGGCAAGCATCCATCGTCCACAAGTGCATCCTTTTCTGTCCCACATTTCCTCCAAAGATGCCCCGCTTGGAGCTTGTACTTGAGTCACACTCAAAACCCGGTATTAAAATGGTCGACCCAGAACCAGGTTTAGAAATACAAAGGCGGATATCCGCAACTATGGCTGGGATGGTTTTTTTGCTCACCTTCATCTACCCAAGTTTTGAGGCTCACTTGAAGTTAGGATGCTCAAAGGACAAGCACATCCCAAGGACGCAGGTACCAGTAGGCCTGCATGGGGGTGCGTTTTCAGGGTATTGCAGGTTGGCTTTAGTGGATAGAAGGAAAACCGCAATTTTGGGATCTGTTCGGACAACATACTCGTTTGTTGTTCTGACTTCACAGCCTTCAGGCATGAGCACAAGTTAATCTTGTGTGTGTGGCAAACACCCTCTTATTCCGCGGGTATTTGTGTATTTGTTTGTAGATTTGCCCTTGGAGACACCCACAAAATACACGCTTGGAGGCTCTGTTACCTGGTTTAGTGGGGGTTCTACCAAGGGTTTGTTACATCCAAGCGAGAACCCTGATTAGAGGGGTTTCCTGGTTCCCTTGCAATATGGCTGTGGCTCAAAATTAAACAAGAGGGGTTACGCAGGTTTTGGTCCATGTTTCCGCTTACCAGGGGTCCATTTTGGTACCGGTTTCTTGGGCCACAGCCATATGTAGGGCATTCGTAGAACCAAGAGTCCATGAGTCGAGTCCCGCTCATTTGGAACCCCGGCGCATTCGATCCGATCCGTTTAGCCCTATGATTTTGTCATCACAGTAACCCCTGAAGTGAGAGCGAAAATAAAGGCACCTCCAGCTGCTATCTTCATTCTTCAATCAGACTCGTGGCCGTTTTGTGGGAGGGAAACCCCTTTCAACCCAAACTGCCCAGACTCGTAGCCGTTTTGTGAGGGCTGGGACGCCCCTTTCAAAAGCCGAGCGCAGGAAGTACATGGACTTCGCGAGCCACTTCCGGCGCGCCGCCGCGGCGTCCTTGGCGGCGGAGCGCGAGCAGGGGGGCATGCGCCATGGCATTCGAGGGTTTTTTTGGGACCCGGGAGCCCACCAAGCCGAAGCTGCCGGGCCAGGGGTTTGGAGTGATGTTGACTTAATACACCCCTGGTTGACTACTAGGGGTCCGCTTTTAGGGGGGATTCATCACTTTTGGAGGGAACACCCCCCTAATAATGGGACGGGTTTATTAATTCTGGGTCAACATTATATGGGATGTCAAACATAAGCCTTTTAAAAGGGACCTGGCGGTGTCGAAAACATATTTTGACGGTTCCTTACAGGGGACCTGGAACCGCCGATACCCCTCCTTTTGACAAGTCTTTATAGACCCCAGGTGTCCACCCGCAAATCGAAGGAAAGCCTTTAATGTTCGAACTTGATTGATAAAGGCCCCCCCCCCCCTGAACAATGGAGGCGCCAAAACAATGGGGGTGCACTTTTGGGACGTCCAAACAATGGAGGGTTTTGGGCCCAATTCTACTTTAGTATTGCAGCCACTTCCTTTTTGCAGTTCTACTTTAGTATTGCAGCCACTTCCTTTTTGCAATTCTACTTTAATATTGCAGCCACTTCCTTTAGTATTGCAGCCACTTATTTATTGCAATTCTACTTTAGCATTGCAGCCACTTCCTTTTTGCAATTCTACTTTAGTATTGCAGCCACTTCCTTTAGTATTGCAGCCACTTCCTTTTTTGCAATTCTACTTTAGTATTGCAACCACTTCTTGTCAACTGGGGGTTTGGCTTTGGGTTCTGTGGTTGAGCAACCAATTGAAAGGGGAATGCTTTTAAGCAAGTGTGCCACCAATTGAAAGGGGATGCTTTTAAGCAAGTGGGCCACCAATTGAAAGGGGAATGCTTTTGAGCAAAGCAAGTGATAGTTTATTTTCTGGGAGGGGGGTTGGGGGCTTGCCACTATTGTGGTCCCCTAACACAATCACATTATTGTGGTTCTGTGGGGTCTGTGAGGGGTACCCTTGTCCTGATTGTTTTTTTTGCAATTTTTTAGCACGGTTTAATAAAGAGTTTGCAGTTTCAGGGCTGGGGACTGATAGTGTATTTTCTGGGAGGGGGGGCTGGGGGCTTGCCACTATTGTGGTCCCCTAAAACAATCACATTATTGTGGTTCAGTGGGGTCTGTGAGGGGTACCCTTGTCCTGATTGTTTTTTTTGCATTTTTTTTTTAGCACGGTTTAATAAAGAGTTTGCAGTTTCAGGGCTGGGGATGGTTTTCAAATTTCAGAGTTTCAGCTGGCTGGATTTTGGGGTCAACATGGATTTTGGGTGATTGTTTGGGGGGATGTTTTTTTTTGTTGAAAAACATAAATTTGCTTTGTGGATTTGTTTTTGGAATTTCCCCCTGGCCAAACAAACTTTCTATTATTCTGGTCAATGGGTGTGAACCATAATAAG